GCCACTCTCTACCCTGTCTCCTCTACCCTTGGTGGCCTACGCCAATACCTCTCCACCATTAGGCGATGCCGAAGAATCATCTTCATTGCCTGTGGTACTTCTTACCACTCTTGCATGGCCGTTCGTGGTATCTTTGAAGAGCTCACGGAGATCCCAATTGCGGTTGAGTTGGCCTCTGACTTCTTGGATCGCCAAGCCCCTGTCTTCCGTGATGACACTTGCGTCTTCGTTTCGCAATCTGGTGAGACTGCCGACTCGCTCATGGCTCTCCGCTACTGCTTGGAGCGTGGTGCCTTGACTGTTGGTATCGTCAACAATGTCGGTTCCTCCATTTCTCTTCTCACCCACTGCGGTGTTCACATCAATGCTGGCCCCGAGATCGGTGTTGCCTCCACCAAGGCGTACACTTCCCAGTTCGTATGCATGGTCATGTTCGCACTCTCTCTTAGTGAGGACCGTGCATCCAAGCAGCAGAGGCGCGCCGAGATCATGGACGGTCTCACGAAGATCTCCGACCAGTTCAAGGAGGTGCTCAAGCTCGACCAGCCCATCAAGAAGCTCTGCGAGCGCTTCAAGAACCAGAAGAGCTTGCTACTACTCGGTCGCGGCTCCCAGCACGCCACCGCCCTCGAGGGTGCTCTCAAGATCAAGGAAATCTCCTACCTCCACTGCGAAGCGGTCATGTCTGGTGAGCTCAAGCACGGTGTCTTGGCTCTTGTTGATGAGAACCTTCCCATCGTCATGATCCTCACCCGTGATGAGATTTTTGCCAAGTCGCTCAACGCCTACCAGCAAGTCATTGCCCGTAGTGGACGACCAATTATCATCTGCAATGAGAACGACCCTGAGTTTCCTAACGACAAGACCGACAAGATTGAGGTGCCCAGGAACGTGGACTGCTTGCAGGGCTTGATTAACGTCATCCCTCTCCAGCTTATGGCATACTGGATGGCTGTTGCTGAGGGCCTGAACGTGGACATGCCCCGTAACCTTGCCAAATCGGTTACTGTCGAGTAGACGATGTGTGTACGATTGAGAATATACCTCTGCGAAAGAGTTTTTGGACATTGCTTGGTGTTATTGATGATTATAAAGCAAAGCTTTGGAATGTAGCTCGTGAACGGACATGTATGGATTTACGGCAATGTAGGAACGGGCAGATGTTAGCACCTTTTGTATGCAGGCCTGCCATGGCGAGGTCTGGAATGAAAAAAAAAACAATTACTTCCAACAAATTTTACTGTCAACCCGATTGCACAATTCATTGATATGGCGATCAACGGGCTGTTTCACGAAGCTGGGGCGATGGCACTATTCGACGGGAGGGAGGACCCCTGTCCGCCGCTTGCGGGGCAGCTTACATAGAGGAGCAAGGCGCTGTTCCTGCATTCTTCGGCTGCCCAAGCCATGATAGGTACCCCCACCGCCCACTGGACCATTAAACCACCGAGATAATAGGCAATCACAACGACAGTGCCCACAAAGAGCCTCGATATGACTACTCTCAAAGGCCCCGGCGCAGCCAAGACGTACGATGGTGAGATTCAACCCCACCATGCACTCCCCACCCCGCTTGAAGGCCAAGGCACAGGCTCATGATTCGCAGGCTCTGGACTGCGAATTGGTATCATCCACGCGCGGTGGAATACCAAAATCATTGATGCGCTCCTCGACGGCACGAAGAAGGCGCTCGCACAAGCGGGAGTGAAGGAGGAAAATATTGTCATACAGACCGTACCAGGAAGCTATGAACTGCCGTACGCAGTGAAGCAGTACGTGTCTCCGCCCACACACCCGCCTTTCTAGCAGGAAAACGTGGGGAGAGAGACATACTAACGAGGCAACTCTCAGACTCTACTCTGCCTCCCAGGTGCAATCCTCGTCCACTGGCATCGTCGGTGCAGCCGCCGACCTCCTAGGTTCCACGTCGGACCTCACCTCGCTCTCGGCATCGATGCCGTCCACGGCGTCCAAAACCTCGACATCCCCCTTTGATGCCATAATCGCAATCGGCGTGCTCATCAAGGGAGAGACGATGCATTTTGAATACATCTCCGACGCTGTCAGCCATGGGCTCATGCGGTTGCAGTTGGATAACAACGTGCCTGTCATCTTTGGGTTGTTGACGCTGTTGAGTGACGAGCAGGGGTTGATGAGGGCGGGGATTGGAGGAAAGGGAGGCAATGAGGGGCATAACCATGGGACAGACTGGGGCAATGCGGCGGTCGAATTGGGGGTTAAGCGGCGGGGATGGGTCGAGGGAAAGTTTGTTGACTAGATGGGATGCCAGGAGGAAGGATGCAGTGAACAAGGCATGAGATTCGGCATGGTTGGTTACAAGCAAGATTCTCCGAGGTTTCTCAAACAAAGACCAGTGACGAGTGCTGCAGTTTGCCTACTCTAGACAATGATAAAGGCGGAACCGTCTTTCCCCTCGAGGCATTGAGTCATACAAGTGATCCGTTCTGGCACGGTGATGTCGTCCAACAAGCACGTGCTTGTGTGAGGCGCAATGACATAATTACTACATACCCTATGCAGCGTTGAGAAGAAGAGGACATGTACTCTAGACAGCCATGCGTTTGCTGCAGTATGATTTCTGGCCCATGTGTCAATGTGAACGATAGTGCTGGTCTGGACCATAACAGTAGAGATGCGAAGTCGACGGCGATGGCGACGACGCTTGCTGTACTATAGAGGGCGTAGGTTCCAAGTGCAAGGTTCCGACTGGCTTGCGCATGAGCGATTGCCTTGCTCGAACACGCCAGAACAAAACATCACTGTGGGCAAGTGAGGCAGCAGATTGCGCGATACATGGGCATATATCAGAGGCGTTATAGTTAGGCTGGTGGCAGTTTTTTTTCTTTTTTTTCTTCTTTCCTTTCGGGAGGGGGCCTGTGAGAGAGGGCTGAAGTGCAAGTGCTGGCGTCTCCTATTTCTTTTCCTTTGAGCCAAAGCTAGCAGCCGTCCGAGCGCAACCATCCCGACCTCATCTGCGAACCTCACATTCCTCGACGGCGGCCGTCTTCCCCCTCTCCCCCTCCCCTTCCCCCATACAAGCCCTGACTGCGCGTGCAGACCGCCGCCAGCTCCTCGCCCATCTCAACCCGATCTTCTTCCCCTAGCCCGCACGCTCTCTGGCCGCCGCTGCTGGGCCTGACACGTCTTCACCGCGTCTGCGCGCGTTGGCTGCATCCTGGTGTGCATCCTGCATCTGTCTGCAGCAACCATAGCAGTCTGCGACGCGCTGCCCCCCTCGCCTCCTCCCCTTCCTTCTTGTTGCTTTCGCTCCCTCATCTACCGTTCTGCACAGCAATGGCGCAGTCAAAGGTCCGCTAAGGCAACGCATCCATTTGCGGTGTGCGGAAGCGCCTCTACGGTGGGAGCCATCAGACGGCCGCTCTGGCATCGAGTCCATGTCCAAGAACAGACGCGGCGAAAGAAACGCCCGGACACTTCGACGGGCAGCTTCGCAGCGCGCGACTTTGCCCTTTCCTTCATATACTGCCACCGCCACCACCACCACCACCACTACTACTACTAATACTACTACTACCACCCCGTCAACTGCTATAGCGCCGTTCGCGGGCCGGGACGCGCGCAGGCCGAGGGCGAGAATTAACGTACCGTCACCCACACACACCAACGATGCGCAGCAGCCACGCGAGCTGCTAAGCGACGTTGACTCGGCCTGCTCGACTCCAACACACGCCTCGTCGACTTTCTCAGCGCCCTCTGCCATGTCGCGTGCTGGCCACCCCACTGCCCTCAGCGCCCTCACCCCATTGACCAGCTCAGACTCATCTCCTCCCGGCAAGCTGCCTAGCCCGCGGTCTGCCAAACCCTCGTATGAGACGATGTACGCAGCCTCTGCTTCTGCTCGCCCGCCACCAGCGAGTGCGTCGACCGTCGGCCCGAGCACCATCACGCCCGTACACACACCGCCTGAGACACGCATATCCGTCTTCCCTGCAGACGGTGTTTTGGGTCAGCGACTGACCTACGATCCCCTCCTCGACCCGAAGCTCGATAAGAAGGCAAAGCAGAGCAGGACAGCCAAATACAATCTCATACTGGATAAGGTACGTGAAGGTTGTACATGAAACTACAGATGTGGTCGTCCTGTGACGCTAAGGCTAACTTGACTTGTGTTGCAGGGCGACCCATCTCCACCTCCAGACCCTCGGCTGGCTATTGCTGGCTACACCACCGGCAATCACGTTGTGAAGACGGTGGGCCCGGCGGCTCCCAAGTCGAAACTCCGCATAGCACCTTATGTCGCAAAGCCCTACTCGTTTGATCCCCGCATCTCATGTGGACCGGGCCCGGCGACACAAGTCGTGGCAACCGGGTTCGACCCATTGACGCCAGATGCGCAATTGCGTGGCTTCTTCTCCACGTACGGCGAGGTGGAATCCCTCCGCAATCAAGTTCATCCCGACAACGGTAGTCCCCTTGGAATCTGTCTTGTGAAGTACCGCGACACTGCGCCTGCGAGGGGTGTGACAGGGATCAAAGCATCCACCTCCGCGAAGCGCGCTGAGCGAGAAGGGACGAATCAGCGCATTGGCCAACACGTAATCAAGGTTCATTCGGATCGCGAGGGACGAAGATGCGCTAAATTACTGCAATTGGCAGTGCAACAGACACGCAAAGAGGAGGAGAAGCTACGAGCCAAGCTTGCTGCAAAAACGGCACACTCAACAGCCCCAACAAACCCTGGAAACTTCGATCTACCAGCAAATGTACCCAAAGGCCCATCTGGCAGAGGTGCGCGACCGCCGATACCGATAGCCCGAGAACCACTTACTCGCAAGGCGGCACTGTCGTACCTCATCGAGAAAGAGCCAATCAAGCCCACACTCAAGCGGAAGCCATATCTCTTCATTGCGCATGCCTATGTGCCCGTGCTTAGCACGACTATCGACCATCTCAAGAAGCGGCTGAGAGCTTTTCGCTGGTCAGCCGTACGATGTGACCCAACCGGATACTATGTGTTGTTCGAGGAGTCTAAACGAGGTGAAGATGAGACGGTGCGGTGCTATCGCGAGTGTCACATGCAGGCTCTGTTTACCTATGTCATGAACATGGAGTGCAACCAATACGGCGATCCAGACTACGAACGAAGCCCCAGTCCGGAGCGCGTGGTAGCGGATAACAAGCGAAAAGCCATAGAAGATCGGATAGCTCGAGAAGAGGCGGAAGATCTAGAATTGGAGAAGAAGCAGCGGGCAGATTCGCTGGATCCTGTAATGGCAGCTTTGGAAACAATGAGGCAGGAGCTCCAGGAGAAGCTCCTCAGCGACATCAAAACTCGTCTGGCTGCGCCCACAATCTTAGAGTTGTTGGATCCTGACTTACACAAGGAAAAGCGCCAAAGACTCAACATCCCGGGCCCACCAAGGAAGGAAGACGATGTACGACCACCAGCGCTCTTGGCACCTGGTTTGGAGGCATTCAGTGCCTCGACACCTAGGTCCCGCAATGCTGGCTTTACTGGTCGAGGCCGAAGGGCACTCGGCGCATTTGACGGAAACCGACAACGCGGCAAGAAGGCTCCTCGGATTGTCAATGCTTTCGCAGACGAAAGAAGAAAGGCGTCTGCTCCTAAACCCAAGATTGCGCGCGGTCTGCATCGCCAAATGATCGAAATGTTCGAGCCGGACGAGTCGGACGATGAGAGACGCAGCGAGTTGACACGCGCAACGGAGGAACAGGAAAGCCGTCCAATCAGCCGCGCTCCCTCAACAGACGTCGAGGACGAGGAGGAACAATCGTCCAGGGCTCACCGTGCAAAGAGGCGGCGTATTGAAACCGGTTGGGGCGAAGACAGCGATGATGAGATGGATGACTCGCATGCGAGAAGCCTGCTTGCTCATTGCATCCACAAGGATCCTGAGAACATGGCTGAGAAAGAGCTGGAACAGGTGCTTGCTATCCTGCCACGTTCATCCCCAATCTGGAAGAAGGCCGACAAAGCATTGAAGGGCTTCAGGAGACTTAGAAAGATTGAACAAGAAGCGGACGCAATCTTTGGCGTGGAAGCAAGCGCGGGTGACAAACTTGAACCCGCAGTAGTCATCACACAGGATGACGAAGCGCTCAGATCGATTGAGACAACCGAGATCCCTGAGACATTCAAGTCCCTCAAGAAGAAACAGGCCGCTGCGAAACCGAAGAAGAAGACGAAGAAGCAGCTTGAAGAGGAGGCAAAGGCCGCAAAAGCCGAGATCACAGAGCCTGCGAGACCAACAGACGACGATCCTACTGAGACCAAGGAAGAAGAGCCAATCATCGAAGAAGTAGTAAGTGAGGAGACGCCAGAAGAGGACGACCGGACTTCTGTCAACTGGGGAGTATCTTCCGACATTCCTCGCAAGACGGTTGAGGACGATCTAAGCGTGGTGATGGACATCGACGGATGGCAGCATATGATCAAAGACGAAGAGGACCTCAAATACCTCAAGTCAGCGTTGGCATCCACACCGGCAGCGAAGATTGGAGATGCTCAGATCTGGGCATGGAAGCAGAAGTCAATCAAGCATCTCAACCGCCCCAGCGGCGAGGAAGGCGTTTCGCGCTCAGAGACCAAAATCAAGGGATACTATGTTCCCAACTCGACAGGTTGTGCCAGAACCGAAGGTGTCAAAAAGATTCGCGAATCAGAGAAGTCGAAATACTTGCCGCATCGTATTCGCGTCCAAGAGGAGCGAGAGGAGCGCCAACGCCGAGCGAAACAAGAAGAGCGAAGTGTCATCTCGGTCGAGGGCTTCAAGTTTTCCACGGGTTCCAACAAGGCCTCTACCGCCAATTCGCGCGCTAATCGCGCCAACAACCGTCGCATGGTCAACGACATCAACATCTCGAAGAACATGTCTGGTGCCGATGGTGATGCTCTACGCTTCAATCAACTTAAGAAGCGAAAGAAGCTCGTCAAGTTTGACCGATCTGCCATTCACAACTGGGGCCTCTACGCAGAGGAGAATATTGCAGCCAACGACATGATCATCGAATATGTGGGTGAAAAGGTCCGGCAGCGAGTCGCCGATCTACGGGAAGCCAAGTATGACCAGCAAGGCGTTGGATCGAGTTACCTCTTTCGTATTGATGAAGATACTGTCATTGATGCAACGAAAATGGGTGGCATCGCTCGGTTCATCAACCACAGCTGCACGCCCAACTGCACGGCTAAGATCATTCGCGTGGACACGTCGAAGCGTATCGTCATTTATGCTCTTCGGGACATCAGTCAAGGTATGACGCACTTTTCTCTTCCGGGTGACTCGAGTGAAGTTTTGCTAACGGTAACGCAGATGAGGAGCTTACGTACGACTACAAATTCGAGCGCGAGATGGACGCCACAGATCGTATTCCTTGTCTCTGCGGATCCATTGGCTGCAAAGGCTTCCTCAACTAAGCCTTTCTTTTCATCTTCCTTACCCTTCACCCTCTATTCGTCTCTCTTAACATTATTTTACATCGTTCTGCCGCCCTGCTTTTTCCTCTCATCCCCACAATCTCCTAGCTTGGGGGCCCTTTCTTCGTGTTGGGTGGCTTGCATGAGGATTTGGCGTTTTGAGCAGTTGATTGCTTCATGCTTGAAGACCCGGTCTCACAACAACAACAACAACAATGATCACGTTGAGATGGATTTCGCTGGAACAAAGACGCGGAGGGCAAAGAAGAGCACGGCGGCTGTCTTATTATTTGTGCTTGTTTGCTTTGTTAGCCTCTGGTATGGGAATGAGCGACCATGCGGAAGAGGCGCATCTTTTTGGCAGCCCTCCATCATCTGTACTATTTTATCGGTCGGTCTAGAAAAGAGTGAGGGACATGAGCGGTGGGCTAAGGTCAAGCTTTACCCATGCTCAGCTGGCTGGAGGACACGACATGTGTGGGCATCAAAAAGTCCTTGCTTTGGGATAGCAGGGTCAACTAGGGCACGCTTGCTTCGTGTACCTACCATAGGAATATGTAGAACAAGAGTGGTGGGAAAGAGCGCATGATGAGCCGGGCTCCTTTGTTACTTTGCAGTGAGGTGTGATGATGAATTGTAGCTGCTTGCCGTGTAAATCCAAGAAAAATCGTCCGTCACAAAGGGATGCAGGCGACAGCCGCAAGTAGGCAGTGCAATGCTTGCTATTGTTCGGTCGCGAGGATTCAAAAGGCACGGTGTTCGCCAAGCAGCAAGGCGCGCCCCCCCCGTCATAGGTACTTTAGCTACTTCCCCCGGGCCCCCACCATGAACTTGATTGACTTCATTGGCAACTGGCTCGCGGCGCTGTTTCGCTCACCATTGCTCCTGCTACGCGTACTACTCCCACATCCTTTTGCACGTGCTCGGCCAAGTAGAGCTCGAGAGGCTGACAATATGCCCATCTCGTACCATGACGATGAGACTTGGGCGGACATTGAGCCGCTGCCCCAGGATGATGGTGGCCTTCACCCGCTGGCTGCCATTGCATATACGGATGAGTACAGCGAGGCCATGGGCTACTTGCGCGCCGTCATGGCGAGGAATGAGTTTAGCGAGCGGGTGCTTGGGCTTACGGAGCACATCATCAGCATGAACCCCGCCCATTACACTGTCTGGTACGTCGTCTTTGTGTTCCTGTTCGTGTGTCTGTGGAAGGTGCCTCGGGAAAGAGAAAGAGGGCGTGCCCACGGTGACACATGGAAAACCAACACCAACACCAACACCAACACCATGGCTTACCTTCTGCAGGCTGTATCGCGCCAAGACTGTTTCTGCAATTGGTAGATCGCTGCAGGATGAGATTGCGTGGCTCAATCCGACTGCGCTGAAGCACCTCAAAAACTACCAGATATGGCATCATAGACACACCATCATCGATGCCCTTGGCTCGCCAGAAGGCGAAGCCGAATTCATCGACAAAATGCTGGAGCAGGACTCAAAGAACTATCACGTGTGGAGCTACAGGCAATGGCTAGTCAAGCGCTTCGATTTGTTCGATAAGCCAGAGGAACTCGAGTGGACGCACGGCATGATCGAAGACGATGTGCGCAACAACTCGGCTTGGAACCACCGCTACTACCTGGTAGTCGAAGGCCGCAAGGGGAAACCAAGCGAGGACATTGTCCAGCGGGAGATTGAGTATGTCACTCATCATTGGCCATCATGCCTATGCAAGACGCTGACCATTGTACGACAGATACACCAAATCAGCTATTCGCAAGGCTCCGCAGAACCAGAGCCCATGGAACTACGTCTTGGGCATCGTTCGCGCAGCTGGAATGCCCAAGTCGACCCTCAAAGACTTTGCCTTGGAATTCGCTGATGTGCAGAGGCCCGAAGAGGTGTACTCAAGTCACGCCCTGGATCTCCTGGCCGATATCTATGCGGAGGAGGAAAACAGCAAGGAAGAGGCCAGAAAGGCGCTGGATCTTTTGGCGACAAAGTATGATCCCATCCGCGCCAGTTACTGGAATTTCAGAAAAGGCTTGCTAGACCATCCAAAGGTTGCTGCAGATGTCATTGCCTAAGAAGATGGCTCGAGTTTCTGTGGGGGGATCATTGGTTGGTGTCTGTACCAAGGCGTTTTGATGACACCTACGGATCGGATCCGCATGTGCTCTGCTGCGAACATCTTTGCGCGGAGCCGCGAGATGAGGGAATGATATGGAAACGAAGCCAAATTTGCGGAATACATGTTTGACCTGGGGAGTCCAGAGAAGCTGGAACATTTGCTCCACCTGATGCGAGTTTCCCGCCCCGACGGGGATCGTTCACCGCCGTCCCCGCATTCCGAAGTTTTCTTCCCTGGACCTGACCCCCAAGTCTGACGCGTCCACGCCGTTGTTCCAAACTATCCTCGAAAGCGACTGAGTCAATCAAGGACCTGCATCCCAACCAGCGCTTGCAACCGATTCATCTTCTTTTCGATAGGCGTGGTTGTGCCCAGAAGGTGCTCAAAAAGGCGGTAGAACATGGCAAAATGCGAGCTAAGCTGTCGCCGCCCAGAATTTCCACTTTGGGCAATGTCAACCCTGGGGACACGGTCCCTTGGTGTGCCCTCATGCTTGTGTCATCTTGCCGTTGTAGCACATTCGCCCAGCTCTTATCGAGAAGTTATAGGGTAATTCGTTCTGTTTATAGGGTAATCCGTCCAGTCCATAGGGTAATTGGCGCAGACTATGGGGTAATCGATACTAGGTTACTGGTAGTCGGTACGACTGGATTGTTATCGCTACCCCACCGACTCCCCCAGGTGAAATCTCGATTAACAGGTGCATGCCCAGCGATAAGACTCTTGTATATAGGATAAAAGCCTGTGTTCTCCTGGCCTTCTAGAGTCTGGCACCAGACAGGTTGACGATCAATATCAATCATTTCTCGAAACCACTCTCGACTCGAGAATCAAGCCATTCCCAACCGCCTGAGATAGCAACATATCTCTTTCTCTCTCTTCCTCTTATCATTGTTCTCTCAAATTTCCTTCGTGAAAGTTCAATCCTCCACTACATCAGCCATGGCTATCACATACGAGACTGAGGCGCCTCAGCAAACCCCATGGGTGCAGACTCCGTTGCGGGAGTCGTACGCGCTCTCTGAAGCTGCGGGATGGTACGGTCACACTTCCCAAATACCCTTATCTATCCTTTTCTCCCCTCCCCTCTCTGTACGATCCACATGAAGATGAGGGAGTTCTAAATCGTAGAAGCAGAGTCTTTCTCAAGCTGGAGAACCTCCAGCCTTCTGGATCATTCAAGTCAAGGTATGTTCTGGAGAACTTCCGTCTACAGTGCACCGAGATCTGACCCTATGATAATAGAGGCATCGGCAACTATATCCTCCGTCGCCTTGAAGAACTACCCCAAGGCTCTCGCCCTCACATCTTTGCTTCCAGTGGAGGCAATGCCGGACTCGCAGCCGTCTACTCTGCCCGTACTCTTGGCCTAGACTGCACTGTCGTGGTCCCGACCGCAACAGCGCCACTGATGGTGTCCAAACTCCGAGCCGCAGGAGCATACGAAGTGATCCAGCATGGCGCAGCATGGAAGGACGCAGACACCTATCTCCGAGAGCACGTTATGCCCTGCGTAAGTTTTCCCCCCTGCAACACCATGAAACTTCTTAACGTCTTCGACAATCGATACAAATACTATCTTACTAACGCATACCCCAGGCCCAAACAGAAACTATCTATTGTCCACCCTTTGACCATCCGGACATCTGGCAAGGCAACTCGACCGTCATGCACGAAATCGCCGCTCAACTCCCGGGCTCCGTCCCAGACGTGCTCATCTGCTCCGTTGGTGGCGGCGGCCTCATGAACGGCATCTGCCAAGCCATGGACGAACTCTCCATGTACACCCCCACGATACTCGCCCTGGAAACCGCAGGCGCAGACTCGCTCGCTGCGTCCCTCAAGGCGCGGCAACCAATCACCCTTGGCAAGATTACATCACAGGCTACCAGTCTCGGCTGCGCAAGGGTAACAGACGCAACGTTCAAGTATGCACAGCGGAATAATGTGAAAAGTATCGTGCTGCCAGATGGCGAGGCGGCCATGGGCTGTTGGCGGCTTGCAGATGATGAGAGGATCATGGTGGAGCTTGCATGTGGAATCAACGTTGCCCTTTGCTACGATGGGCGGTTGGAAAAGGCGCTCGGCAGGCCGGTGCGACCGGATGACAAGGTTGTGATTGTGCTGTGTGGAGGCAGCAATGTTTCGAGCAAGATGCTGTGTGACTGGAGGAACGAGTATGCTTATATCGAGGAGGAAACGGAGCAAAGCAGGCGTACTGACTCGGCGTTGGGCAGTGAGACTGTGAGTGAGACGAGCAGTGTCAAGGGTGTCGAGGTTGATGGTGTGCCAAGTGGGTATAGTAAGCCGATGGTTATTGAGGGCATCGAGGTGGCTTGCGCAGATTGCTCATAGGCTGAGCTTTCTTGCGAGGATGGTGTGGCATTGGGTTGACGTGTGACTCTCTTTGGCGTTTTGGGTTCAGCGTTGCATAACATGATCTGCCTGGAATCTTGACGAATAGCATGATGGAAATGATATACTTTCATTCTGGCCAATGGCCAAGAACCGTTAAGAGTGACTTAAACTCGTGCCCTGAGCATTGTGTGATATACTGCGTTGCAAGACTTGCACTCACTTGGGCGTTTCTTACCCTAAGTGAACCAGATTAGCGTTCTGGCACTGAAGCTGTCAAAGTACCCCACGTGTATCTCAATGTCAATTGCCAATTGCCAATTGCCAATGAGCCACGGCTAGGGTCTCAACAATCCACGCTTTCCCCAAGATCTCAGTCGAGACTGTGAATATCTGCATGGAGACAAACTCGGAGCACATACTCCCAAAGATGAGACAATCGCTTTCAATGTGAACCTCAATCTTTCTCTTTGGTGCGCAGTCTATGCTACATCGTCTTCGAATACGGCCACGGCCGAGTGATTTACAATCGATCCTTTTCCTCCGCCTTTCGCTGCTCGATGATCTTGTTCAGCTTCTCCTGTTTCTCTTGGCGTAGCGACGTATAAACCTATCCTATATCAGCTTCTATGCTCAAACGGTCACATAGGCCCTTCCAAAACCTACAAAGAACCACAAGACAAGTTCAAAGAAGCCCCATGTGAAGATGATGCTGTTACTCAGACCGGCACCAGAACGCATGGCGTACTCATGCGTCCTTGGCGCAAACATACCGCCCTCCTTGGACACGTATGCATATCCGGTGAGAGCAAACAGAAACACGAGGCGTACGGGTGTCTGTGTGCCCCAGAATTGGTCGAAGACCTCGTCTGAGAGGGAGAGGGCGGTCAGGTCGGTGAGGCCAATGAAGGCGAAGAGCACGGCGAGGAAAGCGGTGGCTGCGGTGGGCGTGTTGAAGTCGCGGGGATTGGGCTAAGCATATGTTAGTGATGGATGCATGTGTGTATATGTGTGGATAGGAGGTTGGCGGACGAGTTGCATAGCCTGTCCTAGGACCAGGACGACTCCTTGCTTTGCAATAATGGCGGGATTCTTCAAGAGCAGCGCGGCAAGCGTGACGTGGAATAACGACAAGCTGCGAATCATTGTAACTGCTGATAGAATCGCCATGTTTGCGGTGGGATTCTGGAAATCCGATTCTCTAAGAGGAGTACTTGGTTGACGAGAACGACCCTTGGTGTTGGCGTGTTGGTTCGGAGCTCGAGTTGGCTTATCTCCGCGTTGCCTGCCAACGCCCGTGCCAAGGCGATGCTTGAATAATGCAATCTATCTCATTGTCACTCCTTCATCATTATGAAAGACACACCTTTTGCAAAGCAGTTCTAACTGTCTCTCCCCAGCAAAATTCTCCGCCATGCCCGGCTTCATCCGTTCTCTCAGGTCCTCCCCATGGAGCTTTTCCGTATCAATAGTGGGCGCGCCATTATACTTCGAAAGTGGAATCCACACAGAACACGCTTCGACATCGTGACTTACCGGTACTCCGGCCTTGTAAAGGCCAAAGCCCTCAACCCCGCCACATACAAGTGTTAGTGAACCGTTGTTCCGAGGTATAAGCCCATGTTAACCCTGAATATCAGCTCCCAATGGTGCCTCGATGCGGCCAAACTCCCCCGCGATGGGACATATACGGGGATCATTCAGAGATAATGATTTGCTGATCTACTCAGTTCCTGCAGGTTAGTTCCTCATATCATGGACTCTACCCCTTCAAACCGAACTTTTGATAGGAACCCTATTACCCCCTGATCTTCTCCTGGTACACGAATACCGTGACTATTACTCTCTCCAATCAGCCAAGGACATGTCTCTTCAGGGTCAGTTTTCATTGTTGGGTTGATGTGAGATTAAGATACCAAGTGACAACAGACCTGAACTATAAGATCACCACTTTCCTAGAGACTCATGGACAGTTCTGGACCAAAGAAGCATGGCTCAAAATTTACAAATCCGCTGCTTCCGCAAGTAGAACCTAACAGGTTAAGGCGCCTTCTAACTCTACGGGAGGTGACGCACCCACTTGATAGGTATATGAAGATAGCCATTATGAGGGATATTCGCTTACCAGCAAGCTCTCATAGGTATGGGGTAGGCTCTAGCTATATGTACTGTCTAGGTTTCGATGTCGATGATTCGGCGAACGTTACACGCCCTTTTTCCACTTTGACCGATCGATGCATCAACTCCACGCAAACTCCCTTCTTGGCTGCATATCCTTTTGTTGCACGAATATTCCCGGGAATTGTTATAGGCCCATCATATCTACCTTTGATTAGCCTTCATGTACAGTGACTGAAGACCTGCCCTTCTGGGACCCAAGGTATACAGCATCGTTGCAATTATCTGCAAATCCAGGAAGCGAGACGGTGATCATAAAACTTACCAGGTTCCCCTCTCATCAGTCATGTCACCGTGTAGGTTGCTCATCAATGTATACCGATCAATATGTTGGATAAGGTATATAATGTGCTGACTCTCGACATTCTGATATTAGCTGCACTGATACCAGCGTCGGTAACATTGTAGATTCACCAAGTACATACCTCAGAAGAAACAGCGCGCCTGCAACAATGAAGACACTCTTATTTTTCACGATGAATAACCTCTTAGATATGGTTTACATATCGCTCGCATGTCTATTTCTCGCACTTCTCTCTCGCATGTTCTACATGCAAATGTTGCACCCTCTTTCGAAGTTTCCAGGCCCTTGGTATGCCACATCGTTCTCGATTGTGGGTGCCATAATATCAATCAAGAAACGAGAGCATTTGTGGCTCACGCATCTGGTAGAGAAGTATGGAGGTATGTCCCTAGGAAGCAGCGTGATCACAACCTTGTGCTAACATGTATTAGCTGACCAACCGATTCGTGTGTCACCTAACACACTGCTCTTTCCTCGACCATCGGCGCTCAAGGATATCTATCGCGACCCCCAATGTACGTTTCTTCATCCAGGAATCGAAGGGTCTTGCAAACCCCTCTATGAACGATCTCAATTTTTTTTTAGTTCTGCAGAGTTACATGCAGTTTAATTAGGCCCATACTGACGATTATCTTCTCTGTAGTGAATGAGAAGTCAGCGTTTTACGGCACTGGGGCCCTTGGTCCTCCCCATTTGTTCTCGACGCTTGGAAGCGATCAGCATCGCGCATTGCGCAAAGCATTATCTAACGCGCCATGGTCTATTGGACAACTGAGAAAAGTGTGGGAGCCCCAATTTGATGAGATGGTCTCATTCTTCATCTCGAAAATGAGCGAGCATGCAACGGCAGAGCGCACAATCTGCCTATCCGATAAAATGGCCGAGTTTGCGGCCGACATCTTGAGTATGATCTCATTCTCGGAGCCCTTTGGTTGTGTGAAAAACCAGCGTGATGAGAAAGGTATCATGTGCGTATGAAAAACGTGTCTGCTAGATCCGAGAAATTTGCTGACCGTATGATCTAGGGTAAATTGGCGCAAGGGATTGGTATTCTTCGGCTTTGCCTCGCGCTGTCGGTTCTTCAGGGAATACATACTAGACCTGCCTGTCCTAGGAAAATGGCTTCTGCCAGAGAATTCCAGGGATAGCGGTATGGGATGGCTGATATGCGAAGCAGACCGTCAGTTGACTCGTCGAGAAAAGAACATTGCCGAGAAGCCTTTCGAAGGAAGGCCGGATTTTATGCAGCAGTATGATCGGCCTGTACTCTTCTTGGTACTCCTACTGATTGTCTCTAGCTGTGTTGAAGCCCGTTACTCGGACGGTTCATCGTTGACGCCTATTCAAAAACGGGCACACGTGACACTTTTGGTTCAAGCTGGCGTGGACACAACCGCCACCGCACTGACCAGTATCTTTCAATTATTGCTCTTGAACCCTTCAGCTCTTGCACGCGTGCGTGCTGAGATCGAGAAAGCAGATGCCGCTGGCCTGTTATCTACTCCGGTCTTGTATGAGGAAACTCGTCAGCATCTTCCGTTCCTCGTTGGAGCCATCAAGGAAGGACTTCGACTTCAGCCATCAGCTCCACAGCTTTTACCACGTATAGTGCCCAAGAATGGGAAAATGATCGATGGACACTTTATTCCAAGCGGAGCAGATGTTACAAGCAATGCGTACATTATCCAACGAGACAGGGCGTTCTACGGCGAAGACGCCGACGAGTTCAAACCTGAGCGGTGGATGGTCAGCGAGAAAAGAACGTTCGAATTGGAAGCCGCCCAGTTCACCTTCGGCACAGGTCCCAGACAGTGCATGGGCAAGGAAATAGCAATGCTCGAGGTATACAAAGTCTTGCCAGAGGTTTGTATATCCCAGTACTTCCACTTGAGCGCTGTTTCAAACTGACGAACTGAAAGACTATCCGTCGCTTCGACATCGAGCTTGTAAAACCTGGTGTTTATACTCTGGTCGGTGGAGTGGCATGGAACGAGGGCCTTCTTGTCAAGCTGACTGCAAGGAATCCTGAGGTTTGAGCTAGTTACTCACCTACCGTATCAGGAGAAACTGTTATGCTGATATGTGATCATGATTACGATATCGTTGCCGGAACACCTGAGCTGGCTGTACCGTATAGGCTGAAGTGACGTCAAATTATGCCGCTGATCCGTTGGCCGAGGCATTTCATTCTAGAATGCGATAGCTCTGAATCGATCTTCAATCTGTCAGAAATATCATGCTCATTCCTACTACTAATCAGGTATTATCGTCTTGGGCGTGAATCGTGCTGCACATACAGTGCTTTTGATCTCCGACAAAATTAATTGAAGACAGCGTCTGTAGCCATGGTCGTCAAGCCAACACCCTCGATTTCGCCATTGTAGCTAAGGAAAATCTTACATAGGCACCTATATTATCATCAGAAACGATAACACCGAGTAAAACTTGAGCGAGGGCTCGGAAATTTGGCTCAGTCATCCCAGAAAATGCGACGCAGTGGGATGTTACTGAACCAGATCGTAGCCAGCTGTATTAGGGAAATACAGACCAGATGAGCCACTTTGCGACACAAAATAACAGGCAGATGCGTTGTCACACGCTGGTTTGATACAGCCAGTTGCCAAATTGGGGTAATAGATGCAAGGACAATTTCTTAGTGGGCTTTGTCTAAGCGTAAATGCGCAGTTACCTAGATTAACAATGATGGAGCAATGATAGATGTCATGGAGAACCACATCAAGTAAGTCAAGAATGGGTACATATAAGGACAAATGCACGCATGTCTGTTCACGGTTTCATAGTTATGAACATATTTGTTGAACCCTTGTCGACTACACAATCAAAATGATTGAAGCAAAACTGTCCTTCAACTGTACACGTGCCCACTCACTTCCATTCAAATAGGACATCATCGTACAGAGTTGAGTCTGGTAAGATGACTTCCTGGAGAGCGGAGAGGGTCTTGGTGATGCCGCAGATGATCATGGATTTGAGGTGTGTCTGCCTGGGAGGGGGGTCCGATATAGAGCTTGGATTACGGATGGTTCTAGTGCAGAGTGCAGTAGTGAACTCAATTAGTCTGTGAGTCGTACACCTGTATATATCTCATTCTTAACTTGGGCACATGAAGCTGATTTATTTCGATGGAAACCTAGATATTAGCAAAGAAGTCCAGCTTCTCTTCAGATCTACGAAAGGCTCTCCATAACACAAGAGGCGAGAAGCAGGGATCGTATGGTATTCGAACAATCTACACATTGTATAGTGGCAGAAAAAAGGCAATCTTTAAGAGGGCTTGAAAGCCGCGGAAGAGCGCATCCCATACATATAGATATGCAAGTTCCTGCCTAGCAGAACTATATCAGCGCCCATACGAGATAAAATGACTGGCTACGCTATTTAGCCATCCATTCATTTTCTTTGTCATCGGCAAAGGCGTCACAGTACTGATAATCGGCCAGCCATTCAAAAGCTTCCCGCTTATCTGCATGTGTTGAGTAGAATTCCGTCAAGATGTCGATGAAATCTAGCTGAAACATAAGCAGAGATCACAAACAGCTTATCAAGAGCAAATACCTTCAGTAGAGGTAGGCAGAGAAGGCTGCAGGGAGAATTGAGCGAATTGTTCTCGTAGCAGTACAAGAGATGTAGGCAGTACAGTTCCTAGATATTATGTTAACATTTATCGCATCGAAAAGATCGTGCATACCCTTTTGTATTATGAAAATAAAAGGAAGTTCGACGGTCAGGCTATTCTCCCTATCATCCAAGTAATTATCATATGCTGTCCGCATGAACTCTTGCATGAGGAATGTGTTTGGCATAAGCGTTGCCATATTGACAGCTACGTCTAGTAATTAGTAGGCTATAAAATGTCAATTCTATACCCACATACGCATATAATTCGTCCTATCATCGGCGTTTTTGTTGTCATCGGTTGATTGTTCAAGATCGCTGCAGATGCCTGGCTTATTCTGTCGCTCAGATTGGGATTGCTTGAACGCTACGCCAGCGTTAAGGCGCAGTAAAGTAACTGGGAAGCTGGAATGAGTAGAAATGGCCGAATAGCCACATCGATGGGTATTTCTAACCGCAAGAAAGAGCCTTGCATTGGCGTTCAAGACAGGCCGAGACAACCTACTGAACATTGTAGATGGTGTGATCGAGGATAACAATGCGGGCTCGTACTGAGACGAATATTCTGAATTACTGGTGCTATTTACTTCCAAAGTTATCTCAACAGCCTCAGACGCAATACCGGTAGGCGGCTCCACCACTATCCCTCCACCGATCAAGTTCCAGGTGGGGGTAAACGTTCCTGCCCTTAGAAGAGGCTTAAGATTCTAAATAGGCTTTGAATATAACATTAAAAAGATGCTAAAGCTAACCGGGTTTTTTACTACTAAGACCATATTTTAATTCAAGAAATAGAACACCGGTAGTTCAGCAAATTAGGTACAGACACCTAATTCATTTCTTAACGCAGTGATTACGCCTTGACACGAAGCATTTATATTCTTTGCTGACGCTATAAAGTGTGTAGGCAGCGTCCGCCTAGACGCGTTTGATGTCATACACCTATCCAAACGCAAACATGGTCACAATGTGCCTGTGGATTTGAGGAATGAGGATCCTGCTCAAGCCGCTGCTGTAAGTGGACTGATTGTCTGATACTGTGAGTATCTGAGATGGTGTGAATCATCATATCCTGCCGACTGCCACGCCACTGTCGCTTTAATAGGGTGTCCCATTAACAATTAATGCCGCACTTCAACAGCCTGGTCGAGAGGTGATCTCCACGGCGCTCTCCGCGGCCGTCTAACCAAGCAGCGTCTGAGTAGGTTGGGACCTGTTCATGAGTTGAGCATAAGAGACCATTTTGCACATTTCTCCACACCTAAGATAGCCTGGATAAGTTCTACTGGCGTGCTTGCAACTGAGAGTTGCATGGCGCATTGCGGGACGTCCATTGTTGTTGGTTGCGGTTCAGTGATTGTTCCCTGTCACACCAATCTACTCAGCCCAAAAGTTCAGGCAATCAGAACTGTTCAACGCCATGAATTCATCGAATATTGGTGTGGCGTGAACGTTTGAAATCATATAATCGTACCTACTTTTGGATACGTTGCAAGATCAGTTCACACTACTCTACTTTCAAGTACTATTTTAGGTCATGATTTGAAAGTACCTGTTGCGGCTAAATAGATACCAAGTATCTATACTACTGGATACAGCTCTCCCCAATGAGCCATGTTACATTCCTTCTAACATCTTTGGGAGAATGATATCGGTTGCGTTCCAAAGCATGGCAGCGTTATGTACGGACCATGAAGCTCCAGTGTACCAAGTGGATCGTTTACCCTGCAGCGCATTGGTTCGGCGAACAATGTCAGCACGGAGTTGCTCTGGAGAGTGGTGTCGGTACATCATGCCATGATCGTGTAAGGCTTTGAAGTCGACTTGACCGACGTTGCCATCAGGCACTGTGCCGGCAATCATGAGATTTTGCAAGGCTGTCTGAACAACATTCTTCGCATCCTCCATGTCGTGCTCCATTTTTGTGGTGATGATGGTACGGTATACTGGACCCGTTGAAGAGTTTCCAAGGAATTCGAAAGCCTGCAAGCTCGGCGCTCTGGGATGGACTAGGTGGTTTGATGGTGCAGCTGCCGCAGGAGAGTTGGTGATGGAAAACCCTTCCAATGATGGATGTGATACAAGCCCAGCCCATTGACGATTGCCGGTAACAGAGTGGAGGAGGGCGTCCTCGTTGTCATCCAAATCATAGACTTCTCGATCAATAAGGTTCGTGCCGATGGTGATGAGAAGTCGCTTGGCGTTGACTGTGACCATGCCTCCATCGCCTTGCACCTGGAGCTGCACGCCATTGTCTGTTCTTCTACTTGACACGACTTGGCTCTTGTACATGGCGTCGTTGCCTAATAATTGCGAGACCTTGTCGAAGATCTCTGAGTTGTCTTCTGAAACGGGGACCATTACACCACGTAGCACTGAAGGGTCAAACACCTTCCACATATCGATCATCAGAGCGTTGTCAGTAACGATGCCCACATTGTTCCAGATGGTTGTGGTTACAGGCTCGACATTATATTTGCGAGCAAAATCATCCCAGAGTAGAAGTAAGTCGTTGGGGATGCTGTCGCCTGATGGGAAGTTCTGGGTTGTAGGTAGCATCATGCTCTCGTACTTGTACCACTCAGGCCCAAGCCTTGCAATAGCAGCGGCTGTTTCTTCCGGGGTGGGCTCGGAGTAATTAGTACGTTTGCCAGTGTTAAAATCAGCAAACACAGTTCGCCCTTCCGCTCTGTCGGGCAACTTTAGGGAGATGTTGAATCGAGCGAAGAATTCCCGTGGGGCAGTCATGTTCATGAATACCCCAAGTCCATAGTTGAATGGTGCTTTAGTGACTGGATCGTGCCATGTAGAGGTATGGCCACCCTAAATGATTATAAGTGATTCCGTTACCAAAAGAAAGAGGATATCGTGAAATAAAGCTTACCAGGCGATCTGACTTCTCAATCAACACAATTTTCTTGCCGAGATCTTCACGGGTCCGCACTGCAGCAAAAGCTCCAGATGCTCCACCGCCAATGATGGCAACGTCGGTGTCAATAACAGCGGGGTTAGCAGCCAACGCTGCTACAGAGAACAGGAGGAGGGATTTGAGAGACATCGCAGTTGTGCTCCTAGGTAGGAAGGCTGTCGATGAGGGTCGATACCTATCGGCTGCTTTATTAATATACTAAGTATCTTGAACACGAGGCTGTGACTATAATCTACAGAGGACCAAAAAAATCGGACCTTGTTGTCCAAGCAGTGACAATATTTGTCAAAAATGGAAGTAATGCACGCTATATAGATGACCGATCATTGGCGTATAGTAGTAGGCAAGGTGTAGTACATGGACTAAAAATATCGGACATTTTTATACAATTGGTCGCTGCCCACTGATCACATCGCCAAAAGAGGTAAGCGCGACGCAGCGTCACGTAGGTAAATTAAATTGGGTCTTCAGGCCCATGGACTTGACTAATCGTGGATCTTGCATCAATAAGCATGGCACGAGTATCCTGTTCAAGCCTGCTGCTGGTTTCAGAGAACGGCTTGAAGTCGGATACGCTGGATGCTGCAAAGTTTCTCAAAGTCGACCGAATCAGAATTGTCCTACATAACGCCAAATGCCTATGCGCGTATACTCCACAATATCCACAATATCAATCCGAAGAGTATTCTTAACTTCACGACACTGTCCCACAACGAACTACTGTTGCCTCTTCTGCGCATTGGGACCCATGTCCTTGCTGAAAGCAAAGTATGAAACCTCCAGGCTGGTCAAGGCTCGAATCCCGACTACGAGGATGAGGAAGAGTGGGACGATGGCAACGAATCCCATGAAGATTCCTGGCGTGAAGAACTGATACTGTTCAAAAAGGCCGCCCTCGGCCGTCCTCGGTTGCTTCTCGTGTGCAGAAAGGTCGCGCTTCAGCTCCATCTGCACAAAGTCGGGAAAAGTGCTTTCGTAGGTGTAGTGTTCTAGCTGCACCTTGGCTTGCGATTCGGTCTGCGGAGTGGTGATGTAGATGACGGTAAAGTCCCGCTCCTTTGCCCTCTCCAATACGTAGTCGCCAAGAACGGCGTCTGGCAGTGTTAGCGGCCCGCATAGGCGTATCTACAGCATGGATACGCACCATCGTTGATGAGCTTCTCTTTTCGATGCGCCTGGTTGGGAGATTTGGCTAGCTCTTGCGAGAGATGGCTCTCTATCCACGCATCTGTGGATGCATCCTTGGGCGCGCAATGCGACTGGAGATGTCTCCTAATAGCTGCCACATCGATCTGGCCGATTACCTCTGGCGTGACAAAAGTGGTCTTGACGTCTGGATGCGCGCCGCTTGTGAGCCTGCTCAGTTGTGGGGCGTTGCGGGAGTCTGCAAAGTCATCAGAGGAGACAGCGTGCTGTTCGAGGATCATGTAGGAGCGAGTCGGGCACTCCTTCAGGGCTTCGAGGATCTGCGCAGTGATACTTGACGAATCCGCAATGGCGCCATGAGTACTGGGCATGTGCAGGCTGCTTTTCATTAGCTGACGAGCCGAAGAAGACGGCACAAAACGCGTACTCACTCGGCGGAGGAGAGGAGGAAGAAGGGCGATGTGTTACGGAAGGCAAGCGTGGAGGGCATCTGGAGCGCTGCCAGGGCGAAGGCGCCGAGCAGTGTCTTGGCCATGTGTACGGTAACCGGCTGTGTTGACGTTTGCGAGGTTCACGATGGGATGAAGGGTACTGGCTAGAGCTTGTATGGATTTGGTAGAATGGGTAGAGTGGGTAGAGTTGGGTAGAGAAGGGTCGAGCTTGGGGGCGACGGACGATGCTGGTGGACATTGGTGGATGCCGCTACTAGGTAGGATACCTTGGGAACTCTCAAAGGTACCATTATGTAAGCAAGCATCTCGCACGCCCGCGGCAAGGCGATGACGCGCTGCCACCCCCCGTTGGAATTTCCAGCCAGTGTCGGAGAGAGAGATTCAAGCACGACGGCGCAAGATAGTCAAGTCCCCAGACTACCCCCTTCGGAACATCCTTTTCCTCCCTGGACTCCCTGGACTCCCTGGACTCCCTGGTCTTATCCTCTTCTTCTTCTTCTTCTTCTTCTGCAGCTCACTGCGCTACCCGCTCTCTGTCCGCTCGCCTGCCCTTCAAAATGAAGGCAATCTGACTCATTTCATCACTTACCCCAAACCTGCCTCTTTCTTTCGCTAGTCCGTGTTGCTTGCGCAGGCAAAATAGGCAGGCTACATTAGTGAGATGTAACGTATTTATCTGGTCGCCACTCCCATGTCCATTTTTGACACGCCGCCACACGCCAGAGTAGTCGACCTACAAACTTTTTATTTCTTTCACCTTCATTAGGGCATATATTATACAAGCCTGTTCACGCTTCTATTTCAACTTCAGGCCCTGAGCCTTTTTGCGCCACTACGACTCTTTGTACTACTTTCCACCGTCACCAGCAAATCCTACACCATGGCCACCACTACAGTCCCGCCACCACCACTACCAACACCACTACCACCTCCTCCCGCCTCAGAAGGCCCGTCACAGGATTCGCAGCGGCGAAGACGGCCACGGCATCGTCACAGAACCACGACGGAGCAACAAGAGGGTGGCCCTGCTGGACAGCCTGCACAGAGAGGGGACCGCAGTAGTAGAGGGCGGGGGAGAGGGGGCCATAGTGAAGCTGCGAGGCCTTCAGCTCCCAATGCACCTGCCGCCCTCGCGCTGGTACCGCAGTCTGTGCAAGAGGCTGCACACCGAAACGGTGGCCGGGCAGATCGCGGTCGTGGACGTGGCAGAGGTGGTGTGGGGAGATTCGCACAGCGCGTAGCTGCCGGTGGTCGTCAGTTTGGGGGTCAATTGACTGTCGAGGGCGATGCTGCTTCCCACGTCGGCCCACAGCCAGGCCAGCCAGGCCTCAAACCAGATGCAGCCCCCTTTCAGCCCGGCCAACCCATTGCCCCGCGCAAATCGCGACCGCCACGAGAGAAGCGACCGCAGGCACCAAAGTCCACCGCCGCCGACATCGCGACCAGAACGCACGAGGACATTGACAATGGGCACTACGAGTGTGCTATTTGTACAGAAGACGTCAAGCGACATTCAAAAGGCGTCTGGTCGTGCAGAACGTGCTGGACAGTGTTTCACTTGGGCTGCATAAAGAAGTGGTCGACCAACGAGGGTTCTGCCGCCGCTCGGCAACAGGTTGCAGATGGTGAGCTACCCCCTCCTAGGCAATGGCGATGCCCAGGCTGCAATCTGCCAAAGGACGTACTGCCCAAGAACTTTCACTGCTGGTGTGAGAAGGAGTTGGACCCTAGATCATTACCTGGCCTTCCCCCGTTTTCTTGTGGTCAAACGTGCGCTAGACCTCGGGTTCTACCCAAGAAATGTCCTCATCCATGTGGCTCTACGTGCCACGCTGGCCCTTGCCCTCCCTGCAGCCTGATGGGTCCGACCCAGCACTGCTTCTGTGGCAAAAATTCCATTACTCGTCGTTGCGTTGATACCGACTACGAGCATGGCTGGAGTTGTGGAGAGATCTGTGGACTAGTCATGTCTTGCGGGGAGCACAGATGCCTCGAGCCATGTCACGATGGCCCTTGTGGATCTTGTGAGGTTCGAGTTCCAGCGCGCTGCTACTGTGGCCAAGTTCAGAAAGATATACCGTGCCATGATCGAGCAGAAGAAAAGCGTAGTCGTCAATCTTGCCATAATGATGATGGTACCGAGGTCGTCGAGGAGTGGACGGGCACATTTCAATGCCCGAATCCGTGTGGCCGAATGTATGATTGTGGAAAGCATGTTTGCAAAACTCCTTGTCACCAACAAGATGCCAACGCTCCCCATTGCCCGCGATCACCGGATCTCGTGTCCCGCTGCCCTTGTGGCAAGACGAAATTGAAGGACATGTCTCAGCCAGCACGAACAGCTTGCAACGACCCGATACCGAATTGCGACAAACCCTGCGCTCAGCTACTCCCGTGTGGTCACCAGTGTGAACAACTTTGTCATCAGGGAGAGTGTCGGCCTTGTCTCAACAGGATTACAATATCGTGTCGATGTCAGCGTACTGCCTCCAATACCATATGTCATCAAGGGTACATTGAGCCCCCACAATGTACGCGAGTTTGTCGCGTTTCGCTGAATTGTGGGCGCCATATGTGTGGGGAACGCTGCTGTGCTGGCGAGAAGAAGGCCGGCGAGAGGCAGTCGAATCGCCGAAAAGCAAGACCGCTGGATTCGGCACCTCGCCGGCCTGGTGACGACTTTGAAGCTGTATGTATATGGATGCGGTCATTCAATTATGTGCTAACATCCTTAGGAACACATTTGCACTCGCAGTTGTGACCGACAACTGAAATGTGGGAACCCAGAGCACCGTTGCCAAGAACTATGCCACAAAGGGCCTTGTGGGACTTGTCGCGATGCCATCTTCGATGAGCTCAGTTGTCATTGTGGTCGCACTGTTCTTCAACCGCCACTGCCTTGCGGTACGAATCCTCCACCATGTCGGTTCAAGTGTGAGCGACCCAAAGACTGTGGACACCCACAGCTTGATCATAGCTGTCATGGCGACGACCAGGACTGTCCGAAATGCGCTTATTTGACCACAAAGACTTGCTTGTGTGGGAAGAGCGTTCTGAAGAACCAGCCTTGTTGGCTCAACGAGGCTCACTGTGGCCAAGTGTGTGGGCGCACCCTGAAATGCGGTACACACAAATGCCAAAAGCAGTGTCATCGACCCGGACAGTGCGATGAGGCATGCACCCAGTCTTGTGGCAAAGAGCTCAGTGCATGCGGACACCCTTGCATGGCACCTTGTCACTTCCCTCGAGCTTGCAAAGAAGAGCAGCCCTGTTCTCAGAAGATTTTCGTCACCTGTGAATGCCAGAGGATCAAGCAGGAAGCCAAGTGCGGTGCATCGAAACATGGTGACGGTAACCTGAAGCGAGTCCTCAAGTGCGATGAGGAGTGTGCACGCCTTGAACGGAATCGGAAGCTGGCTCTTGCCCTCAATGTGGATCCGGAGCACCAAAATGACCATATCCCGTACTCAGAAGCTACGCTGAACATGTATCAACAAAATTCTACTTGGGCAGCTGCGCAGGAGAAACAGCTCAGACTTTTCGCCGCAGATCCAGAGCGGAATCGCCTTCGTTTCAAGCCAATGCCGAGGAATCAACGAGCATTTGTTCACTCGCTCGCGGAAGACTTTGGGTTTGATTCAGAGAGTATGGATCCCGAGCCTCATCGGCATGTCGCAATCTTCAAAACACCTCGCTTCGTAATGGCACCTATGAGGACCTTGGCAGATTGTGCGAGGACTCGTCAAATGCGACAGCGTGTTGCACCAGTACCCGTGGCCACTTCAGCCGCTACATTACGACCCAAGCCGAGCAACACGAGTGGTGATCCTTACAACGCCTTCATCATTCTGAATCCGCGCTTCGCTCTCACCATCGAAGAAATCAATGTTGTGCTCAAGACCGTGCTTGCGACGACATCGTTCAGACTCGATTTAGAAGTGAATTTCCTTCCCAGCGAAGCGGTAGCCCTGAAACCCCCACTAGCGGCACGTCTCAGTATTCCTGATCTCGAGATGCAGACTATGCTCGAGTCGATCAAAGAACCGCTATCGCAAGAGTTCATCTCACAGAAGATAGGAGGAAATTTGCAGCTTGCACGGCTTGACTCTTCGCTCAACGTTTTACGAAAGGAATCCGATATCGGCCCTGGTAGTGGCTGGAGTCAAGTTGCAGCCTCAAAAGGTGTTCCGCTTCGCCAATTACCCAGCAGCATACCATTTGGCAATAAGGGAGGATTTGCAGTTTTAAGTCTTAGCAGCACAAAGAAAAAGAAAAAGAAGTCTCCTGAGGTTGTTGAGGATTGGGAGGCAGCAGAGGAAGAGGCCGAAAAGGAGGAGAAGGAGAAGGTCGGCGGGCTCAACAGTGGCATCGTTAGCGAGGATGAGGGATCGGCATCATGTCCTCGTAGCGCGGCCGGCAAGAGAGATGTAGATCAGGAAGAAGAGGAAATTCAGAGGGAGAAAGAGCCGCTTGCCAAACAGCCTACTCTTGGACGCTGGGCAGATCTGGAGGATGACTGAGCTGGAATAAGGATACTGGGTCGTCATCTCAAAGACTTAACAGCTTGCTTTCCGCACGATGTAGAGTTCCAAAGATTCTAATATGACCTAATACCGCATATGAATTCTCCTCATGGCTTGTGTTCCCTTATGTATCCGGGCCGTCGAATACTGGGATCCACCTCACACCACAATCTGCAAGCCCAGAACTTGGCAATGCTGTGCAACAGCTCAGCATGCACATGAAGTTTCGAAGTAAGGTGGGAAGGTGATGACTGCAGATATATGAAGTGAAAACTCATCTTGACTCAGTGATGTGTTTTGTCTCATTCTTCCCTTGATCGCAGCTTGCTCTTACCTACGTGTACCGTACCGTACCTACCCGTAACTTTAGGCAAACGTAAACCGCACCATCAACGCAGCTCATCAACACCACGGGATCTCGGCACCTAACCCCCGCCAACCCTATATCCTCACAATGACAGCTCCAAGACTCAAAACCACAATCGCAATTCTCGGCTGCGGTGATGTCGGCGCGACTCTAGCCTACACTCTCGTGCTCCAACCCATCTGCAGTGAGGTCATCCTCGTCGATCTCAAGAAAGACCTGCTAGAAGCCCAGGTCCGCGATCTGAACGATGCGACATACCGTGGAGATTCGGGTGTCAAGGTGCGCGCTGGATCGCACAGAGAGGCGGGGCAGGCGGATATCGTGGTGATCACTGCTGGGGCAAAACAGAAGACTGGTAAGTTCCACTCGGGCTCAATCCATCATGACATCTGTTGACGAAGGTGAAAAAGGTGAATCACGTCTCTCTCTGCTGTCACGGAATCTGCATATTCTCGAATCAATTTTCTCATCAATGGCCCCCATTTCACAAGACACCATTCTGCTCCTTGTTGCCAACCCGGTGGACATTCTAACCTATTTCGCACGCAAACTCTCTGGTTTGCCAGAATCCCAGGTCCTAGGTACAGGTACCAGTCTGGATTCTGCACGCTTGAGAGGTGTCCTTGCGCAGAAGGCCGAGGTTGCACCAAATAGTGTTGATGCGTTTGTGTTGGGGGAGCATGGAGACAGCCAGTTTGTACGTGATCCCAAACCGCGTTGAGCTGTTTAACCGAAGACATGGCACACGTGTAAGTGAGATTGTCTAACTGAGTAAACGACAGATCGCGTGGTCAAGCGCGTCCATTGGCACAACACCCCTCGCCCTCGCCCTCTCCGACCAGTTAACCCCAGGCTTTAAAGAGTATATCTCCGCCCATACGCGCGGTGCAGCAGGTGCCATTATCGCCGCCAAAGGCTGCACCTCTTACGGTATCGGTAACATTGCCGCTAGTATTTGCAAGTATATTCTCTTCGACTCGCGGAGTGTACGGCCATTGTCATTTTACCAGCCGGAGCTTGGATGCTGTCTGTCAATGCCAGCGGTGGTCGGAAGGAAGGGTATTATCAAGGCCATGCCGATCCAGCTGGATGAGGCGGAGAGGAGGGAGTTGGAGAAATGTGCTGAGGGTTTGAGGGGAATTATCGCGGGGGCGGAGAAGGAGTTGAGCGCAGATAGACAGTTGGAGAAGGCGTTGGCTAGTGACAAGGGAGTATAGGAAGGAGATGAGGTAGACACGCTGCGAGTATGGGTCAATATTAAATTGACAAGGTCAGGGTATCAGGACATTCTGTATCCTTTGATTTCATCTAGATGATTGATATAGCTAATGCGCTTACACTCCCGCAGACGTGCACGGCGTTACCACTTAGGCTGTAAATCATCCTCTAAAGGCAGCATATATTTCTGCAGCTCCTTTGATACCTCATCCGCTTCTTTCCATACCCTTAACAGATTACCACCGGCAATCCGCGCTGCGTCTTCATCGCTTATCCCCTGGCGCAGTAGCTCAGCAATGAGCTCGGGAAATTTGGACACATCCTCCAACCCCGTAGGCGTAGCTTCAATACCATCATAGTCTGAACCGATTCCAACATGATCATACCCAATCAAGTCCCCAATATGCCGAATATGCCTCACGACCTGCATCAAAGTGTTATTCGCTGGTACGAATTCCGGAAAGCCGTCTGGCGTCTTGCCGGGAACGCAGGAGATGAACTCGGGATTGAAGTTTACCATGACCACTGAATTACGCTGCTTGACCATCTGAAGGACATCATCCGGAACATTCCTAGGGTGCGGACAGATTGCGTATGCGGAGCTGTGGCTGAAAATCGGGGGTGCAATGCTACCTGTCCAATTCCCCGCGCTGCCATCAGGCTTGCCGACGAGGACATCTCGCATGGTATCATGACTGACGTGTGCAAGATCAACGAGCATGCCCATGCGATTCATCTCTTTGATCAAATTCCGGCCTTCAGGGCTCAGACCGTGCCACAATGGTGTTGCGACGTGAGCGCTGAAGTCGGATCCTGTTTCCACGGCGGCATCGGCGTACTTGTTGTGACAATTCCAAGTCAGTGTTGCGTAACGGATGCCTAGCTGGTGGTAGAGACGTAGTGTGGAGACTGAGTTGCCGATTTGATGGAGACCTTCAATGGCGGCTGGGGCAATGAAGGAGCCGGATTTGAACGCGGCTTCTGCGGCTGCACTATCCTTGGGAGGCGTGAAGTACTTTGGATAGGATTGGCCTAGGCGATGGAAGAGATCAAGTTGGCCAAGTGTAGATTTGACGACTGAGTCCGTTAGTAAAAATTACATGTATGCCTCGCCTCGGAGAGAACCAGCTTACTGTCGTGATATCTTTCGTCGCTGAAGTTGGTGCCATCGCCCAGCGGACATGGCCAAAAGGCACTCCAGAAAGCACCGCCCTGGAGTCCCTTTTCCAGACGGGGTATATCAACATGCTGGGCAAGTCCGCCTTGTTCAAACTTATCGGCGAATTCTTTTTTATATATGTGGTTTTGGAAACTTCCCGTGATGAATATCATTAGGTCATTATGCCCGTCTATTAATTGTCAGCTAAAGCCCGATTCGTATCGGGGGAAAGAGAATCTACCAATGAGTGGGGTGTGCTTCAATATCTTCGTTGCGCGCTCCTCAATCGTCAACCCATTTCCGCATTCGTGCTCAGATGATGAGTCGGCTAACCAGACATACATAACACGATGCAATGTCAGCAGTAAAACGATGGCTATTGTGATTCTGTAAAGGACATTTTGCTGCCGAGAAGGCACACTGGCCGCTACAGTCCTTTTCTCCTCATCGCCGCGCGTCTCGTAGATCAATGCTTTCCCTTGCTCTTCATCGAAGTTCACACTCCCATAGTCTTTTTCGCAGTGGCTTTGCACATAGCTCATCTCATCATGTAAATGCTCGTACTTCTTCATAATCAACATCGGTTTTTGACAACAATGAAAGAGTGACATATGGCAGACCGCGTAGGTGATTTATCTTACTGATTCAGCGCTCTGCCTAGCGTCGCACTAAAAGCTAGCGTGAAACTAAAAACTTTTAAGCTACTAAGATAAGGCTTATATAATATCTATACAAAGTATTAGTGGAGATTTCAAAGAAAAATATGATATATTTTAATAGTATTTCAAATTGTTAATTTTACAGCTTTTTTATATTATTAGCTTTAAAATTGCGAAATGATTTAAAATATTCCTCTACCTCTACCGGTACGGTACTGGTATTAGTTCTCAATCGGCCAATTTCAGCCAGGGCGTCTGATTCATGAGGTAAAGTCAGCGTGTGGTCCCGGCCATTTCCAGTAAACAGGTAGCAAAAGATGAAAATTGCCAGTGTTGCGGTCCAAGTGGGAGATGATGGCTTCGTTAGTAGTAGTGGTACTGTTCAGGTGTGTCACTGGTCACAGGTGAGCATCGTCTCGTACCGATAACATACGTATGAGCTTGTGGATCGTGGCTCGTACCTCTAGTCTAGCAGCGTTCGCAAAGCTTAATTACGATCTGCAAGCGATCTAAAACGAGAGTTGAGAGCGTCTGCGACAAGTGTGGCGATATTTAATATCTCTGCTAGTCGTTGGATGTGCCCAGGAGAATCCATCTCGTCGACCATTCTTGGCGCAGACAAAGTTCGCCGTACGCGATTTACAAGTTCTTTTCGTAGACAAATGGAAGCGCGTAGGGTTGCAATCTGAACAGCATTACAGTCGGCCTTACATGGCGTGTTGTCAAATCGTCCCTTCCCGGTCTGGGCTGGTACGCGTGGTGGCAGTTAGGGCACTGCATATTGTTCGCGCCTCCTCATCAATTCTATTTGCACAGCACCATCTCCGTCACCTTGTTATTGACAATACATTTGGTCCCACAATCTTTAACATTTTTACTTGCGCGAGGGCTTTCCACACATACACTGATGGCCCCAATAACGTCGAAGGCTTTTCCTTCCGAGACGACGACGCCACGAGACTACGAGGAAGCGACCGACTAGGAGTCCTGTCAAATCTGGGTCATCAAGTCAGTTTCACCGTGTTGGGGTGGGGGCTATTTGTGAAGCTCTATCTAACAATGACAGTTGCAACGATCGTAAATCCCGTCTCGTCACGAAGCTCATGGAAGAACGACTCTACTCTCCCTACGCTGAACCCTCGTTCGAAATAACGCCGGCGAACGCCTCTCTTGTGTACATTTCCCACTTCACCAAGGACAACATCAACTTCGCCTACTGCATCAGAGGAAGTCACATGACAAAGTTTCTTATTGGGACCTTTGGCATGCAAGCATACGACGGTCCCGCCCTGATAACACCCGTTGTCTTGTTTTCACAGGAAAGTCTGCTCAAGGGAGTTACCCTATTAGGATATCAGTCAAACTCGCAATTGAGAGTGAACAAGAACAACACTCAAACGGAAAAGGTCCGGTGGAGATATTTGTATGAGACAGCAAGGATACAATGGGCCAAGTTGAAGTTTGATATGACGAGATGGATAGACCTGAAAGATGAGATTCAAGAAGCTCTCAAGTCAAAACAGCTCCTTGGGCTCGCCCCAGAGAGTGACGAGGAAATGCATGAGGACGCAAACGAAAACGATGCTGATTCTGACGGTGAGCCGGGGGTCTCATCGGTCACATCGCGCCAGATTCAAAAAAGCCCAGAGACAGCCGATAGGGGCATGACCAGGCCCGGAGGATTAGAAGAAGCGGGACGCGATGATGAGAGTATTCCGGACAGAACTTTAGGTGACGTGGAAACAGACAGTTCAGAGTCTGCGGGGCTTGATATTAATATTCTCTCGCTGCTTCACTCTATTATCGAAAGCGGTGGGAAACCTGACGACCTTTATGCTTACCTTGCCAAGCGCGACACCCATGGAAATATTGTAGGGGATCAGGAGCTGAGAGACAAGGTAGTGGCTCTTGTCGATACAATTTCCCTTATTATCGATTATAACCAGCAAGTTCGGGACAACGAAGCCATGGGAAGAGAGACCTCAGATATTGCTAAAGAAGAGTTGATGAACTTTTATCGTATACGAGATGAGTTGGTAGAGGATATCCACGAGATCAGGATGCTACCAGAGGATACGAAAGATGATTTCTCCGGCACCTCCTCCGACAAGATGCGACCTCCTTGGGTACTAAGCGAAGACGAGAAGGTCACAATGGGAGTCATGGTCGCCATGGCTATAGAGCAACCCCCAAGGATTGCTTTACGTCTACTGCAGGATAACCACTGGGATGTCGACGAAGCCATAGAGTCTTGGTTCGACGTGCCAGAAGACCAGATGTATTATCTGGAAGACGGCGAGATTATTGGTGGTCACAATAGTTTGAATGCACCGAGAATGAGGGAGACACACTTAGCCTCGGTAGCAAGCTCAAGCGGTCTCAAAAATCTGAAAGAATCTACACCAGAAGATCTCGCGGCCGACAGGGCCCGCTTGGAGAGACTCATCGCGCAGGAGAACGGGACGCCAAATGCTCAGCAACCCAGACAACAACAACGACTCGAACAGCAAGACACAAATCCGTGTGGTATTCCCAACATGGTCAAGAAATCACCAACTCTCAAGCTCTGGCAGAAGCCCCAAGATCCTACCCCGGACACATCCTCACCCCCAATCCAGCCCGCAAACACCTTGGGAGCAATGCACAAAGAAATAATCGACGCCTTTGCTAGTACTTCCACCTTTTCAGATTGCATTCCCACCCCACCAGAATCGACCAAACGCCCGGTGTCGCAGGACTTCCATAATCTGGCTGCAGATGCCCTGGCGTCCATGGGTAAGAAACGGATGTTGGAAGTGTCTTGTGCAAAGCAGTGGCAGCAGGAAGGGGAAGAAGATGAAGAAGAAGAAGAAGATGAAGAAGGAGATGAAGAAGAAGATGAAGAAGAAGAAATCATAGACCCAGAAAAAGGACTAGCGTTGCTAGAGCAGGCAGTGAACATTAATGAATCAAATTTGGGCAAGCGGCTGTCTGCCATGGCCAAGGCAGGATTGAACCAAGCCGAGGCGATGCGTAGGGACAGTGCGATGGATGCGGGTACGATGGATGCGGGTGAGAGTGCTATTCAGACTGGTACAGGAAGGGATAGGAACGTGTCTGCCGAGGCTAGAAAGAGGATTGAGCAGAGGCAAGATGAAGAAGAAGAAGGAAAAAGAAAAGACGAAGAATAAAACGTAGAATAGCCAACAAGGTAAAATCAACACCATCATGTAGTCTCTAGTCAATCGGCTATCCAATATCAACATTGGTCCTATTATTGAAAAAAAAACCGCATATACAAGGGCATCATCATGCATGGGTATTTGCCAGAGCGGCTACAGAAGAAACATCTAAAACCAGGCGTACACTACGACCACGACTTCTCATTAGATGCCCAGGTCTCTTTGCCCGTGCACCCGTCTCCCGTAGCCAGCCCGGAAAAAAAAAATTCAAAATCCGAATGGTTGCTCACGAGACAATGGACCCCGTCCCGCCTACTCGGAATCCAGAAACTCGACCATGATGCTGACACCCTTGAGGCCAGCCTGTTCAATAGTCGAATCAAGATGCTCAATCAGATTCTTGCCCGTAAAAGTCAAGTCAAAGACGGCACCCTGCTTGCCTTCCCAGGGGACATCTGATTTGATCCATTCGTATATGCGGCGCACGGGATCCGAGAGATGGAAGCGGCGGACAATGGGACGACCAGACGGACCACGGAACTGGATGCGAGTTGTGATTTTTGGGTCTGTAATGGTTGGCTCCGTGTGTGGTGCATGTGACGAGATTTGGGCAAAGGCTGGATTCGAGGATTCGTCGTCTGGTCCAGTTTCTGGCTCTGCATCTTGCGTCGAGCCTTGGGCTTTGGCTTTGCCCTTGATGTTGTCGAATGACTTTGTGAGAGCATCGGGATCGTCGTGCTTGGGGCCTGCCTGTGTGCCACTGTCCATGCTGTTCTGTAGGGCCCATTCCATCATCTCCTCCTCTGTCATGCGGTCCACGTCAATCTTCTTGGACTCGGCTTTCCGCTTGGCCACTGGATTCTTCGCGTTGACATTCAAACTGTACCGGTCGAGGAATTCGTGGAGCTGGGCATGGAACTCGACAGGCTCGGGTATGGGCGGACCTGACCAGACCTTGACCTGCTCTCCGGTCCTGGGGTCGACAATGGCGATGTGTGGATAGGCATCGGAGCTCTCGCGGGCGTGGAAGTAGTAGTTGACGTACTGTTGGCCCCGGGGATCGTCCTTGGCGTACTGCATGAAGAGAAAGTTTTCGCGGACCGTGGCCTTGATGTCCTCATTCTTCCAGATGTCGCGATTGAGGCGCTGGCAGTCGAAAATGGCGGGATCCTGGATGTTCACCAGGAGCCATTTTTGCTCGTCCTTGCCCATGTCCCGCGCCTTGTCCCACGCACCCTGGTACATGAGCTCAAAGGGCGGGCGGAAGAGCTCTGCTAGCATGCTCATCTTAGAGGACTGCTCCGAGGCTCCCCCCGTCGCCGTCGCCAGCTCGCGACGCCGTGCACTCGAATCGGCCGAGTTATCCCAGACATTGGTTTGGGTGGTGCGCTGGTTGAAGATGCCGGCGCGGCCGGCACGGCGACGGGCGAGCTGTTCCTGGACCATGGCATCGACCTGGTCGTCGTCGGTGTCTGCTGGGCCCCAGTGTGCGTCTGGCCCCACCAACGTCTCGGTTGTTCGCTGCATGGGAGCACGCACTTGATCTGGATCCGCAGCCGCAGGACCTCCTCCGCCGTACATCTCCTCTTGTAGCCGTCGCGCCATGGCCTCGTCGTCTTCTGTGCTGGGCGCGCCCCGTGCTGGCGGGGTGGCCGAGTGTGCGGCGGGGTTGAAGTCGGCCATGTCTTCGTCGTCTGAGTCGACATGGATAGGATTTTGTGCCGTCGACGACGAGGCAGCGTGCGAGCCAACTGCTGGGCCAGATGCTGGTGTTGTTGCTGTGGGGGCGGGGCCGAAGTCGAGATTGGGGCTGTCAAAGAACAATTGAATGGCCTGCTCGAGATTGCCGTCGGTAAGGCGCAAGTACTGGGCGGCCTTGTCGGCGTCGCACGAGGTAATGCTGACAAAGTCGGCGACGTTGGCGTCGTCCATGATAGCGGACAGGCGGGGGTGTGGTGGCGGTGTCGATGGGGAGGGCTATCGTCTACGGTTTTTGGAGAGAGAGGGAGGAGGGTGAGGAAAGGCGTGCTGCAGCAGGGTCGACGGGCACACTGACACACTGACACGCTGGGAGACAGGCAGACAGACAGGCAGACGAAGGCAGACGCACACTCTCACAGTGTCTGTGTAAGAGATGGGTTTGCAATGCGCAGGTGGGTTGGTTGTTTGCCGGGTGCAGAGTGGGTGGCGGGCTGCACGTCACGTCGTCGTACGTGGGGGGTGGGTTTGTGTGTGTTCTGTTGAGAGTTGGAAGAGAAAGGTTAGTATAGAAGAGTAGTGGTAGGTATAGGCAGGTAGGTAGGCAGGTAGGTACTAGGTAGATGGGGAAGATGGGGAGGTAGAGAGGGTTGGTAGACGGCAGAGTAGAGGCAGGGTAGGCAAGGTAGGTAGGTAGTCGGAGCCGTGGTGGGGCAGGGGAGAGATGGGCCAAAAATGATAAAACCATCCTACCAGCTACGGTACCGTACGACTACTAACCAACTGCTGTGCATGCTGGGTACCGCCATGTCTACCATGGGAACTCGCAGCGACCAGCAGCAATGTGTGATGACATACATTGACCTGTGGACATGTGGCCCAGGTGCGTGGCGGGGTGGCGGTGAAAGCAAGTGGGCATGTTTCATCAGACTTCTGATTGGCATGATACTATGATAGCTCCTACTAGAGTAGAGTAGAGTAGAGCAGAGTAGAGTAGAGTAGAGCAGAGTAGAGTAGAGTAGAGCAGAGTAGAGTAGAGTAGAGCAGAGTAGAGTAGAGTAGAGCAGAGTAGAGTAGAGTAGATTACTAGGTATAGTCATAGTGGTATCTGCTTGCTGCTTTGTCCGAGGCACATGGCAGCAGAGTCGAGATACACACGCACACACTGCTGGAGACAGACTGCTGGAGACACACACGCACACACCCATACACCCATACACATCTCAGACAAAGTGACAGCTGGAGGCGCAAACTTGCGTCATGACCTTGGCTTCGGCTTAGCTGAGAGACTGAGGGAGTGCTCGCTTGAAATGATCGGTCGGAAGTCCTATTCCTTCGCCAGCCACAGACAGAACAGGATGGATGGACTGCAACTAACTAACTCGCGACTCTACCCGGTAAGCATCCCTGTCTGTCTGTCGCCTCACCATCACCATCACCACTACGACAACCACCACAACCACCACCACCATCATCCCTCTCCTCTGCCTGCTGCCCGATCAATGTTGACACGCACAATGCACACCTACTAGGCAATCAAGCACTTTCCCCACTCCCCTCCACACTACAAACCCCGCTGGGCCAACAATTCATCCCGCCGTCGAATTTTATCGTCAGCTCGCACCTGGGCCGCGTGTCGTGCTACTGCCTGGTCCCAGATAGCTAGCTAGCTACCTATCCCCTATAGTCTTCCCACACCCTATCACGTGCGTCACGGCTACCTATGTAGACCACTTCCAGTCCGTCCACCTACCTAGACAGTAGACAGTACCCTGCATTTGCCTTGCAGCCTGCAAACTCCCCCCCGTTCCCCATTCCCCGTCGCTGGTCACTGTTACTATCACTGTCACTACCACTACCACTGTCCCAGTCACAATCACAATCACAATCACAATCACAGTCAAAGTCACAGTCACAGTTCCACCACCCCACCATGGCCTCGGAACAAACACCAGAAGCCAAAGAGCTGGCCCTGGTGGCCAAGGTTGAAATGCGCATTGCCCTAGCCAGCACAGAGAAGAAGCTCGAAGAGTTGCTCAACACCTATCTGGCTCCACTCCTCCTCAAACTTGGCTCCGACAGTGTAGCCGTAAGAAACAAGGTAAGAATGCCTGGTGCCCGCGTCATGCACCCGTCTCCTATCTCCTTGCCTTCTCTGACCGTTGCTGATGGCGACGTTTCATAGGTCATCTCCATTTGCCATCATGTCAATACCCGCATCAAATCACAGTATGCGTTCGGAACACCCCCCCCCCCCCCCCCATGCTTCGGCCATTCTGTCGAGATACTGATACCATCTCTAGAGACATCAAGCTCCCAGTCCGCCCTCTGCTCAAGCAATACAAGGAACATGGCCATGTTGCCCTCATACGACACTTTGATATCCTCTACATTCAACAAGGCATTTCTCGACTTGCAGTATCAGAAAGACTCGAAATCCTTCCCATATTGCTCAAAGGTATTGCCAATGACTATCAAAAGTCTGCACAGCACGCCTCCCAGCTGTTCCATTTGATACTGCGCCTCCTGGTCCACTTCAAGCTCCCTTTACGTGCAAGTAAAGACGATGATGAGCTCAGGTCTACTTTGGCACTCTCCGACGAGGATGGGGCCTTTTTGTCCAAGTGGTTTGGCAAGCTCCTTCTTTTCAATCCTGTGCGCCAAAGTGGCCCCGAGACCGCTGTCTCACCCTCATGTCCTGGCCTGTCTGCCGAGGAGTACAAGTTCTTGACACAGCAAGGACGACCAGATGCATGGGACCCAAGCTCTGATGCGGGACTGAACTTGACAGAGACCAAGGCCTTGGTAACACGGTTCGTAGCCAGCGGTCTTTTCAACGATGACGAGAAATTCTTCCCCGCCTTGTTCGCCTCTGCTGACACCAACTCTCGCATCTCTGAAGCTGGTGAGGATACTTTCAAGCGGGTTCTACTATCCAAAGATCTCGAGGACCCAGACATGGTTGAAGCTCTTTTCGACCTTTACTTCGGATCACAGGATGGATCGTTGCCGGTGAAAACACCTTTGCGTATCAGGATCCTGAACGTTTTGGCTAGATCTGTAAAGGCGACAGAATATCCACTTCAGATAGCGATGATAGTCGAACAAGGCTTACTGTCTGTTGATCAAAGCACGGCGAGCAAGTCGGCGGGACGTGAAGCTACTAAATTCCGATCCGCCATCTTCTCCTTGGTCAACTTCGTCGCTCGACGTGGGTCCGTCACAGACCTCTCGAGAATCGCAGAAAGCCTGGTCGCTAATCTACGAGGCTTTGTACAAGATCAAGGATGGCCTGTTCCGGATCGTGATCAGGATATGGAACTGCGTGGCTACGCCTACGAAACGATTGGCCTTTTGGCAAAAGCTGCGCCCGAGAAGATCCTCATAGAACCATCGCTGGACTTGCTGGAATGGCTGTTCCGGTCGCTGAGGGAAGACTCCGCAGGCAAAGATGTGGCCGTCAGCATCGAAGAGGCTCTCTCGTCGGTACTAGGTGCTTTCACAAAGCCGTTTGAACCTTCAGTAAAGCACCCATTCAGGAAGATTTTACTGCGGTATGCTTTGCTCGATAGGCCTAATATGCCCGCTTCCGATCGATTTACAAGAAGCACGCGCTACGTCGCTACTCGCTTTGCAAACCGTTGCCTACCCTATGATGACGTGCTGGCACGCTGGATAGACATTCTCGCCATCAGCGGAGGTGCTTCCGAAAGACATGAAATAGTCGAGGAAGGCCGTCGCGGCTTGGATCCGTTCTGGTTCAGAATGTCGAACACGCCGCCAGGTGAACGTGAGAGAAATGAACTAAAGTTCCCCGACTTCAACAAGTTGGTCAACTTCATCATAGTTCAAGAGGGTGAAGCCGAAGACGAAGACCCAATGGATATTGATCAACCAATTGATGTCCTTCATCAAACACAAAGGTTCCATGATCAGTATCCCGGCACGCTTCCGATTGTTATCACCTTCTGTTCTAATGTTGCCATGCAGACGGCGTTAGCCGACAAAGGATTGAGCAACGAGATCCCAGAGGATTGGGGAAGAAAACTGGATACACAAATGACCACAGAGTTACGCGCACGACAAGCGTTTCGTTCTTTTGCCACACAACCATCCCATTTCAATTCCCTAGCTATGCTGTTACGAGCTAGCTTTGACAGACTTACACGAGATCATGTCAGCGACGTTGGAGATATTGGGACTACATTTGTGAGGCTGCTATCTCTATTATCGCCAAAACATTGGATTCTTGCAAAGCTCGTTCGTGACATTCGCGCCCTGGAGCCTTCGGTTTGGTCGAATAACCCTAGTCGGCGGCTCGCAGCTGCCCACGCCTATGGCCTATTGGCATCGCACGACACAATCGATGCCGAAGCATTAGAAAAGTCTCAAGTTACGTTCTTTGAGAAGCTGGATACTTGGAAGACTGCTGTGGGTGGTGATATCAACCAGATTAGTGGTATCATTCTCGCACTTGCATATTACTTTAGCAGGGCATTTTGGAGGGCCAGAGCGGCCTCGGACGCTATCACTGACGATCATCCTGTACATCGACTGCTTGGAGCTCTCATAGATATCATGAAAGAGTCTCGAGACGCTACGTTGAGAGAAGCAGCTTTTGCGAGTGTAGATCAACTCAGCCTATTCCATGTCATCACACCATCGATGATCTCGAAATATGCAAAGTTTGAAGACGTCGCACAACAAATATACGAGCATGCAAGGACAGGTGCCACAACTGCAATAGTGGCTCTGGGTCGCCTTTCCATGATCACCGAAGAGACGGATTCTGAGGCTGAGATGGACTCCGAGCATGCGGTCATAGGCGAGAAGTTGTATGAACTTCACGAAGTTCGCCAGCCAGAAGTCCAGTTCTCCGTCGGGGAAGCTCTGAGTTGCTTTGCGATCGGCTGGGAGTCAAAGGCCCTCGTAGCAGAGCTCGACATGCTACACCCAGATCAGCTGCAAGAACCTTGGGATGTAGAACTGAAGACGCCTTCCGGTCCGACACGCGAAAAGACATTCAAAGCCGTATTGGAGAGGACGCTCAAAGGATGCGTGCAAACCAAGCCCTCACTCAAGAAGGCTTCGGTCATTTGGCTATTGTGCTTGCTGCAATATTGCGGCCACAAATCCGAGATGCAGGGCCTTCTTGGACAATGTCAGATTGCTTTCAAGAACTGCTTGTCTGATCGCGATGAGATTGTCCAGGAGGCTGCTTCGAGAGGACTCGGGCTAGTTTACGAGAAAGGTGATCGCCAACTCAAGGACGACCTTGTTCGAGACTTGGTAGGTTCATTCTCTGACAACAAATCGAAAATGTCGGGCACTGTGTCCGAGGACACACAACTCTTTGAGCCTGGAGCACTACCTACAGGTGACGGTTCCATCACGACCTACAAGGATATTCTTAGTCTGGCAGCTGAAGTTGGCGATTCGAGTCTCGTATATCGCTTCATGTCAATGGCATCCAACAACTCTATCTGGTCGAGCCGAGCTGCTTTCGGTCGCTTCGGACTAAGCAACATCTTTTCGGATTCCAGTGTAGATGGCTACCTAGCCCAGAACCCAAAACTGTATCCTAAGCTCTATCGTTATAGGTAAGCATCTATTCACGCGAATGACACTACGAGTATGCGTCAATTAACCAAATCGATAGGTTCGATCCGAATACTAATGTACAGCGCTCCATGAACGACATCTGGAACGCGCTAGTCAAGGATTCTTCAGCAACAATTGACAAACATTTTGATGCGATCATGGATGATCTACTCGTCAGTATCTTGACCAAAGAATGGCGTGTTCGTCAGGCGGCTTGCGCAGCGATTGCGGACCTAATCCAGGGTCGTAGCATTGACAAGGTGAGTCAATTCATAGCTCGGCTGATACGATCATCCAGGATGCTTGACTAATTGTGTGCCAGTACGAAAAGTACCTAACAGATATCTGGGACAAAACCTTCAAGGTATTGGATGACATCAAAGAAACCGTGCGTGTCGCCGCTGCAGCACTTGCTCGTGTCTTGACTACTACCTTGACTCGCTCACTCGAAGCCGGAGATGGATCTATGAAATCAGCTACAGCGCAGCTCACACGCGTGCTTCCATTCCTATTCTCCACATCTGGGTTGGAATCTTCCGCTGAAGACGTGCGCCTCTTCTCGGTGCACACACTTCTTCAAATTGTGAAGAAGAGCAACGGAAAGACGCTGAATCCACACGTGCCCGAATTGGTAGAGCGTCTGCTAGGCCTGCTCAGCTCACTGGAGCCGGAAGCTGTCAACTATATCCACATGAACGCCAGCAAATACAATCTGACGGAGCAAAAGATCGATGATATGCGTCTTCAGAGTGTGCGATCGTCCCCACTAACAGAGTCACTGGAACGCTGTCTCGACCTAGCAGACGCAGACACAATGAAGGCCCTAGTTCCGCGCATCGAGGCCGCAATGAAGAGTGCAGTCGGCCTACCGTCAAAAGTAGGCTGTTCGCGAATCCTCGTCACGCTCGCAACACGGCACAGGTTCCTATTCAAACCGTACGCCGACGGCTTCTTGAAACTCGTACAAAAGCACATCCACGACCGCAACGAAACAGTATCCAGTTCCTACGCCGCGGCCGCCGGCTACCTCGCCCGCCTAGCTTCGGACAAGCAGATCCTAGCCACCATCGACTTTGTACGCAAACTCTACTTTGACTCTGAAGAAAACAGCGACAGAAATCGGGTGCTGGCAGGAGACATGATGCGTGCCTTGTCCCTCCACGCCACCGATCGCTTCACCGCTTTTGCCGCAGACTTGCTGCCCTTTGTCTTCCTCGCCAAACACGACGGCGACGAGCAGACGCGCAACCTCTTCACCGCGACGTGGGACGACCACGTCGCCGGACCCCGTACCGTATCCCTCTATCTCACCGAGATCCTCGCCCTCGTCGACACCCACCTCGAAAGCAGACAATGGGCCATCAAGCACACGGCCGCAAAGTCAGTCGCAGACCTCATCTTGCAAATCACAAACGCAGTCGGCAGTCAGACAATGGAACCCAGCACCGCCAAACTCATCTGGCCCGTTCTAGACAAAGCCCTGAGCGGCAAGAGTTGGGAGGGCAAGCAAGTCGTGCTCGAGGCGTTTGTGCGGTTTGTCGAGAGGAGTGAGGGGTGGTGGGGGGAAGAGGAGGGGGTGGCGAGGCAGCTTGAGAGGGTTGGGGCGAGGGAGGGCAAGAGGCACGAGGGCAGGAATGAAAGGCTTGTTGCGCGCGTTTTGGAGAGGCTGGGCGCGCGTTTGGCGGCCTAGATTCGGTCTTGCTGTTGTGGTCGGTTGAATCCGCCATGCTTTGTCTGTACTGTAATGTCTCCTCCGGCTGAGATGCTCGGGCATAGAGTAGCTGGCTGTCTAGCAGTCTATCCATCCAGCCATCTATCCTAACCTATCCTATCCTACCCTATCCTACCCTACCCTACCCTACCCTACCCTTCCCATCTTATCCTGCCCATCCAACCACACCTCATCTTCTTATAAACTACCTATCCCACCCTACCCTACCCATACCCATCCTACCCATGCCTACCCTACCCACAACATCCCGCCAGCCAAGCCGTCATCTCGGCAGCTACTCTGACATGTGCAAGTACCACAGTACACGTTGAAATGCGGTATCATCTGGGTAACGGTAGAGGCCCATGAGATGCGGTAGATGTTGTGCTACTCGTAGCTTGAGCACTAGTAGTCAAGGAGGCATGGCCTCAGGCACAGTATTGCATGCACTTCTTGGCATTTGCACATCAAAAACAAACAAAAAACACTTTCAAGACATGGGTAGAAGACAGACGTCTGATTTCTCCTTTGGCGGGCTATTTACTGGTCGTGCTCACCGTCCAACAAGCCCCAACCTACTTCGACTCCAGCATCTCAATCTCATACTCCCTCGCATCCAAAAACATGTCAATGATGCAACTAGCAGACCAAGACTGCGTCGGACAAGAATCCGCGCAAAACTCTCCATCCTTTTGCGTCAGCTCCGTCAGGCCAGCCCACGGGCTTTCACGAATCGCCTTCATGCAGCCTGCAAGACGGCGTGTGACTTGCTGGTAACTTTCAATCCGCTCATCCGCCGTCTTGCGTCGCTTCAAGTCGAACTTGAGAAGGGCGCGGAGAAAGAAGCCCGTTGGCCAGAGCCACTCGGGGCCCTGGTGATAATTTCTGCCCTTGGCGGTGTGGAAGTCGGTAGAGTCTTCACTATTGATGTAGTAGCCGCGGTAGTTGAGATCAGACGGATCAAGCGTCTTCATCCCTTGCGGACCAAGCAAAATCCTATCGGCCATCTGTAGAGCATACAAAGCATGCTCAGCATCAAACAAATCCGGAGCCACGGTCATGGCGACAGGAAAGTTTGGTCGCAGCTGGTAGTCCTCATACTCTTTGCCCGATCGGTAGAGATCCTTGTAGATGCCGCGACGGTTGACAATGGCCGAGTTGACGTCGTAGTCGCCGTCCTCCTCGGGCGTACGCGGCACATAGAACGTCCGTTCAAAGTTGGCCTTGATGAGATCCGCCCACGCCTTGTAAGTCACCGTCTTTTGCCCGCCTTGCAGAGTCACGCCTTCATACTTGAATTTGCCCTGCGCAAACAATTCTGCGCACCAGCGAACAGTGCTGTACAGCATGCCAATAATCTCAACAGGGGCGCCATCTCGAGGTGTTCCAGGCACACCCTTACTGCCAGCCTTCTCACTCTCACCCATCTTGTCCATCCAGGTGCCGCAATTGAACTGATTCCCACCGAAGATCAGACCAGTCTCCCAGTCAGTCCAGATCTTGATATCGAAGCCCTCAGGCTTCATCTGACTGTCAATGTTGGGACCAGCATCGTGTTCCCGGAATTCTATGCCAGAAGCATGACGTTGAAGAGCTTCCTGGATTACATCCTCAATCGTCGAAGATTGCGAATACGCCTTCTTATCGTTATGTGGAAACCAGGTATCATCATAAGGGAAAAAGCGTCGCTTGACCTTTTCATGCAGCAGGCCCATCCCACTCGGCACAATCTTGGTGTAATCCTGGATGTTCTGAAGGAACCACCAGACCGAGTCTCTTGAATTGTACCGAGGATTCTTACCACCACCCAGAAGATTTGGAATCATGCCGTGTTTCAAAACGCTTGCAAAGGCGAAGATGTGTTCTTTGGCATCGGCATATCGTCCGGTCCCCATGTAGAGACCGCGAGCCGAAATGGTGATGTCGCGACCCCAGCACCGCGCCCAGTCGTAGGCAAAATGCGGGAGACCGGCAGCCATACTTGGAACGCTCTTGTCTGGCCAAAGTGAGGCGCTGTTCATGTAGCCTGTGACTTGCACGCTGACAAGCGCCAGACTCTTGAGAAACTGCTGCCCATTTCGTACATTCTCACCCATGAGCTCGATGGCTCGGTCAACCGCGGCATTGTAGGCAGTCTGTATAACAAGGGCAAAGTATCGGGGCAGGAGGAAATTGGGCACCTTTCGGATCGCGTCGCACCTCGTCTTGAGCCACTCAGCTGGGCCCTTTATCCTGCTGTACTTGCGCTTCTCAGAGATGCGTTCAAGACGACCCACACAATAGTCAAGTGCCCATTGTCCTTCGCGGAGGTGGTTACAGAGCGGGTGACCAAGGTTGTTGTCGTTTACGATGTCTCCAAGGACGCTCCACCAGCCTTGCAGACCAGCGTACACAAGATTCCCATGATCTGGAATGTTGTAGGTGCCATCTTTTCCATCGGATGCATCCTTCTCTTCCGCTTCGCATCGGTAAAGGATGAAGTTGAGATCGGTAAGATTGACATCACTGAACGCGGCCCGCGCTCCCCTTGTGATGTATTCGTCGAGGCCATCTGCATGCTCTGCACTTGGTACCCAAGTTTCAAAAAGGGCAATACTGCCAGGTGGGAACTTGTCAGGGATTCTGATGGTAGTTTCATCGCCGGACGATACTACATTGACTCCTTGAATATTGTGCGTCTGGCTGGGGAGTCCTCGTAGCGTCGTCTTGTCGCCAATAATGCGAGCTCGTGTCTCTGGACTGTTATCGACCTCCAGATTCCAGCTGCCAATGAGTTTCGCCTTGGTGCCAGGCAACTTGGTTTCGCCAAAACCTCCATTGCCATTACCATAGCCGGGAAAGGCGGTATGAGCAATCAAAAAGTACCCCTTCCGGGTGTGAGGATTGACACGATGGACAGTGATGTACTCCTGGTCGTGGTGAATGTACGTCTCGTCGTATTCTTCTTTGCCCATCTTCACGTGGATCTCGTTGATAATTTTGCGGATGCCACCGATGCCACCCTCACCAGCTTGCGCCTTGACAGGCCCGCCCGTTGAGTTGATGGAGGAATACAGACGCTTCTCATGGACAAGCTCGATCAGTTCGGGGTAAACTTCATCGAATCCAAAGACACTGCCCGTCGCACAAGAGCACATGGCGACGAGCGCAGCGCTCGGGAGTGTATCGCGGGCGTCTCTTTTTTGAGCCGGCGTTTCGTTGTCGTGTGTGCAGTCCATGAAGAGTGCATGTACTGGGCTCCGTTTGATCCTCTTGATAAGCTGCTTGGGGCGGGACTGCGTGGGCCCACCGTTGGAGGTAGTGTTGGTTTGGTCGGCGTTGAGCACCTCGTCCGTCTCGAAACTACCGATTGGGACGCCACCGTGACGGTGAACAAGTCTGCTGAGCTCCTGTGTGCTCCACGCCTGCATACCTTCCCGTATCAGCGCGGAGATACCAAGGCGCATGACAAACTTGAAGTCCATCTCCTCGGAACCAGAGAACAGCTCTGCGCAGACGAAGATATTCGGATTGACCAGTCGCGCTTGGTCGAGCATATACTCGGCAAGATGAATGGGCGTGGAATGGCAATTGTCAATACGGAAACCTTGAAAGTATTTGGCCATGAGCCGAGTGTACTTTGCCATGTGCTCCCAGAGGAAGGGGTTGTCCAGGGGACCACTGCCGTAACGAAGCTTGACACAGTCGCCCCAGACAATGACCTCTCTCCGCAGATACGCTCGCGACTTGGGGCCTGCATTATCGCGCATGGCATCGGCCGCCCATACCCATCCGTTGTTTACAAGCGCAAGGGCTTCCGGATTGTGCTTCTTGGTGATCTCGTTGAGAGGTAGTCGTGTAAAGTAAGGCTCAATGAGTGGATTTGCATCGTTGACCTCCCCAAGCTTGGGACCATGAGCATCTATCCGCACATACTTGATGCGGTTGAAGAGCTGTTCCATGATTTCTGCCTGGTCCCCATCGTATTCGCGGTAAAAGGGAAGATTGACTTCATTCAGGATAGCCGTGAAGGCGTCATGGGCTGCGCGCCCATCAGGAGTACTGCCGGTGCGGCTATCGTAGCGACCAAACAAGGCACAGAGGAGGCCTGCACCGACAGCAGGGTCGATCCTGCGACGAAAGCGTTCACCCATCCTGTCCCCACCGCGCAAGGCATGCTCGACCAGCCAGTCGGCCTTTTGCTTCAGGGACCATGTTTTGACGGCGTCCAGCCCGCGGAGGCCTGCGGCACTAAAGCTGCCCTCGGTGAACTTGGCTTGGCCTGCAACCCATGCATCCACAACGGCATTGGCGTCTCGCTCCACATTTACGACATAGAATTCCCAGAGTTTGCACTTGCTAAGCACATGGGCTTTGACACCGTCCATGACCTTGAGAAGGTCACCCTCATTTTCGAAGGTTGTGGGCAGGCCGTGCATGGAGAGGTCCTTGCTGAACTGGAGTAATTCCGTGTCTAGGACGAGCGCAGCGCGTAGCCAGGGAGCGGTGTCTACATTGTAGCCGGCTTCAGGATGCTCCTCGAGCCACTTGCTGTTGTTGGCTGTGTGGTTCCAGACGACATCGGTCATGGCCAGCATGTCGTACTCGGTCTGCATCTTGTCAACCATGCCAGCCACGTCCTTTTCGCCATTGGGAAAGACGGCGTCGTCGAAGGCCAACTGGTCGTATATACTGTAGGGAGAGTTGGAGGAACCGCGAATCATGAGTGGGGTAAAGTGCACCATGTTGTAACCGCGCTGGCTGATGCCGCGTAGGTGGTTGTCCCAGTCGGTTGGGTAGTTGCCCATGAACTTGGAGAGGGTCGAGAAGACAATGACGGCCTCGGTAGGAAGCTGCTGGCCGCGAAGAGTGAGGCGCGGACAGACATCGATGTAGTATGTGGACGTCCGCGTTGGCTCGGGCGAGGCAACGTCGGTGAAGGACCATTGTGGCAATGGTGTGTAGGTGGTGTAGAAGGAGTATGCGTTGGCCTCGTGGATGGGCACATCAATCTCAGTAATGCCGTTGAAGTCTGGCTGCAGTCTGCGCACAAGTCAGCATATTGTTGTGCTCGATCCAAGGATGGGGCCCATTGGGAAGGGGTCCGAGACTTACTTGTACTCGCGGTACTTGCTGCGCTCGAACTGGTCACCCTTGGCGGGTATGTTCACCCAGAGACTTCCGTAGCGACATATCGAGCTGGTGCCCTGAATCTGGAAGCGAACCACGTACGCCGGGTTCGTGGGCGGTGGCAGGTAGATGTAGGTGCCTGGCACGTCAGGTGCGCCAGCGTCTGTCAAAGGCAGCAGATAGACGGCCTGTGAGGCAGGCGTTTGCGGTAACGTCGTAGCCATGATGTGGCTGTCCAAGGTATGTACAGTCGAGCAGCGAGGGTAGGCAGCGAGAGAGGTGGGAGATTTGCGATGTACTAGCAAGGGCCCCCCAATTGGCACCAATCGAACAGGCAAAAGCTGGCGCGAAGTGGTCGATCAATCAGAATTTGGGATTTTCTTTGTGGCCAGAAGAATAGTAAGCGGTACAGGGTATGTGGTAGGTAGGTGGGTAGGTGTAATAGGATACAAGTTGGTAATGAAGTGGTGGTGGATGCTCAAGCTGAGGTGTGGGAAGAGGAGGAATTGTATGTAAGGTAAGAAGTTGGCAGGTGGAGCAAGCACCTGATGGACGCTTTATAAACAAAGACAGCGACCACTTCTGGGCAGGAGGTCGAGGGTCGACGATGCCTACCGCGAAGAGGCTGGAGGTTAGCTAGTCGTAGCTGTGAGTAGAGAGAAGCTATGGTGGGCTGTCCAAGGCAGGAAAGGTACTAACACGAAGCTTGACCTTGGAAGCCGCAGTCCTGAAGCCCTGAGCCTGCAGCCCGCAGCCGCTGACACAATGTTGAGCCGTCGAATGGGTTAGAGACAGACTAAGCACATGTGCGTAGGTGGACTAGGTATACCAACCTCTATCTTTGACCTACGGCACTCAACAAGAATCAAACCGACAACAAAACAAACACGACAACACGACAACACAACATGGGCAGAATTGGGAAGCCGGTCCAATCCAGTCGCGATGCACGGGAGCCGCAAGTGCGACAACCCAAGCCGCCCCTCCCTCCCCTCGTCGCTTTTTCCCGTCTCATCACGTCATTGCCCCGAGCCCCAAAGACCGGGGGTCGGATGGTTTGCTGCCCAGGTGCTGTCCAATCGTGTCCGGGCTAGGCATTCTTCCAACCCCACCACCCATCCTATCAACCCTCCACACATGCTCTCTACACATCAAAGGACAGCCCTCACCTGCTCCTCGAAACACTCACAGGGGACCCAACTCAACCTGCCTATACCATCACCCACTCAAAGCCAACCTAGAAAACGCGTGACTAGATGTAGAATCAGCATGTGCAAGGAATATTTCAATTGCCTTTTACAGCTCCTACCGTACCGGTACTAGGAACCCCAAGAAAAAAAAAAAGAACAAGTCTCCACCATCGCCAGATGACTTGATCCTGCCCTCTCTATCGTACACAAACACAAAACACAAAAGGCGCTTGCCCCCTTTCTCTCCCGTGATACTAAACGACTTATCGATCAAAATTAAACCAAGAAAAAAAAAACAATCACGAGGCCAAGGAGATTGCTGAATGGGTATCGCAGCCTCGTGACTGCCTTTCAAGAGAATCAAACATGCACTGCTTCTTGTCATGCAACCAGCCATCCCACGAGGTTTCTGCCCAGGCCTTCTCATGCTGTTGCCAACGAAAAGAAGAAGAGGAGGAAGAAGCAGATGGAGAAGCAAAAAACCAACTTCGGCCTTCTCCTGCCTGCACAATCAAAACTTGATATTGAAAGGCGAGCTAGGAGGATCGCGTAGGTCTAGCCGAAACTGTGTCGATTCGGACAGCCCACGGCCATGTTGCGCTTGCGTAGGCGTAGCCCCATCATCCACATCTGCCGGTAACTCGGTTGTCACGGGTGGCAGCCCACGCTGGGGACCCTCTCGAAACCCATGCCCATCTCGACTGTCCGAGCTCGGTGCATAGCGTTCTGGAGAAGAGTCTCCGTATCCACCTCGTGTTCGAAGAGCAGAAGCCAGGCTCGTCTCAGACATGGCTCCCGAAACGTTTGGCGGGGTAGCACGACCGTTCGTGTCCATGGACCGAGTGCGCATCGATGACTTGATGTGATCGGTCGAGTTGCTACGAGTGGATGTCGGCTTCACAGGCTGTCCAGCATGGGAAGATTGCTGGGAGCTCTTGTTCTTGCTTGTCTGAGCAGGACCATTCACGGTAGAGGGACGCTGTTGCTGTTGTTGCTGTTTCTGCGGTGGTCTTTGTTGGTGTTGGTGTTGCTGCTGCTGCTCCTCTTGTTCTTGCTCTTCCTGTAGTTGCTGCTTCTCCATTTCAATGCTACTCAGAAAGTTGAGCTCGTCGGTGAGGAAGTCCTTCTCAGTCCAGCATCCCTGCCAGCAATTGCGCCAGTCAAGAATCAAGAACTGAAAGCAGAATGCGTCAATCTTGATGGCAGGCTGAAAGCAAATGCACAAATTGTTGTAGTTCATCTTGTTGAACTCTGAGCACGAGTGCAACAGACTGATGTGGCATGTGATTGCAAACAGCAGGTAGTAGTTGAATGGGGGCAGCTTCGAGAGCTCATCCTTGAGCATTTGCGGTGTGCTCTTTGCCCCCGCACACTCTTGTTGAATCGCGGCCTGGATAGACTTCGGGAAAATCTCGTCCGGTAATTGACGAAGCCAGTTCTTGAACAGGGAGCCAATCACGTTGGGATCGTTGAGGTTCGGATCGCTGATGAGATCAATGTCCCGGTCTAGAGGAGGGATCTCAGTCATGTTCAAGCACTACTTCTTCTTTGCACATACCCTCATCGAACTTTCGTTCATAGTAACGAACCTGCTGCGCCGAACCTGGCACCCGATACAGCCCCTCTTCTTCACAGCCTCTCATATTCAGGTAGCTGGTTACATCATTAGCAGCTTTCAGGTCTGAATAAAAATGGACACCTACTCTATGCAACGCCAAGGAAGGGCAGGCATCCAGAATTCAGTCTTATCACGTGACTGTTCCAAACGTGTCGAGATCCGAGTCAATCTCGTCTGCTCAATCAGAGGTTTATGTATGATTTTGCATACATAGGGTTCGTTTGAAATCGGTGTCTGACTCTCATGGTTGCTGGAGCTGCGGCCTAGTTTTCCAAATACACCCTTCCGTGCAGAGTCCATCTTTTCTCCCATCTTGCGTGCGCCCGAGCCCAAGCTAGAGATCAACCCGGGGCTCTTGTCGTTATATGAACTCGAAGCAAGGGACAACTGCTCGGCTCTGTCTTTTCTTGATCCGTGATCATCCTCTCGTTGCACATGTTTGGTTCCGTCCTGTCGATCCGCAGAATGAGTGCGCAGCTTGCCAATGCCCATGTTCTGCCGCCATGATTGGCCCTTCTCCATAGGCGCAGTCCTAGGCTGCGTTCCGTCACCGCTGTTTGCCCAAGAACTGGCAATCTCGGGCGAGAGTTGTGCTGGCGGAGGCTTGTTTAGCTTCGTCCGGGTGTTGGATGCCTCTTCTCCTTTGATCGACTTGGACCTTGACAATAGCCCTGTCTTCTTCGTCTTGGCCGCGTTGTGTTTGGAACGATCCCCGTGTTCTTCAGAAGGGTCGCTGGACAGGCCTGAGCCAGTTCGCTGATCTAGACGGACAATCTCGGAGCGGTTGTCTGATACACTTAGCAAAAACCCCTCTTCTGGACACGTTAGGCCACTTACCATCGGAGTTGGGAGTCCGCACAGGACGCCCAAGGTCTGGTGTTGAAGAGCCACTCCGTCCATTAGAATAAAGGCCAGGGGATTGTTGTTGCTGTTGATGTTGTTGCTGTTGCTGTTGCTGTTGCTGTTGCTGCTGTTCAGTAGGCTGGCGGTTCGCATTCTCTTGGCCGTTCAGTCGGGACGAAGACCTCGAGGCTGCAAAATTAGAGAAGATGCTCTTGGAGTCTTTGCGGGGCTTTGGCGATGCTGGAGACTGCGGCATTCTGTGGAAAGCAGCATGTGGCATCGCGAAGTCGGACTCTTCGGGTATGTTGGGAGACCTGGGGCTCTTGGGACTCATTGGCGCATTGTGGTTGTCCTTGGCTGCCTTGCCCCTCATGGCCAGCGATAGCGTCGACGACTTGGGCATTTTCCTCAGCGTCTTCTGCGACGGGTTTTTACACAACTAGAGATTGCTTAGCAAAGCTCTATTGCTAGCGACGCGGGCGGGTGATACGCCTGTTGCAGCGTGTGCAAGGCAGCACCCGTATTACCTCGGTCGGTGTTTCCAGGAGCCACTTGTCGATGTGCGGGCAGGTGAATGTTTGTCCAAGCAAGCGGTACGACGCGGGAGTTTGCGGTGTCAATGGAAGCGACGGGCTAGGCGCATGGGTCGTAGCTGCTGGGAGGCGGCGATCGAGGGTGTTTGCGCAAGCCGTATGCTGGTGTCTGCTCATGGCTGTCAGTGAGTGCAGAGAGGGAGGGAGGGAGTGTGAGGCCAGTACGCCCAGTACTGAAAGGCGGTGCGCTGGGTGGTACGAACCGCGAGGGCCCTGGCAGAGTGGCGGTTGTCCACTGGCCAGTGCTATCTGTTGATGTGCAGGTGGCAGCGTCTGCAGCACAGTTTCGAGTGTGCAGGTCAAAGACTCGACGGCGTGGTAGGCAAAGGGTGGCGGTTTGCGGCTCGCATGCAGGCGATTGAGGAGTTTGGAGAGGGCCTTGGTCGTGGAGAGGGCAGCTGTGCTGGCTGTGCGCCGCCAGACACGTCGTTGCGGCAGGTGCACGAGGGCCGAGGGGTGCAGTCAGGACTCAGTAGCACTCAGGAACGAGACGGTCTCGGGCGGGGGTCTGTGACGGGGTCAGCCGTGGGCTGCGGAGCGTGAAAGGGGCCGGCGCTATCCAAGGCGAGGGTTGTACAACAGCAGCTTCGGAGGATGCAGACTACGCCCTCGACGCGGAGACTGAAAGAGCAGCCGCCACGGGCTAGGCAGTGGTACCGCTGGGCGCGGGGACAAAGAGGGAACTTACCATGTACAGAGCGCATGTACTGCGGTACCCACACTCTTGCGCGCGGACAAGGGGGGGTGGTTCGGCTTGATTGGAAGTGGACACGAGGGGGATCAAGGCGAATGGGGGTCGTGGTGGTGGTAGTTATGGTAGTGGTGTTAGTGGTGGTGGTGTGAGATGGCTAGTGTAGGCACTGTGTGCACTCTACTGTGCAGTGTGCACACGTTCGGTACCAAGAGAGTGTGTATGTGGTTTGCGTGGTGGCAGGGCAGGCCAAGGCCAATGCAGCGCGGGATTTGAGAGGACGAATGGGAGCTATTTTGGGTGTGAGCCCAGCGGACGGGCGTGCGTTCCTGGCTGTAGCGCTTGTTAGGTAGTTGGCTTGTCTGGTTGGTGCAATGGCTGTAAGAGCAACAACAAGGTCAAACAAGACCAGAGTTTGCAGTGAGTGACAAGCAAGCAAGGAAGCCCTTGCAAAGGAAGAGCGACTGCAGAACAAGAACAAGAAAAAGAGTGCGGCGTGCTGCTGGTCGTGTTGCAGGTGGTGTTGCTACTGTTGCTGCTGTTTGCGCGATGGTGTTGCCAAAAAGAGAGACAGATAGCTAGAGAGAGAGAGAGAGTGTGTGTGTGTGTGTGTGTGTGTGTGTGTGTGAGTGGGTGAGTGAGAGAGAGAGAAACAGACAGAGAAGGTGGCCAGGGCGCGTGGAGAGGCTTTGGGTTCCAAGTCAGGCAGAAAGGGCAGGCAGGGCAGAGAGACTGGCTGGCTCTTGTATCACTCACCTCACTACATAGTACTGCTATGTACTGTCCATAATCCTACGTACAAGATGTACATACATAGCATAGTATGAAAAGGTAGTCCATGATCTATCCATACATGGTACGGTATAGCACGGTATAGTACGGTATACACAATAGGTATAAGGGCAGCGAGCGCAACACCGTCACCGTCCATGCAGTGTGGCGCAGCACCCCAGAGATGCAGGCACCAGCAAGCAGCCTGTACTTATTGGTATGTACTACGATGTACACAGTAGTATGTGCATATAACTATACATACATACATACATACATGACCAAACAACATTTCCCCACTTGGAATCACGCCTCCAACCCGCTGTGCCTGTGCCTGTGCCTGTGTTGGTGCTGGTGCTGGTGCTGGTTCCAATGTCGCGGACGCGCTTCAGGTGTTGCGAGGCGCCATGTCCGCCAAGACACGTTTCAACCCCCTCGCCCCGTCCTTGCAACCTTGGATCCCGCCTGGTTCAGCGCCAGACACCAAGTGACCACTGGCCAAACACCAAGTGACCACTGGCCAAACACCCCAAAGACTCCCAAGGGACGCATGCATGGATGGTTGATTCAATGAATGAATGAACGAGATATACATGGATGCATGCCACCGCACCACTAACACAGTAACACAGCCGGCGCTCCCCCACATCCCCCATCCAAACCACCCATACCACCCAAATCCAAAACAACATCCATCCATCTGCTGCTGTTACCTACATGTCGCTGCTATCTGGCGGTCGCACCGCCATTGCCAACATGCCCGACGAGATGCAGCTCTACGTTGACAAGCACGTCAGCTATATACAGAGTCTCGACTCGGTGCGTTGCCTGATGCCTACCTTGTTCTACCGGCGGTCCCCGTACTGACCCGCCCCAGCGCAAAGACGAGCTCGAGTACTGGCTCACTGAACATCTGCGTCTCAACGGCCTCTACTGGGGCTTGACTGCATTGCATCTTCTCGGCCGTCCAGATGCGCTGCCCCGCAGTGACATTCTCGACTTCGTCTTCTCGTGTCTGCATGACACGGGTGGCTTTGGTGCTGCTCCAGGCCACGATGCGCACATGCTGTACACTGTCAGCGCCGTCCAGATACTTGCCACCCTCGACGCATGGCGAGAGCTGGAAGATCGCGTACCAGGTGGCCGTCAAAAGATTGGAAAGTGTATGTCTTCTGCCCAACAGCGGACACTTTGACTAGACTCATCAGACGCAGTCATTGCAGACTTGCAAGATCCACTTTCTGGCACATTTGCTGGCGACGAATGGGGCGAGCACGACACCCGCTTCTTGTATGGAGCCTTGAATGCCCTTTCGTTGATGGGTCTGCTGCACTTGGTAAATCTTGGCCAGGCCGTTCACTACGTCCACTCCTGTGCCAATCTCGACGGCGGTTATGGCACCAGCCCTGGTGCAGAATCACATTCAGGCCAGGTCTTCACCTGCGTGGGGGCATTGGCAATCGCCGGCAGACTGGACCTGGTGAATCAGGAGAAGCTCGGCGCCTGGCTCAGTGAACGACAGCTCAAGAATGGGGGCTTGAACGGTCGACCAGAGAAGAAGGAAGACGTGTGCTACAGCTGGTGGGTGATGAGTAGCATGGCCATGCTCAACAAGCTGCATTGGATTGACGGCCAGAAATTGGCCCGATTCATTTTACAATGTCAGGTAAGCCAAAAGGTACCGGCCCAGCCACATGTGGCTGGAGTTTTATTTATGTTGACTGACACTGACACGTGACAGGATCCGGATCAAGGGGGACTCGCAGATCGTCCTGGCGACATGGTGGATGTATTTCATACCTTGTTTGGCATCGCCGGGCTGAGTCTCTTGAATTATCCTGGTCTCGAAGAGGTTGATCCTGTATAGTAAGTTGTTGGGCCATGACAAGATCTCGTTTTGCCTCTCTAGCTAACCGACACACAAAGCTGCATGCCACGCGCTGTCACACGAAGATGTCTTGGTAAGTGAATTCAAATCTCAACAGCGATGAGCCCTGCCATTCCCACTGTTTCATGGTTCTTTTTTTGCTGCTATTGGGCTTGCTTCTGGATGTGACTTGTTTTAAATCTGCCAGGCCTGTCTGTCCTCGATGTCCAACGCTTCAATTCACAGCTCGCTTCTGCAGTCTCGTAGACGTGTCCCTTGTGCTTGTATGGGCTGTGACGTCCAGTTGAAAACATCCACCCCGCTGTCTAATACCTCCCGTTCCTGTTTCGTGGGACGGTGAGATACAAAGCTGGGGAATAGCGACGGTGGCTTCCTCTTTTGTCAGGCTGGGCCTCTTCCCCCCTTCCACGTGCTTCGCCTGCTAGACTTCCACCTACAACAAGCTAATGCCTTCTCTGCAATCCAATACTTCCTTCCTCGCATCGTATAGTCATCAGTCTCTATCTCTCCTCTGCCCTTCCTCGTCATCTTTGTTCGAGCAATGGCCCTGAACCTATGGAAGTGACCGGCAGTCATCCCTGGGTAGCTGAAGTTTCGTCTGAAAGCTTCCTATGCCCACCTCTCCGCCTTCTTCGCGTTCAGTCTGCTCCTTTCGCACCGTTTCAACTTCACCTTTGCACTGCAGGGACAGTGCTCTCGCCCTGTGATCGTTCTCTACACTCACGTTCCTTATCAACACAGTGCTGCAATGGCGGCCAGCAACATCCCGCTTCATTGCAACATCTGTCCCAAGAAGCCAAACTTCAGCGATGTTTCACATTTACTTACCCATATTGCCAGTAAGGGCCATTTATCCAACTACTACAAGGTCAAGGTCCGCTCGACTCACGAAGAAGCATCTCGCCGACTGATTGACACTTATGACCGCTGGTATGGTGAGTGGGGTGTCGAGGAACTCATGTCAGAGCGTATGAATCAAAAGGACAAACGCCGCACCAGGGCCCGACCCACTGGTTCGTCTTCACCTGTTTTGGCATGGGCCGCTCGTCACTGATCTCTCCCGTGCAGCAGTACGACCGGCACCGGCGCTCAGAATCGAAGCTCCAATACCGCGACCTTCCCACCGGCGGTCCGCTCTGGGCAATTTTCTTGATCCCCGTCTTTCTGAGCAGCAACCACAACAGACAATCAAGCAAGAGGACTCTGTCAGTCCTTCATCCTCTCTCCAGCCCACTGGACCAGCTCTTCGGCACCGCAGCAGTTACCTGCCCCATCTGCAGCATCACTGGGAAACAGACTCGCGCGCCAGCTCACGCAGTTACACGAACCCAGATTACGACACGTCCAGTGAGTACTCTGATCCAAGTGAGCAGCGGCACCGGTACCGGTATACAGCGACAACCTCGTGTGCCATTGCAGACGATCCAGCTGAAGCAGCAGATCCAATGGCGGTCAGCGAGTCTACCAAGCTCAAGGGAGTCTACTGGCCCGGCATGGACATCTTTGACTCTGCAACGCCTGAAATGCGACGCAAGAGAAACCAGAAAAAGGACAGCTCTGTCGTGGAACAGCTCGAGCTCAACTCACAAGAGGTTGAAGCCACTGAGCTCATCTTCACGCCACAGGGCTCGTTCAAAAGACAACGGAGAATATCCAGCTCGGATTCGGATGATGAGGAAGACGTCGAGATCAAGGCTGAGAGCCCACGGCCTAGGCGCGGACGGCTTGCCCTGGTAAACTTGGACGTCAATGCACCTCATGGCCACAGACAACTCATGCGCCCGATGATGCAATTCTCGAACCGCGCCCAGTATGAGGAAGACCGTAGCTATCCAAGTTATGACAATGGGCATGACAAGTGTACAACGAAGCGGAAGCGATTTGATGTGTTTCAAGACGACGAAATCCACTTCTCGCAGCCCGCAAGCATGAATTACCTTACCTCTGGATTCAGCCGGCAGCCTTCCCCGCCACCTGCGCCGAACTTTGCTCCATACAAACCCCACAATGATCCCTTCCAGTATGAGAACAAGGAGAATATCCTGCCATTGCTGCATCAGGCTAGCCAGAGCAACCTTCAGATGCATCAACACCCTGGCTACCACTACCAGGCCTATACATATGGATTGGGACCAGAGCACATGTTCCACTACAATCCCCATCTTTACCACGGCCCCAACGCATACCAGCAACACGAGGAGGAAGATGACGACGACCAGCGCACCATTACTGCGCCTCCATCACCGTCAACAAGCTAAGCGTGCTGACACAGCCATGTCATCTTTTGCGCAAAATTTCCTACTACCGGCTATGTGATAGTTGTGACATCTTGCAGTCTGGCATGTCACTTGAATCGTCCCTTTAGACCTTTCAACTTCTATCAATCGATCCATTCCCGCAGTCAGATTACATGGGTGTGAGACCCACTTGGTTGTCTTGGCGATGTGTTCGAGATGTGTAACTTATTATGCTTACAATCAATGGCATGAGATACGATTTGGCATGGGCGAAGAGACACGCTGAAGTATCGCTGGAAAGATTCAGATGTATGTCTTTATCTCTATGGCGGTCTTCTGCTTTAGCTTCTTCGCAATCATGAGACGATGGAGATTCATTACGTGGTCCTGTGTAGTGTTGCTGCCAGTCAAATATGAACTGCATTACAGGAGCTGTGATAGTAATATACATGTGTACAATTGCAAGTAGATATGTGCAAGTCCTTTTGCGATCGGGCCTCCTATCTATGTGAACTCCTAAATGGTTGTAGTCGAATCGTTCAAAATTTCGCACAAGTGATGCGACCTGCCGGAAGCTAAATCTTCCTACTATTGATTCCATCTGGGTAATGCTGATTTTCCCAGGGTATAGATCACTCCCACTTACCATCCGTTGCCATTTTGTGCGCCCGCTTGACCTTTTCGAGTTCTTCCACTGTCTCAAAGCCATTGACATATGCATATGCTGCCCGCAATGCCCCACCGGCCACCCACATGGTAGCACCACTGATAGCGAATAATCCTACCCGCTGTAAAGTGGTCAAGATACCGAAGATAGGGTAAGGGTAGAAGCCGTTGTGGGAGTAACACAATTCTATCCAATACCAGTACGCAAACGCAATCGATGTCGAAGTAGCCAGCATGATCAAGGGTGCCTGAGGATTCATCGGCATGCTGGGCCAAGGTGGAGAAAGCAGCAAGCTGTCCAAGGTCAAGACGATGGCAGGAACAAGATGGAAGCCCAGGTCGTATAAGAATGGTGGAAATGGTAGATCTGGCGGTACGACTAGGTTGTCGTCGATGGCACGAAGGCCCCAGTACAGGATGCTAATTACGATTTCGATTGGCGCGGCGACAAGGGCCAGGTAGTTCTTCAGAGTGAAGAACGAGGATGAGTTGGTCATGTCGGAGATGAAGCCGCATGCAAAACATGCCGTGGAGATGCTAAGGCCGAGAATGGTGAGGAACTGAAAATGCCAGCCATACGATTCGTTCTGCAATTTGTCAACCGGCGCAACCTCATGGGAGGCCATGTTGGCTAAGACGTACAAACATGTTGGGATTATCAACCAAACTATGTTGCATTGTCAGCCGAAAGGTTCGGCATCATGCCGTTCTCCGTGCCAGAAACTCACAACTTGAAGCAATGGTAAAAGCTGATGAGTCCAGCTGCCTAGAATAGCATTCTCAGCGACCGCCCGACATATGGCTGTAGTATCGCTGCAACTCACATGCAATGCGCCTGAGAATCCTTTCGACGGGGACTCTAATCGCTGCAGCGGATGCCGCCGGCTCAGCTTTCGCTGGGCTTGGATTGTATCCATAACGAGTCGATGACAAAGAGCAAGAGGCAGGTTGATAAGCAAGGTAATCAATATCGAGGAAACTATGCTACAAGCTTCATACACAAGACGCAACGCGCTATATAAGAAGGTTCCGAGGCGTCCCTGAACATGATGTCGTTCTGGTTTGGACAGCTTGGCACTTGACTTCCCGGATCCACATGCCAACATCGGACAGCTGTCCGCTTACTATAATCCCATCATCAGACATGTTCCCCTCCCGCCCTCCAACACCACACATCAATCTCGCGACAGGCCTCATCTTACATGGACACCGACGGACACGCTTAAGTGCGGGTCATCGGACTCGCCCATCTTAACGCTGCAGGCTATTCTTCGGCTGATTTACCCGTATACATGACAGAAGATTGCACAAATCAGAATGCGAGCGCTGGCAAAACTTCGGCACGCTTAACGTGATCCACCACCGAGCGCCCACCCCCACCGAGCGCCCACCAACACCAAAATCCACCACCCACTAAATAAGGATATTGCGCCACCTATAATAGCTATTATTATAAGATTTCTTAGAGTTATAATTATTAGATCTATTAGAGTAGATTAAATATTTTAGATTATATAAGTAGCTTTTTAGGGGGTCTAATTAGGTGCCTATGCTATAAAGTTACCTCTACTACTATATCCTCTTCTACTAGCTCCTTATTAACTACCTTAGCTAGTATAATAGTAGGAGGCTTAAGGATTTACCTTTTACTTATTTAGGATATTTTAATATTATTTTAGAGTTACTTTTCTAGTTACTTAGTAGTTTTTTACTTATTATATATACTAGCTTTTTAAGTAGCTTTTTTCTTTTACTTCTTTTTAGTAATTACTTAATTTAAGTAATACTCCTTTATAAGTTAAGCTTTAGTAAGCTTCTATTACTTATAAAGTTTAATTACCTTACTTTTTTAGTATTATAGCTTCTATTCTTTAAGGTTCTTTTACTTCTAAAGCTTAAATACTTACTTTATTTTTAATAGTAAAATAAATTAAGTACTACTACTATAATTATTATTAAGGAGTAATAATAAAGGTTTACTATACTTCCTACACTTCTTCTTATTAGCTAAGGTAGCCCTTAGGTATTTATTTTTATAGTTAAGTAAAGTATTTCTTACTAATATAGTATAGATTATCTAGCTAAGCTTCTTTAATTATTTATTATAGATATTAATTCTAGTATTATAGAGTAACTACTCTATCTTTCTTTAATTACTTATACTTAATATTAAGGTTATACTATTACTTAAAGAAGGCTAGTTACTATTATTTATAGGTACTTTAAACCTTAAAAGAATAATATTAAGGTTAAGTAGTAAGATACCTATTACTTTAAAAGCTATTAATATTAGCTTTTCCTTAAAGGTATTACTCTATATAATATTAAATAACTAGTAGAAATCCCTTTTAGTAATACTTATAAGCCCTTAGAAGCTATTTAGAAAATTAGATAGTTAAGCTTTATATAAAGCTATAAAGGGAGTAAATACTATAATATTAAGTAGCTAAAGGGTATAAGTGCTATAAGGGGAATATATTATAAGTAGGATCTTATATTTATTATAGTACTTAATAAACTCTATTATTATATAAGATTTATAGCTATTAAGGATAAGGAGCTAGTATAAAGTATAAGCTTTAGCTTTTATCTTATAATTAAACACCTCCTTAAGCTAGGATACCCCTAAGGTATAGCTTATCTATCTACTTAGTAATCCTATAAAGAAAGCTTAGTATTATAATAGGTTAAAATCTTATAACTAGGTATCTTATAGAGCTCTAGATTAGGACTAATAAATAAGGGTAGAGGTAAGAGTAGTACTATTAGTATATATATAAGCTATAGTAGTAATCTACTTCCTATTACTATTCTAGAGTATAGCTCTAATCTTTCTCTACTTATAGGCGCTTTTATTAAATATATATTTAGTTTTTAATAGTACTTTAATAAGAAAACCTTTTTTATCTATATTATAGATATACTAACTTTTAATATTATAGTACTTTATTTTTTAGTATAAAAGCTTAAAGTATAAGCTATACTTAAAGGTAGAATTAGCTTTAAAGTAGTTATAATTAAGTCTAGTAGCCTAATAGAAGATAAGATTAATATTATAGTAGTTAATAAAATACTATACCTAATTTTTACCTACTAGATTCCTTATTATTTTAGTTATAAAATTTTAAATAATAGTCTATATAAGAGGTAATCCTTACTTATAAAGCTCTTTAATATACTTTATAAGCTTACTTTTTTATATAGTATTAAGTATTTAACTATTTAGTAGAGTAGTAGTATATACCTACTAAATTTTCTAGTAGTATCTAGATAAGGTTAACTATAAGTAACTATACTTTTCTACTATTTCTAAGTATATAAAATCTTCTCTAAGAGTTAAGGATTTAATTACTATAAGTGTATTATTAATAGGTACTATAGTTATTAAGAAATTTAGTGTTAAAAATTTAGTAATTTTGGTGTTAGTGGGCGCTCGGTGGGGGTAGGCGCTCGGTGGTGGATCACGTTAATGGTAGTCTTGATACGATGGCCAATAGTCTCCAAAGGTGCTGTATGAGCACTCCACACCTACCGCCGGGATGCCCGTGACGAACCTTGAGCTCTGTCTTGAAACCCGGAGAAACGGCGAGGATAGCCGTGAATGAAGAAGATGAGGTGGGGCAGAGAGTCGGTCTATAAGGCATTGGGTGCTCCAGAATATAGAGATGGAGACAATTGTTGGAGTTCATCCTCGTTGTGCATTGACGCACTTCTTCATTACTACTCAAGAACAGCGAGTTAAATAGCGTGCAGCCCACTCGTCGCTGCGCTTGAAACTCGCAATAGATACACTTCAGGATGAGTGTAAGGGTCGAGAAGATCCTCGAGTCCCTGACTTTGGAGGAAAAGATTACTCTTCTCGCTGGCAAAGACTTCTGGGAAACGGTCCCTATTCCAGAGAAGGGTGTTCCTGCAATCAAGGTATTTTACGATCCAACAACAAGCTTGACCAAGACAGCTAACAGTGTGGAGACGAGCGATGGGCCGAATGGTGCCCGTGGTGAGGTGTTTACGGGAGGTCCTACAGCAGCCTGCTTTCCGGCTGCGGTCTGCTCAGCTGCAACATGGGACCCAAAACTCTCCAAGAAGATAGGACGAGCTTTGGCAGAAGAGACCAAGACCAAGGGCGCACGCGTACTGTACGTATATATAATTTCCCATGGACGAGTTTGACACACTTATCAGCATGTAGTCTTGCCCCCACCATGTGTAACCACCGACACCCGCTTGGAGGCCGAAATTTCGAGAGTTTCTCCGAGGACCCATTGTTAGCCGGTAAGATGGCTGCAAACGTTGTGAAGGGGTTGCAAGACCATGGAATTGCCGCCACTATCAAGCACTTTGTTGCAAATGAGCAGGAAACTGATCGTCTGAGGGTTGACACCATTGTCAGCGAGCGGGCATTGCGGGAGATTTATATGAAACCCTTTGAGATCACCATTAAAGAGGCCAACCCCCTAGCTGTCATGACTTCTTACAACAAAGTCAACGGCATCCACGCCGATTCAAATGAGTTTCTCCTGAAGAAAGTGTTGAGAGGAGAGTGGGGATGGGAGGGGCTTGTCATGTCCGACTGGGGCGGCACCAACTCGACCGTTGATGCTCTCAACGCGGGACTGGATCTGGAAATGCCCGGACCAACGCGACTGCGTTCAGTCGATGCTGTGGTCGAGGCGGTACGGAACGGCGAGGTCACTGAACATACGATTAGCCAACGTGCCAGGAATATCTTGAAACTTATTGAACAAGTTGGCGCTTTTGAAAACCCAGAAATACCGCCAGAAACGTCCGTTGTTGACCCTAGACATGGCCAACTCATTCGCGACGTTGCCGGCCAGGGCATAACGCTGCTGAAAAACAAGGACGGCATCCTACCCCTAAGAAAAGAAGATATGAAAGGGAAGCTCATCGGCTTGTTTGGCTTGGCTAAGGAGGCTTTGATTCATGGCGGTGGAAGTGCATCTCTCAACGCACATTATCGCATCTCGCCAGAGGAGGGTTTACGATCGGCCTATGGCAACGACGTCAAATTTGAATTCGCAAAGGGAGCTCATACATATCGTCTTTTACCACCGCTAGCCCATGACTGTAAGGATCTACAGGGAGGTGACGGCTGGACCATGCAACTCTTCCGGATGGGCCATGCCGATCGGGCTATCAAAACGGTGCACGCGTTTAAAGATTTATCATTTAGCCCTCTACTCTATAATGAAGCCAAGGACAAGGAGGTCAGGTTGCAGGCGACCTTTGTCCCCAGCCAGTCAGGCTCCCACTATCTCGGGTGCTCAGGCATCGGGCCCACAACCGTCACCATCAACGATAAAGTAGTCTACGAACAAAAAGGAAACTCCCCAGACCCCATGGGTTTCCTCCTGGGCGGAAATAACGAGGAAGAGTTCACCGTGGACTTTGAACGCGGACACTCGTACAAGATACGAATCCATTCGAAACCACCAATCGGCGGGGAAAGCTGGGGCATATTGGCTGGCCTTCCCGGCTTCAGAATGGGCTTGATGACTCAAGAGGATCACGATGTAGATATGCTCACCGAGGCCAAGAATCTCGCACAGAAATGCGACGTTGCCATTGTCTTCACAGGCCACACGCCCGCATGGGAGACCGAGGGCCAAGATCAGGTTAGCTTTCACCTGCCGCGCGCCGGCTCCCAAGACACGCTCGTCGAAACAGTAGCATCGGCCAACAGCAACACAATCGTCGTCAATTCGACCGGTGTCGCCGTGGCCCTCCCATGGCTTCCCAAGGTTTCCGCCTTCATTCAAGCCTGGTTTCCCGGCCAGGAAGCCGGCAACGCTATTGCCGACATCCTCTCCGGCGCTGTCAATCCATCCGGTAGACTCCCCATTTCCTGGCCCAAGCGCATCCAGGATACGCCCGCGTATGCGAATTTCCCGGGCCACAGGCACAACGGCCAGCTCACGGTGCGGTACGAAGAGGATGTTTTTGTGGGCTATCGTCATTACGATCGCATTGCTGGGGATCGGCTGGAATTCCCGTTTGGGTTTGGTCTTTCATACACTGCGTTCCGGCTGGGGAATGGGCGGGTATGTCAGATTGATTCCGAGGCGTTTACGGCGAGGGTTGATGTCGAGAACGTGGGTCGGGTGGCTGGGAGTCTGGTGGTGCAATTGTATGTTGGTCGCAAGGTGTACTCGGAAGAGCATCCGGTCAAGACGCTGGTTGCGTTTCAAAAGGTCTTTGTCGGCCAAGGTGAATCACAGACGGTGGAGTTGTCGTTTGGCATGCTGGACTTTGCCTATTTTCATGAGGCGTCGCAGTCGTGGAGGGTGGACAAGGGTGAATACGTCTTCTCGTTTGGACAGTCAGTCGTGGATATTGGATGTGTGGATACGTTGCATCTCAGAGGGCTATAAGTGGTTCCAACCCCAATATACGCCTAGTCCAGAACAAAGGGTTGTACCAGTAAAGAAGAAATATATCTGTAATTGCCTACAAGGAAACATGGCCGCGTACATTGGACCAAGTGACAGCTTTTGCATGACCGTGCAGTGATTGAGACAGCCATACCACAACACACACTCACACACACTCTCTCCCTCCCTCAACGGTACCGAACACAAAACGTAGGCGGAAACAAAAACGTAATAATGCCCGTCAAAGCAGGAATAGCCCCCAACGCGCCTCTCCAAAACGCCGGCCAAGCAGCCGACTCATCATTCGCTTGCAAGCTCGCCAGTGCCTCGAAATAACCGCAAACCAGGCTGCCAAACGCCCAAGCCGACAGGCCCATGAAGACGAGAAAGTAGAAGCCAGGAGGCAGGTGGTAGAGGTTGTTGGCGAGGCCGCGCCACCAGGTGCGTACGGCGTGGTCTATAATTTCGTCGATGCGGACGTTGGCGTAGCTGAGGGAGAGGGGTTGGAGTTTGGAGAGACGGGATGACCATTTTTTGGTGGAGCTGGGTAGGGTGTGGGGGAGGGATTTGAGGGGTTCTTGTTCGAGGGTGGAGGTGGAGGTTTTGGTGTCAGGGGTGAAATGGGTTTGAGGTTCGGGCTGTCTGGATTCCCATTGCTGCTTGTTGTACTAGGATTCGGTTCAGTTAGCGTGAAGAGTGATTGCGATGTCGGGTATTTTACCTTCCAGGTAAGACCACTGTCACCGAGGTCGAAATCATCCTGGAGCTTTTCGAGGATGCTCCGGATAGCAAGGGCCTTTTCAGGCGGCACAGTGAGCGTAAATATGTGAGGATTTAGATGCTGCGTGGAGCCTCTTGACCCGACATGATTCTGATGATTCTGCGCCATCCGATCCGAGAGACGAGAGTGAAGTGAATCCGTCGGGCTAGATGATGTGATCTTCTCCGAAGGGTGGAATGATGTCGCGCCGTGATGAGAGGGGAGCGTAGGCGCGTTGTGTGAATGAGTCCGTACCGGGGAACGTGCTGAATTATCTATTTGACTAGTAGTAATCGGAGAGCGTGTCGTAGAAGGTCCAGTTGACTTGAGCGCGTGTGTGAGCTCGGCTGGGATGGACTCCCCAAGATCTATCTCAGTGGCGCTTGCATCTCGTGGTGTGGAACCCAAGTCAGCGAGACCCAGCCTGTGTGATTTGGATGTATGGGGCGAGTTGCTATGGTCCAATGGCAGGGCCGTGGGATCTGTGTCGCTGGCCATTATCCATGGGACTTGCGAGTCTCAGGGTGACACGTTGGGTTAGAGGGAATTGGCGGGAGGAGTTGTTAGCGGTGTGGAGGAAATCGTTACGAGATGTTCAGAGCGCGTAGATTGAGAAGCAGCTTCTTGATGAGTCAGGCCACGCTTATCTACGACGGAGAGGTCAATTAGCGTGAAGGTAGTTGCATTGCAATGCCCAAGACGCCCCTTCCAGTCATAAGCCGTGGGTCCGGTATATTTAGAGGTGTCAGGGGAGAAAGAGCTAAAGACTTTGGTTTTAACAGTAAATTGATTGATATAATGCTGAAGTCCTACACAGCAGGCTCTTCGTAGGCTGAAGTAAAAAGCCAAGATATTCCTATTGATGATTCAGTTGGCAACATAGACGTACGGAGCAACATCTTTATATCCCAGATCATCGTCCAAGACCATCCAATATCATTCCCAACAGCAAGCAACACAAACACAACAAAGACATCCCACCCACAACCCCCCCTCCCCATCATCCACAAATCCCCCCACCCCGAGATCTTTCCTCCACCAGCGATCCACAACCAACATCCACCCGTACCCTTGCAGTCACATCGCGTACCCGAGGACTAAAGTTGCACGCGCTTTGTACACCACGATAACCTCGAGCGTCGTCCCAAAGGGGCGGGAAGGGAAATTCCGCGGCGCTGCATGTGTTGGGCATGGTTGGGAGGGTTTTATAAATGGATGGGGTTTTTGGGGGTTTGGGTGGGGCTGGTTGGGTGTGGGATGGGATGGGGTGGGGTGGCGATTGTAGGTTGGTGAAGTGTTTTGGGTTGATGATTGTGCGATTGTAGGTTGGTGAAGTGTTTTGGGTTGATGATTGTGCGATTGTAGGTTGGTGAAGTGTTTTGGGTTGATGATTGTGCGATTGTAGGTTGGTGAAGTGTTTTGGGTTGATGATTGTGCGATTGTAGGTTGGTGAAGTGTTTTGGGTTGATGATTGTGCGATTGTAGGTTGGTGAAGTGTTTTGGGTTGATGATTGTGCGATTGTAGGTTGGTGAAGTGTTTTGGGTTGATGATTGTGCGATTGTAGGTTGGTGAAGTGTTTTGGGTTGATGATTGTGCGATTGTAGGTTGGTGAAGTGTTTTGGGTTGATGATTGTGCGATTGTAGGTTGGTGAAGTGTTTTGGGTTGATGATTGTGCGATTGTAGGTTGGTGAAGTGTTTTGGGTTGATGATTGTGCGATTGTAGGTTGGCGAAGTGTTTTGGGTTGATGATTGTGCGATTTGCAGGGCGCGGTTGGCTTTATACGAGGTTTTGTGGACTTTGCTTTTGCTTTGCTATTGCGGGATGTCGTTAAGATTGTGCCAGACAAATGGGCCCGGAGAATAATAGTAAGAGTTGGATTGGGGGGGGGGGGGGGGGGGTCTGGTCAGGTAACAAAGGGTTGCCCTGGCACTATACCTGTATTTCTGCAACATAGGTTGCCGATTGGCTCTGTCCTCTTCAGTCCCCGAGAAATTGTATCTTCAACTCTCTTCATAATATTAGAAAATCATGTGGAAACCGTAAATTGGTGGATTGTGAGAGTTGATAGCAGGCACAATGACATGAGAAAGCCAAGCAAAGAGCAAAAGAAATGACTTCGTGCGTACATGCTCGTTGCTACGGCCTTGTTCTTACCAAGTTTCTGATTCTGTCATTAATCATCTGTCATTCATTATCATTATCAAGGAAAGGTATGCAGGATATCCATCTGCACGGCAGAAGGACAGATTGTTTTCTTGCGCGACGACCTAGTACTTCGCTTGTCCAAATCCATGGGGGGCACTCGAGATAATGCATTCATACACCATGCGCGACAAAAAGCCTAACACAAGCAGAGACACAGGTTCAGATTTTCTAAAATTGTCCCATCGGAGCAGCCATGGCGGGCCCACTGGCGGCAGGCGTTGCAGTCGCCCCGCCCATGCGGTGGAACATCTGGAGAAGACGTTCGCCAACACTGGGCTCCAGCTCCGTACCGTCCCTAGCTATCTTCACCTCGCGATTGGCATTCCATGGGTTACGAAGGCCGCGTGTGCGGTAGAATGGTAGGCGGTTGGTGCATATCCATTCAATCTTGAAAGGCTTCCCCCAGCTTTGGGCAACGGTTGCAGCATCGCCATCCAGTGTTGGAGTCTCCTTCTCCAAAGTGTTTTCTTCAACGTCTGGCTCGGAAAGCTCTGCTTCCCAAAAAATGGTGCCGCGCGCCGAGTCATCGATGATCTTGCCTCGTGGTGCCCATTCCGTTGCAGGTGTGGGAATTGATTTGGGCACATCTGTTGTCTCTGGGTTGTTTCCAGACTGCGGAATTGCTTCTACAATTCGGCTACCGTCTTCTAGGATGGGTGATGCCATGCGAGCGTATCCAAAATATTCGCCAGACTTGTTTGCCGAGAAAATCAGGTAGACATTCTTAGTAGACTGCTCAAGGTCAGCAAGACACGTAAAGTCATTATCAGAATTGTGCTTACCCCAAATGCCTTGTTCAAGGTGCCCTCGTTGTGGGACTGTGTGGCCCAGATGCCATTCCTGACACTGAGCTCCAGATCTTGCAAGGTCAAGCTCTTGACAATGAAGTATTTGTTATCCGTGTCTGCAGTGGATCTGCAATCATCATTGCTCTCGTGAGATGGAGACATGGCGCTCGCCTCGTGCAAGCCAGACGTCACACTGTCTTGTTTCGGAGTGCTGGGCCGAGAAGTGACATGCTGTGTGCTAGTGAGCATAGAAGAGGGCCCCGTTGGAACGCCAGAGGCAGGTGCGGAGGTACGTCTTAACCTGCATACCAATCGAACACCATTGAATCTGGAATCATGAAACCTGTGCATCGCAGCTGTACAGGACGTTTCGGTGCGGTAATTGACAAAAGCGCAATTACTCTTGGAAATGAGGAAGAGGCTCTCAATGTCCTTGGTAGCTTCTCGAGAGAAATGCTCTTTTAGTGCTACGACGGTCGTGCCTGGGGGAAGATTCCCCACCCAGAGGGCGTGTCCGGACTGCTTTGGCTTGCGAGGTGGTCCACGTGGAATGGTGCTCAGGGCTCCTGTAGGAACTATGTTTACTGACCCGGGTTAATTGAATCCAGATAGCTATGAAGATCGCCATGGAGATCCACATACCTGCAGCCTGTGTATGTGATGGTCCGTATGACTGGTTCATCGCAGCCTGGCTGCCTTGATAATTGTCGGGGGCGCCTGTACGCATGGCCGAATAGACACCGTCATGGTATGCATGATTCATCATGTCGCCTATTCGGCCACCTCCCGCAGTACTCATGGGCGCAGGTCTTCTGCCATGTAATGCTTGGGCTTGGTTCTGTGTGTTTTGCGAGACGAAGCCTGGATTGAACTGATTGTGTGCACCATATGGAGCTGGGTAGTACAGGTATTGAGATGGGGGTAGGTAGTTCTGGTATGGGTTTTGTACTGGTACGGTTCCACCTAGGCGAGGGCCATTGTTCGCAAATGTTGCATAATTGGAGTGCTGTATACCTTGCGGGGGCATGTAGTTTTGTTGGAACGAACTCGCGGGGAAGCCAGCCCCATAAGGCAAATTCGTAGAAACAGGACCCGGGGCGTGCCCTGATATTTGCAAGTTCTGGCCAAGCTGATATGCGACCGCAGACGGTGATGCGCCAGAGAGAGCGCGTGAAGGGGATTGCAGGTTGTTGTTGAGTGAGGTTTCGTCAGACATGCCGTAGTCTGGTAGAGCGCCGGCCATGGCGCTCATGTTCAAAGGGGAGTTGGATTGCTCCGGAAACTGGTAAGGCGTGCCTAGGTATGAAGTAGATCGATTATCTTGTCGGTGTTGTGTTTGGGGCAAACCGCTCAGCTGTGAGTGGAACGGAGTATCGTTGTCAATCGATTTGAACGGGACTGAGGTGGAAGCGGCCATGTTTCCTTCGTGCAAGGCTCCAGCCGATGCATTTTCCCCGGCCTGTGGCCGTGAAGAAGCGGGTAAATCACCCATCGGTTGCTCGTAAAGGACAGGAAGCGCAACCCACTGCTGAACCCAAAAGAAGGACATGTTAGTCCATGTTCCAAGTGAGGAGAACAGCGCGAGTAAGAGGACAGGGCAGGTATGAAGATGGAGTTTGTTAAACGAATGTGTAAGATGCGTGCGCAGAATACAGGCATGAGCATGGGAAAATACAATATACCTGATACTATATCATGGAATCCCGAGGACGGGTGGCAAGCCGGTTTTCAAGGGAACCGAGAGTATAACTCTTCCAACAGAGATGGGAAACGAAGTATGCCAATAAAGCGAAGAGGCCTGTGAGGCTGTGGGATGCTCGCGTGTTAAAAAAAGAAGCTTAACGTAGGGGGAACCGTTTGGAGGGAAGATGGACGACTCGGATGAAAGAAGTTGGAATAAGAAGAGCTCGCTTAAGGCGGGACGAAAGATGATGGTCTGAACTGGAGGGCCAGTTAGAGAGCAGAAGTCATCTTTTTCAACCCTTATGAGAAGGGCCAGCGTAACGGCAGGGGCCGCAATGAGGGTAAGCGTACGTGCGGCAGACGCTGTGAGACTAGCATCTCTACGAAGAGCTCACTGGCTGGCCAGCGAGAGCCGGGAATGCCGTACAAGGATTGTCTACTTTTTGTTTGCCTCCGACCAGGAGTTGGGCTCGGTTGTGATTGGGCACGGAAGTGCAGCCTGTGGCTGTAAGAATGATTGTAGAACTACAGGGTCTTGAACCGAAAGCCTGGAGGCGAAATGATCACCAGGATCCAGTGCAGACAAAAAGCGATTGGGCGCCTCGAGCCAAGGCCCCCTTGTAGACTTGAGGTGTCGTGGACCATGCCATGGGTATGTAGAAAAATGCCTGGATGGCTGTGGCGACTGATGCTGTTTCTAGACTGTCATGGGCCGAGGGGGCTGGCCCTTGGACTTAGCGGGCCATTGGTTTCTGCCGTGGCTGTCAAGAATGTCAGGTAAGGACAGTAGTATGGTAGAGTACAGGACCTACTCTGCCTACATCGTGCTCTGGTACCTCCGTATGGATGCCTCGTGATGGAGCCTCTCTCATGGAATACCTGAATCACGCACGTTGCAAATTTTCCCTGGGCCAGTAAGCCTTACCTAATCACTCGGGCTAAACTGTAGAGCAAATTGATGAAGTGATTCAAAACTGCTGTTGGCCGGCCCCAACCCAAGGTTCCACCGCCGGCAAGCAGTGACTGAGCCGCTTCGAGAGCGTCCATTCGTCTAAAAGGGGGGGGGGGGTACGGCGAGGGCTGCGGGCACCGTTCCAGCCAGCATATTCAGACCCTTCATGTCAAGGACACGTCTACTACTCTAGATATGTAAAGAAATCACCCAAAGAGAGGGAGCTGGTGGCAAGGGTGACAGAAACGGACGGCAACGTGTCCCCATGAGCCGCGTGTTGAGGAGCGGAGAAAGCTACTTTGGACCTGCAGCGGGATTGCGTAGATGACAAGGAGAATAGGGATCAGGGGCGATGGGGGAGGGAGGGCGGAAAGGTTGTCATCAGGGACCGAAGTGTTGGTACACGCCATCGAGCAGTACGCTACACGCCTGCGGGCTTGCAGTGAACTACCAAAGTGCTAACTGTCTCCCTCCAGTGTGCGCTAACGCGAACGAAGCATGGCAAAGTCCTGCGACTGCTGTCTCGGCGCAGTCGGTTGGCGTCTATACAGCCAGCTAGAGGGCTGTACTCTGCATGGCTAGTACTGTACTATTGTAGTCCCCTGCAGGCCACTTCCCCTCTGATCGCACGAGCTTCTCTTCCCAATGGAAAGACGGGTTGCCCAGGCGAAGAGAAGGAAGGGTTGCCACCTGTGCTTCGGTGTTCGCGATGAAGAATGAACAAGGCTGGCCATAGGATCGACAGAGGCGCCGCAGCACAGCCGCAATGTTCCCGTGATCTTCACTCGCAACCACGCGAACCGATGGATTTCTTCCGGCCGCCGTTTGCTGCTACCGTTGGTTCATGCTGGCGGGGGGCCCGGGAAGAGGATGGGAGATTGGGCTGTCATGGAGGGTGCAGGGCGAAGAAGGGTGATTTGAGGGAATAGGCCAAGGTCGCCTGGGACGCGCATGATGGCAGAATGGCTAGAGGGTTCGCTGAAGATGCACACAGATGGGCAAGGGTGGTTGTCGATTGTCAAAGAGGCCACGAATAGCATGCGGACATTCCCATGGCGCCGGTGCGAATTGCCGCAATTCGGTCACTGGCAACATGGGGAAATCCAGCCCCGACGGCAACGTAATCCAAGTTACGCTACCGGCAACACTACACAGTAAGCAGTAAAGCAGCCGCGCTACAAAGTGCCCGACGACATTCCAAATTCTACTCTTGGCCCAACAGTGGTAACTCTAGATGGTGGCAATCATTCTATATCTAGTATACATCTACTATTCCTCACGTTGTCTGATATCTTGTTGACATTTGGCTTGTGCGGTAGTACGGTGCCTGTTGTAAGTAAGAGAATACTACTCTTAGCAGCCGGCTCACTTTGACCCGGAGGGAGGTTGGTTGCTCTTGGTCTTGTTCGGGCTGTGGCTGTGGCTGTGGCTGTGGCTGTGGCTGAGTCGCCCAAGGACAACCAATCGCCAGATCAGACAGACATGCGCAAGGATGGCTGATGAGATTCTGCAAATAACCGGTCCCTACGATACCAGCACTGTGGTCCCAACTACCATGTAGGGAAATTACTCTATGCAGCAAAACAGCAGAGAAACACAATCATACTACTTACTATGCACAGCGTCTTCTTTCCTCCTTCCAATCATCATCCTACACCCCGTTGGCCATGTCAAAACTTACTGCATCATCTCGTCACATGCCTACGATAGACAATGAATGTACTACTGTATATCAGCAAGCTTTTTTCTAGCCATCCTGCCAACTGCTCTGCGCTTGGTTTGATTCTTGATTCATGACAGTCTCCCCATGCCAATTCTAGACAGACTACATTGCGCTACTTCTAGAATGCTCGAAACTCGTCTTTGCATTCAATCCAGTCTGCATCTCTAGCGTAAACACTAGCGGAGCAGCGATTATCGTGACATTATCCACTTGGTCACTATCTGTGCCGTGCTCCGTCGCTACAGGGCAACGTGCTGTCTACCAAAGTAGCACACCAGATCATGAGAGCCTCTCTGCCGCCGGAGCCATCTATCCACCCCGGAAGTCTTTTCCCGACAAATCGACGCGTGCATCCTCTCCGAACCTGCTCACGCACACTGCATGGGCAGTCGAAAATCAGATGATGCGCTCGGGCTGGAACGGCCAGCGTCGTTTCGCAATTCGATGCGCCTGCTCTACTCTGGTAGTGTCTTCTCCCATCTTCATCGTCGTCTTGGTTTGCCGTCTGATACCAAAATTGCTTGGTCCTGTAATCTCAACGTGCGACATATTCGCCCAGGAACTCGTCAATGTACTGAAAGTAGCCAGGCTCCGCAACAGTATCATTGTGGCTTCCGTTGGCTAGCTCTTTCCAAACCTTGGGACTTCGGCATACCTGAAACAGCCTGCTCATATGCGAAGGCCTACAACCGTCAGTCTGCTGGCATGAGGTTCCCACGCGTAGCACATGCGAGGGGAAAGAAGCTTGGATTGTCTGCTTACGGGACAATTTCGTCTTGAAGCCCGCTGAGGAATAAGATGGGTATCTTCTCGATTTGCGGCAACGTGTCTTCGCTGGGCCAGATCTGGTGGCAAAGAGGCGCAAGGAACCGAGCAGGCGGAAAAGCACTATGAAGTGTGTCAGTTGAAACTGGCGAGACGCAGGTATCCAGCGACTGACCTGGGTATCAACTTCTTGATGGACGTGAACGTGTTCTCCAAGATGATGGCAGCAATGTCGCCCTGCTTCTGGTTCTTGGCTGCAAGCCCTATGGAAACAGCGCCCCCTAGGCTCTGGCCGTAGAGGACGATGCGCGTATCGCGCAGTTCATGGCGCTGTCGAATGTAATCAAGGCCGGTCTGGGCGTCTATCATGATGCCCTTTTCATTGGGGTTGCCCGAGGACAGACCATAGCCGCGATACTGCAACATGAGGACATTGCACCGCAGCTCATTCTCGAGTACCTTCGCTATGGGCAGCCTGTAGCCAATGTTCCCTGCATTGCCATGAAACATGAGCACTGTGACGTTTCGCGCATGCTGCTTGTTGGCCCGTATAAGGAAGGCGCTGAGGGATTCGCCGTCGGGTGTGGGGATGAAGAGTTCCTCAAAGTCGGGGATGGCGAATTGCGACGGGCGGGGGACATTGGTGCGTGCATCGGGCGGAAAGTTTCGTGGATAGATGAGTTCACTGCCGCACTTAGTTCTGCATGTCCACTCTAGGGTTGCGAGAAGGTCGGTACTTTTGCTTGAAGTAAAGCAGACCGCTGAGGAGGGCGGCCACACCAGACGAGGCGAGGAGGGGGAGGCGCAGATAGGACATGAAGGTGTCTATGGAGGAGGCCATGATGGTTGTGGATGATGGTGATGATGATGATGATGATCGTGGTAGTGGTGGTCGTGGGAGGGATCAAGGGCTAGACAGAAGCTAGCTCTCTACCGTTATCCCCTAGACAGTAGAGCACACTACTACACATTATAGGAGAAGGGAGAATTATGATACACATGTGTTCAGTAGAAATAAGATGGCAACCGATATATATGCCCACCTACCTACCGGTATCTAGGTACCATGGATGCAAGCGCAGTGCCAAGACTGGCAGCATCTGTCGGAGAGTCGGTTGGAGGGGGAGGAGCTGGTGGTGGTGGTGGTGGTGGAGCTTGGGGCTGCGTAGCTTGTGTTTGCCTGGCTAGACTAACTTACCTCACCCTGCCCCCAATACACTTCTCTGCCTCTCCGCCATTACAAGTCCAAGACACCCAACCGCCCAGCGACTTGTCCGTTCCACCCCGCTTGCGACCTACACCTCAGCGTTCTTCTTTGTCTTCTTCTTCCTCCCCTCCTCTTCGGCTTCTACTACCACTACTACGTGCATGTGCCCGGCGAACTAGTACGCATCTCGTACACTCAGTGCCCGCGACCACAATGATGGCTACTGGCATGCTTGGAGAAGGTAAATACATGTCTATCCCTTTGCCTGCCATTGCCATGACCATTGTTGCTATTACCCCTCCCTCGGTCAAGGCCCGCAGCGAAATAGCTGACTCTGGCGTAGATGGCATCCACATCGACATGAACCATCTCAAGAAGGGCGAAGTCAAGTACGCATAGCCTGTCCTCCTATCTAGATGCCGAAGCATGCTGACCACCTCATTAGCTTAGGGACTTCCATGTACGTTGATGCGCTCGTCGCCTTCCGTCTACTGCCCATCCGCTGACACCGCACAGCATGGCGATCAACTTCAAAGACGGCGTCATATTAGCCGCCGATAGTAGAACCACGACAGGCGCCTACATTGCGAACCGTGTCACCGACAAACTCACACAGGTGCATGACACTATCTGGTGCTGTAGGTCGGGGTCAGCTGCCGACACCCAGGCGGTTGCGGACATTGTTCAATACCACCTGGGCATGTATGGCGCCACCAACGACGAGCCACCGACAACACAAACAGCGGCAGCGATATTCCAGGAGCTCTGCTACTCCAACAAGGACCAACTTTCGTGAGTGTGACGCATGTCGGCGGCCAATTGCTTTTTTACCTGCTAACATGGCTACAGCGCGGGATTGATTATCGCTGGATGGGACCACCGACATGGCGGACAAGTGTACTCGATTCCCCTCGGAGGCTCGCTGCACAAGCAAGCCTATGCCATTGGTGGCTCGGGCTCAACCTACATCTACGGATACTGCGACGCAAACTGGAGGGAAAACATGAGCGAGGAGGAAGGCATCAAGTTTGTCAAGGGAGCGCTGGCCGAAGCCATCAAGTGGGATGGTAGCTCTGGCGGTGTCATTCGTATGGTGGTACTCACTGGACAGGGCGCACAGCGTCACTTGTATCTACCCGATCAAAACTACGAGGGACCAGGAAGGCAGTAGACTGAGGCTGGCATGATGTAGTGCACACTGGTGCCGATGGTGAACTGTCAACCGATGTCAACAGACACGGGGTGAGCCGTCACCAACAGATGCAATCAGAATTGACCCATTGGCCCATTGTCGCTGTGAGGGTTTTGACACTTTTTTTATCCTCTAGGAGGGACGGTCCTATTGCACGCCCACCGGCGGCTTTCACGTGGGTGCCAAGTGAAGTGCAGACAGCTGCTGGGCAGACGCAGTCCATTTGGCAGTGAGCGCTGCAAAGGTGCTCTGATGCCCCCACGCATGTGGATGTCTGCGTGTGTGTGCATGTGTGTGTGTGTGTGTGTGTGTGTGTAGAGTACACGATGACTGCGTGTCACAACTGATTATCAGGGGCAATGTGGAGAGTTTAGAGAATCGACAGGCCGGATCTGCGCGCACGTAGGTAGGTGCAGTGTTGCGTCACGCAAATGAATGGTAGGCGGGTTATATAAGGCGGTATGACGGAGCTAGCTCTGGAGTGGACAGCTTGTGAACGTTGGTAGTGCTCCCTTCCCCCTCCCCCCCCCCTCGACACCGCCCAAGACTTGCGGTATTGTCACCCCCTCGCCCCTCGCCCCTCGCCCCCTCCCCCTCTCCCTTTCCCTCTAAACCCCCTCCACCCTCCTGGCGTCCTTGTTACTCTCACTTTTTGACGCGTCGCCGTCCAATTTGCTTTGGGCACGGCAGAAGCTCGCAGGACATGCCATTGATTGCCTGCTTGTTGCGTCTCCACTGCGTCTCCTGAAGGCGTGCGGCCATAGGTCAAGGTAAGAAGAGCTTGTTGGCGGTCTGCACCACAACACCAACACTACCACCACCACTACCACCACCACCACCACCAACACCTTCAACACCCCCTCGGCCTGTCTACTGCGCCAAACTTCGCCCGTTGACACCACTCCACGCAACGCCACTGACTTACTTGAAGCCCTTGCGCTGCATCGCGCCTGCTGAAGTCTCTTATCTCTCTCTCTCTCTCTGTCTCTCTCTTTCGCTTTCCCTTTCCCTCCCTCTTGGACACGCTCGCCCCGGCTCCGCGGCATGGGATCGATATTGGTGAGCGACTTTGGTGGAAACCACTTCAACAAGACCATGTTCGGCGGCGGTGGGAGCGCGCATCCCCCGGCCCACGAGCACCACGCCCCGATCCGTCCGTCTCCATCGTCCAAGACGCATGCGCCGCAGTTTGTCGCGCCCTCTGCTACGACTGATGTTCCCATGGCCGACTCGGGAGCCCCACCATCACCATCGAGCGCAGCACACGCCCAACCGTCCCAGCATCTCCCAATAGAACTGCCCAAGCACACGGCTCCAGCACCCCCCAGTCCACGATTCCGCCCACAGTCGCGGCATTCGACGCTTGCTCCTGACCCTACGCCGACGCCTACCCACACACCTACATCCTTGCCCACAACCCAGGGCGCCGAACCCCAGACGGCTCCTTCGGCAGCCCTGGTCCCCACTCAGCCCTCGCCGGCACCGTCACTACGTTCCCTCGCAGATTCAACCCCGCTATCATCCAGACGCATCAAGGTCAAGAGCCTGTCCCACATCCAGAGCTTCGCCATTGACGATGCTAGCCCCTTCTCGCAGGCGCGCTCCCAGGCCCGGCGGCAGCGCCAAGACCCCACCCATGTGGCGCCCCAGTATGAAATCAGTGAGATGCCGGTGACAGACATCATCGAGATGGTGGCCGGACTACTGACCAAGATCACCACAACCAACGATCGCCAGCATGACCACCTCCATCGCCAAATACCGCCTCCGGAGAGCACCTCTGGCCTGAGCCAGCAGACAACAAGCGTACTAGCCTTTCATGGCAAAAATGTGCCCAGCATTTCCATCCTCAGCTATCTCAGCCGGATTCACAAATACTGTCCGACCACGTACGAGGTTTTCTTGAGTCTGCTTGTCTATTTTGACAGAATGACGGAGAGGGTAAGTGCCAGCCTGCTGTCTGATTTGCAACAAGCTAACCATTAGTCCTTGGAGCATTTGAACCCTGCATTATCTGCCGCGTCAGGCTCCACTACCACCACACTATCCTCATCAGCTGCTGCCCAGACGGCCACTCCCCCATGCTCGGGATCTTTGGGGAAACCGTCGGACGCGCCAGCACAAGCTTCACAGCCACCCTCTCCGCCTTTACAGGAATTGGACTCTGATGCATACAATCTCTCTCAATTTTTTGTTGTCGACAGCTTCAACATACACCGCCTTGTGATTGCCGGTGTTACGTGCGCGAGCAAGTTTTTTTCTGACGTCTTCTATACCAACTCTAGATATGCGAAGGTGCGTCTTCACACGTTTTTTTTTTTTCCTTTGGCTAATGGCTCGTAGGTCGGCGGCTTACCGCTAGTCGAGCTGAATCACCTAGAATTGCAATTCCTTCTGTTGAACGACTTCCGTCTTGCGGTACCTTTGGAGGAGATGGAAGCCTATGGGACAATGCTGGTCGAGTTTTACGCTCGAGAAGTGGCGGAACAACATGAGAGGCAGTCAGGCGGCAATTGAGAAGAGTGAGCAGGGTTGGGGAATGGATAGAGATGGAGGGCGGCCTTGTCAGGACGGCAGATGGGCATGACGACGCTCAAGATGAGTACGGATAGGACGAGCAACAGAATAGCCTATTATGAGGTTTGAGCGTTGTGCTGTCTATTTTTCTCCTTTTTTTTTTTTTTTTGCAAATGTGTTTACATTTTGCATGGGCCCATGTGGGACAAGCAAGTCCAATGGCTACTGGGTCCGGGTTTGATTTGATATGTTGACTGGTTGTCGAGTGCTCTCGAGGCCAGAGAGGAGGATTGGTGCCCATTTGTTGCTGAGCAATTGCGGTTTCTTTGGGCCATTCTTTTAGACTGGGCTTTTCTAGCGTTGACTGCCACGTGGGCTTTTTTACGAGCTTGCAACGGGGGTTTCTCTTGTAGCCATTTTGCTTTTTTTTTCTCCTTATTGATATCCACGAGATATTCCTTCCTTTTTTCCTTGCTTCTTTCTTTCTTTCTTTTTGCCCATTTCAGGTAGGCGCGCTTCATAGAAGGCGGAGATGATGGGCTTCGTAGCGATTGACCGAATTTTTTTCTTGTTTGATTTGGGATTGTGCTGTGAATTGGGTTTGAAGTTTGATGTACGTGCACATTTGACTTGTATTTATTTTACTCCATGTAGCCCCTTCTTCTTCCCTGTCTTTCCCATGGTAACATACAGTAGTCTACACAATCGCACTTTTAATCCCAGTGCTACATGTCAATCCTATTCCACAGTAGGAGAGAGAATCAAAATCAAGCTAAACCGCTTCCTCACCCCCCCCCCCCTCTCTGCCCTGGCTGGGTCTAGATTGTAGACCCCGATCAATAACTGATCGGCCTATAACCCCGGCTAGCCATCCTAGACCTCTTCCTACCTACTCTACTCTACTCTACTCTACTCTACTCTACCCATCTGTCTTTGTCCGAATCCTTTTCAAGCTGGGTGGTTGCGTTTGGTATCCTTCGAGCGTATAGATTGTGGCTTTGTATGCTGAGAGATGTGTAGATACAACAACCCTGTGACTACGGGATAGTGGTACGGTAGTTGTGCATGTGCCCGTGCCCAGCCTGTCCTCGTCCTCGTCCTCGTCCTTGTAACCACTCATTCTCCCACCCAACCGTTCCCTGTGAAACCGACTGTTGGGGGCTTATTTTAATTTTTTTTTATTTTTTTTTTTGGAAAAATTAAATAAATTCACTTCAATTCAATTAGGGACTGGGGACTGGGACTGGGACTGGGACTGGTACATGCCGCTGTCCGCCCCACCGCGCTTACCGTACCGTACTGTATTTACTTTACTTTACCCGCACCGCTTGCACACGCATCATGGCAATTTGCACAAGCGGGTATGTTTATCCTCGCGTTGTCCTCGCGTTGTCGTCAATGTGTCGTGCGGGTCATGGGGTCTACTGGTACATGGCGCCCGCAAAGGATGGGTGGAGATGAGTTTGCGGGTTTTATTTTGAACCTTTTTTTTTCCTGCTTGCTGGGTCTGAAAGGGCGGGTGCTTGGGGAGGGGAAGGGGTGCATTGGTTGCTGGTGAGTAGGTAGGTAGGTAGGTAGGGTAGGGTAGATACGGTGTGCGGTTCGCTAGGTGGAGAAGTCGGTCATTTCTTCTGTTAATGTCCATGTTCCTGTTCCTGTTCCTGTTCACATTCACATTCACATCCACCTTGATATCCCCTCCCCTCCCCATCCAATCACAAACCATGCGCCGCCTCCTCCCCCCCTCCATCCCCCTAACCTCCCTCCTCCAATACCTCTTCCTCGCCGCAATCGCCTACCTCCTCGCCGGCGCGCCCTCGCCCTCCTCCCTCTCCACATTCTCCTTCACCGCCGACTCGTCCCAGGCCGCGCACCGCACAGCCGCGCTCCACGCCCAGACGCTTGAGAATCTGGCGCATCCGGAGCCGGGGCTCGAGTGTGCGCAGTATGCGTATAGGGGTGTGTATGTTTTGAGTCGGGAGCCGTTGGTTGTGTATATTGAGGGGTTTGTGGCGAGGGAGGAGGCTGGGGAGATTGTGGGCTTGAGGTGAGTTGGGGGGGATTTGGTGTCCTCTTCTTTTCATTTCTTCTTCTTCTTCTTCGTCTTCTTCTTCTTCTTCTTCTTCTTCTTCTTCTTCTTCTTCTTCTTCTTCTTCTTCTTCTTCTTTTTTGGGTCTTTTGGTCGTTTAGCAAGGGAGGGTTAGTGGGGTTTGGGGAGATGTGTGGAGAGTGGGATTGGGGTGAGGAAGAGGAAGGATGCGATGCGGGCTGGGTTGTTCATGACCGTTGAATTCAAGGCGCCTGTGTATCTTTTGGAAGCAGACATCCTGGCTTCTTTTTTTTTTTTTTGGTCCATCATTACATACAATTTTTCATTATCACAAGCCCAACACCTCCATCCAACCACCCCCCAAACCCCCAGATTCCCCTTATACAACGACCCCGTTTACATTCCCCCTGCTAACCCCCCCCCCCCTCCCCAGCAACCCCCACTTCACCCCCTCCACAATCTGGAACCAAGGCCACGAAACCCTCGACCCCAAGATCCGGCACTCTGAAAAAGCCCGGCTCCCACGCACCCCCCTAATCCAATGCATCGAGCAACGCGCGCACAGCTTCCAAGGCTGGCGGCCCTACACCTTCATCGAGAAGCTGTGGGCGCAGCGGTACGGCGTGGGCGGGCACTACACCTACCACTACGACTGGAGTACTGCGACGGCCCAGGCGGGCCGTGTGAGTAGTTTTATGGTCTATCTAGAGGCGAATTGTACGGGTGGTGGGACGCATTTTCCGCGCCTGGCGAGGCCCGTGGGGGCGCAGTGGTGTCGGTTTTTGGAGTGTGAGGGGGAGCGGGAGCGGGAGCGGGGTGATGGGCATGCAAGGGAAGGAGGAAGGGAAGGCGGAAAAGGAAAAAGAGAAGAACATCCAACCCAAGGGATAATCTTCAAACCCATTCCAGGAAACGCAATCTACTGGGAAAACATGCGGCCCGACGGCACCGGCTACTGGGAAACCTGGCACGCCGGTTTGCCCGTCAAAACGGGCGTCAAGATTGGCCTCAACATTTGGACTTGGTTCCAGCAGGGCCATGTTCCTTGAGTGAGTCTGGGGGTGGAGATGGGCAGTTACCGGGGGTTTCCTTAGGTGGTGCGGGTGATCTTGTGTGTCTGGTTGAATGATATAATCATCAGCTTAGCCCAAGGTGCCCAGATACCCATGTCACACAGCAGGCAAGTCGTAAATCAACGATTCCAATTCACGGATACATTCCCATAGACATTACAATATCAAAGACTAGCGGGGTGTTGCAAAGACAAACTTTTTTTTTCGGAATCAAATCTCAATCCTCTCCATAACCCATCGACATGATAAACACAACAGTGGTCAAAGTAATGCTGCTCGCATAGCTTCATGTAAAGATACACGAACTACTAGGTCATGGCATCTCGAGACCTTGTGCTCTGTTGTACAACAATTCATTTTGTAAAACATCTAGCCATGACATCTCGTCAGAAAACAAGTCTTCATCGACAACGCCGCACATCAACAGCACGTACTGTGATATCCATTTCCATATGAATATCCCCGTCCTATCAAGACAACAGAAGCTCATAAACATGGGATTTTCCCGCCAGCAATGGCAAGTCCAAAAAGCTTCAAAAAGAAGATTTCAAGCATTTGGCGAAGACCAAGGCGCCGCAGTCCATGTAGACCCCCAACGCCCGTCCAGGTAATGCTGATGGAAGAATAATGCATGAAAAGATCTCAAGGCAAGAAAAAAAATTATCGTCAAAGCAGCATCGGGTGTAGCCTCAGAGTAGTTGGTTTCGTGAGACTCTGTTACAAGAGGTGTGACCGCTCAGTTCAATCATCGTTGTCGTACTCGGCCTGATTGCCCCGCTCTTTAACGCCATCCTTGCGAATGGGTATCTTGATGCCTTGCGAAGCAAAACACTTGCTGAGCGGTGTGCTCTCAATGACACCTGGGAATTTCTTGGCCGAGTAGACAGTGAAGGGCTCTGAGAAAGTGGAGGCAAGGATCGGACACTTGCCGTTGCTGACGACGGCGGCATTCGGGCTCTGGCCACTTCCAATATCGCACATGCTCAACTTGAGTCTGCAGGAGTTAGGTTGGTCCTCAAAGAATCGCCCATCAAAGCTTGACATACCTAAAAGTCCCTTCGGTGCGGACACTGAGATCTTGAAGAACAAACCAAAAGCCTGGGTTGCCGTCTGGGTCGTTCAGCCGACACGCATTGACAGCGTTCATGCCAATGAGGTTGCGAGTGTGGTTCTGGGTGATGGAAGGCGCTACGGGCCCAGTGACATGGATGGGATTCCCGTAGCTACCAGGTGCACCGTAGAGCTGATAGTCTGGGGCGACTGGCCCGGTGGTATAATAAGCCTGATGAGTGGTGGCATGGCCGTAGGGGTTCATAGTGCGGGGTGCCACTTGCTGGACGAATCCTGGATACTGCTGCTGCATGTACAGGGTGGCCCGTTCTGGTGGCGGTGGATAGGCGGTAGTGGTGCTACTGCTGATGCTGACAGTGGGCGCAGCGCTGCTGTGGCGGACTAGGTTGACAGCACGCATTCCATCTTCGGACCATAGATCGACCATGAGAACGAAGAAGGTACTGTCGACATCATTGGGCAGGATTTCTTGACCTGTCTTAGTATCGCACACCACCAGGCGGATGCAAGGCGGTGGAGTAATGGGGCGGCGGTCCTGTCATTGGTCAGATCACATGTCTCGGTGCTATTCCAAGGCACTTGGGTCATTGCATGGGCTGTCTTACCTTGTCGCCAAAGCCGCACATGCGGGCTCGAACAGGCTGTTGCTCGACGGACAGTCTGCAGGCATGTCAGCAAAGATGAAGAGGGGTTCAGGATTGAGTGGGGCCAAAGGCGTATGTACCTGTACGATCTGCCGTTCCGCTGGCCAATGTAGATTTCGATCCGCTGAGACGCAGACGCATGCTGCTGTGTGACCTGCTGCTGCTGTTGCATCTGCGGCTGTTGTTGTTGCTGCTGCTGGGGTTGCGGTTGTTGTTGTTGTTGTTGTTGTTGCTGAGGCTGAGGCTGTTGCTGTTGCTGTGGAGGTGGAGGTGGAGGTGGCTGTGGCTGTGGCTGCTGGTGCTGTGGCGATGGTGGTGGTGGTGGGCGCGACTGTTGCGGGTGCATCAGATTGGCTTGCTGAGTGGGAAGATGCTGTGGTTGCATGTGTGGCATCATGCTGGAGTCATGAAGGCGCTGGGTGGGAGGCAGCGGTGGGCCACCCTCAGGTTTGGGGGCTTGCGCGGGGGCAGGTGTAGGTTGATAGTAGGCATTATTTGGCTGGCGTGACTGTGATGAGAGCATCCTGGCGGACTGGTTCGGGGCAGGTGGGTGGGGTGGACCTGGTATGTGAGCTTCTGGGGCTCTTGGGACCACCGACGGGCGATGGCTGCGGGAGAGGGGAGGTTTCGTTACTCCGTTGGTAGTCGACCAACTCGCTCACTCACTGCTCAGTGCGTGGGCGACGAGACCCGTGATTTTTGCACGTCAGAAACCAGTGTGCAACCAGGTACGGTGCAGTTCAAGGTCGGGCAGTGCCGTGCAGTGGGCTCTGGTGCTGTATGGGCCGTGGAGTGTGTTCTGTGTGGAGAGAGAGAGCGCGAGCGAGAGAGAGAGAGCGTGTTTGTGTGCACTGTGCACTGTGCACTGTGCTGTGGGCGTGGGGATGCGCGGCACTGCGGGAGAGGTCTGCCGTGTGTCGAGCAAGCAGATGGGCCCGTAGTCGCGGTGGAGGGGCAGCCGTTGCGACGGCGGTGCGATTGCGGGGAGACGAAGACTAGCTTTTGGGGAGCTACCGGGAGGCCTGGAGCTGGGAAGGGTAGTACCACCAAGGGGGGAGGGTCAGGCGTTGTGAACAGGTGCACGCCCAGACAAGGTCGCACTTATGGTGTGGTACGGTACTGGTCGTATGGTAGAAAGAGTGCGACACGAGTGTGCAGCAGAGACAAAGCGACCCAGTGCGCGATTGATGCGAGAGCCGGCAGTGCAGGCAAAGGTGAAGGTGGAGGTCAACGTAAGAGTAAAAGGAAACGTGAGAGTAGCACAGATAGGGCGGCGTCGTAGAGATAGCGGGGAGCTTCAATAGCTTTCGAGGCGGGAGATCGCTGGGCTAAAACTGGGCTTTGTGCGCCCCGCTAAGCCAGCCCCATACAAGCCATACAAGCCATACCCCATATAATCTATACTGTATCCACCTACCCAGACGGTGCGCACGCAATACGATGGCGCCATCAACATCATGCGGCAAGAAGTGGGCGAGGAAAAGAGATGGGAACTAGAGTGTCATCAAGACCAAGACGCGCAGTAGCAGGTGCAGAAACTGATGCAGTGCCGGTAGAATAAGTGTGGCCAGCCATACTCTACATGCCAAGACTCTTGGACTCCTGGGACGACATTTCTACCGACTTAGAGTCCTGCTTACCTAACTATAGAGTCTGATTACCCATGATTATTGATCTTGTTGTAGGTATACTCTACTATACCGTGGTGACACCAAGGTATACCCTATAGCCATTACATGGGCACACAAGTACATACCAGTCCTACCCCCCCTCCAAGTATCATGGATGCCATCCAGCCTGAGCCACAGCCTCGTACTGTACTGTACATGGAACAGTAACGGTAAGCTGGGAAGTAAGCTCGAAAGCTCCTTCCCCCGCCCCGCTCCCATCTCCTTGTTCGACCCCCACCATCTGCACAAGAGGGGTGTGCCAAGTGCGCAGTGCCAGGATCGCGGCGGGAGCTAGTGCAAGATAGTGCAGGATAGTGCAGGATAGTGCAGGATAGTGCAAGATAGTGCAAGATGGCGCCAGATACCCGCTGCGTTGGTCCATGGCGCGCAGCCCGCCGCTCCACCATCTGCTCTGCAACCAACCTCCCCACCCCCTCCAGGCCCTCCAGCCTCTTCCACTCTCGGCCTGCGTCGGCCCCCGCCCTCTCCTCTTCCCCCTCCCCTCCCTCCTCTGTCCACTGTCAAAGATTGCCAGCTGGCCCACAGTCCATCACGTGGCTTTTGTACCACCACCTAGTTGCCCTCTCCACAGTCTGCACACGGGACACGTTGGCATCAACTACTGTACATAGCCCGCACGCCCTTCCTTCTTCACCCAATCTCGGCCCATGCATTCACATTCTTGGCATCACCACCTCCAACTACCTAATCTACCGCTAACTTTGTACATGGTCGTCAACCTCCCCCCTCAGCCCCATTGGAACAACGTCTGTTTCTTGTTCTTGTTCTTCTTCTTGCCCGCCCCACTAGACTCTTCTACCGTGGGAGTCGTCGCTCCACTGTTTGCGCTTGAGCCCCCGCCCCAGGCATTGTTGATTGGCGTATTGCGCCCGCTGGTATCTCGCCTCAGTCCTGATCCCGTGTAACCTGGGCTGAAAATGGTGCTAGTGGGCTTGGGTGCAGCCGGTAGAGCGGGAAAGGCGTCCGAGGAGCTGCCAACCTTGCTTGCATTGCTTGAGGGCCCGACCCGAGATGGCGCAGCAGTTGCGCGAGTGCTGGCGGCGGCGGCAGAAGACGACGACGACGACGACCACGGCGTGTGACCCGGCTTCGCTCCAATCCGGCCTGATTGCGGTGCTGGTAGCGCGGGGAAGGCGCTACTCGACGACCAGCTCGCCTGACGATTCGCAGAGGAGCGGGATGATTGTGCTGTTGAACTCTTCAACTTCAACACTCTAGATCCCCCGTGGGCCGCAGCACCGCCATTCAGTGCCTGCCCTGTTGCCGAGCCTGGCAGCGAAGGGTAATCCTCGTTGATGGCTTTCCAATCGTTCCATGCTTTCAAGAGTCCCTCACGTTTCGATGCAATCTCAAATATATCCGCCAGTTCCTTGATGAGCTTGCCCATCTCCTTGGAGTTGGTGTCGAATAACGCGAAGAAGCCTTCAATCAGTTGGGTCGCCGAAATCTTTGACGCGCGATACGCCGATACTTGACTTCGGAACTCTTGCAGCTTCGCTTCGTTGTTTCGAAGCATCATTGTCGCTCGCTCGGTAACGGCATTGTGGCGTAAAAGTCGAGCCTGTTCTTGGGGCGTCTGTGGAGTTGAACTTGCCACTGGCTGGCCAATACTAAGCTGACCCAGGCCATGGGTGATGTTGCTTGCATTGGTTGGTGTTGGTCGAGATGCTGTCACAGTGCTGGTTTCGGTGGCGGTTCTTGGAGCTCGCGCAGCAAATGCCTCGCCTGGAGTAGGAGTTGCCGTCAACTGGCCTCCAAAAGTCCGACCTGTTATCGGACGTGAATTCTGTGCCTCAATCTGTCGTTGGTACGCAAGTTCTGCCCTACTCATTGGCTGGGCAGAAGAAGCGGGTATTGGTTCTGCGTTTGGATCGCGTCCTCTGCCACGTCCCCTGCCATTCTCTCGTCTACGATCGTCTCTTCTGTTGTTACCCATCTCTTGCTCGCGCGAAGTTCGAAATTGAAATCCAGACATATCCACCCGGCGGGCGTCGCGCAAGGCATCCTTGGACAAGCCGTTGGGGTGGACTTCGAGCTGATGGGCCTTCAGATCCATTTCTGAATCAAAAACTACGAACTTCTTCTCTAGACATTCCCGATCAGGGCACAGGAAATGATCCTTCCTGAAGTGCATTTCGAGCGAGTCGTAATTGACATAATACTGCTGCTTCCTACTCCCTTCGCGACGATCGCAGATGTGACAACGCTCATGCTTGTCTCTGCAATGTGTATACAACTCATCGTCCCCGTAGAATCGCTGCGAACAGAAGCCGCATTCCGGGTGACCCTTGAAACCACTTTGGTCCACGGCGCCAGGGTCGTCATCACCAGATCTTTGATGCTGTCGAAGCTCGACAGCGGTGAAGAGCTCGTGTTCATGTGTGAAGACTTTCTTATTTCGTGTACAGAGATCACTAGAGATGGTTAGCATGGCCACGTTGCTGACCTACGCACCACGAAACGCCCTCGTGTCGCAATGTAGACAATGGCAACTTACCACATGACTTTATGATGCGCCGTTTTGACGTGGCGATGGAGGTCTGGCCATCCTAAGCAAGCCACATCGCAATCGCCATCAGGACAGTTGTATTGCAACAGCAAGCGTGTGTCGTCGAACACGCCCTCGTTATCGAAATGTATGCCTAGGTTGTCGTCTGACTTGAAGAAATCAGTTGCATCAAACTGCTCGTACAGTTTCTCGTGGTCATCTGTAAGGATAACATGATCTGACTCGGTCCTGCAGTGTGCACATGCCTTGGTCTTGTACAGTGCTCTCATCCGAATGGAGCATATGTGACACGTCCGGTGATTGCAGGGCGCCACTGCAGTGTGTTGTACCGGTGAGGCACAGATGAAGCAAACTTCCGCGTCCTCGTCGTCGCCCGCACCCTCCGCAGCGGATTGCTGATGCAGACCTGGCTTATTATGAGCCACTTGAACTGGCCCGCCCTGATCAGCCAAGGGTGCTTTGCCCTTGTTCTCGACACGTTCGTTACGACCGTCGGCTCCATCCACATTCCCGCGGCCGCGACCACGTCCACGAGGGCGAGAGCTGCCGCGCCCCCGAGCCCTGGAGCTGCTGCTGTGCTGCTCCATGCTTTCCCCAGGCATAGTATTCGAATGCGCGCCCCGGCCCCGGCCTCTTCCAGCCGGTCCACGACGAGCTGAATTCTGTCCGCTCTCTCTAGTCTCCTGCGAGGCACCGATACCGGCAACGAGGTCTGCCGTAGTTGTCATGGTGGGGTGCGGTTGTTGACTTGATGTATTTCGTGTAGCCCAGTGACAAGAAAAATGGCGGGGTTGTGTTGCGGAGCGGCAGACTTTATAAAGTGAACAACTTGGGAATATGTACAGAGAAACGTAGGCGCACTACGGTGTGCTGGCCGGCGTGGCCTTTTTGCCAGAGAAAAGCGAGTTGGCGGTTGGAAAGATGATGCTGTGAAATGACGCCGTTCTGCAAGCGAATGAACGGTATCAGGGGCCGTGCTCAAGGCACGAAACGCACCAATGAGGCTGAAGTCGGCCCCGGCACAAACCGCAACAGTAGCACGAACAGTAACTGTCAACAAGAATTCCTAAGTCAGGCCTAGCCTCTATGATTCAAAATGATTCTTTCACACTTTTTTTGGGCTATAGTCTACCATCATAGCCTCGTTGTCGGTGTTGCCAGTCAACCACTGTACGTCCTATGTCATACCTCACGGAGGCTCTGATCCTCTTCATCATACTCATCTACGTAAAGCATCTTTAGCACGTTCAGCACTTGTTCGCGGTCCCCACCCCCCAACTGTGCATTGAGCCAGGCTTCCATGGTCAATATTTGATCAGAAAACTTGCCAACATCTTCGCGCAGTTGTGTTGTTTCCATGACCTTCTTCTCCATCTCGACAGGGTCCTGCTCGCTGTACGCATTCAGCTCGTGTCGAAGCTTTTCAATATCCTTTTGAAGATCCGTATGCTTGGCCATGAGTGTTGCGCGATCCTCGCCTCACTCCAGTCAGCAAGCAATGTCATGATGGGGAAATATGACTCACCAGGGTCCATAAGCATGTCGGCATTATCGGTACGTGCAGCGCCTGCTTCCTCAATTTTCCATCGTAGTTCAGCAACCACAGCGCTAGCTTTGTTGTTTTCTTCCAGGACCTTCGCTAGCGCAGTGTCTTTTGCCTTTTTCTCGTCGCTTGGAAAGCTCCAATACCAGTTGCCGCTCCCGATTTTCTCGACGCGGATCTTGCTGTCGTCTGAGAGAGCCTGTAGGTAGTCTTTTACATGCATGCCACTGATTGATGACACTTGTGGCAACACCTTCTCGAGATCCTTGATGCTATGTGCCTGTGCAGTCCTATGGAACCAGGCAAGGATCGTGGCAGCCTTCTGTGCATTGGGCTGAATCTTGGGCGCCTGAGAGGATGTCAGTGATTCCACGGGTAGAAAAAGGAGTGGGTGATTGTACCATGGGCTTCGCGATGCACAGATTATCTACCAAACCTGCCGTATGTAAATCTACAGCTAGTCTGAGCCCAGAAGAAAAGAAAACAGAAATATAGAGAAGGCGGGGAAGTATCTGCGGAAGACACTGGGATCTAGATGTCGGAGGTGCCTTCCTTCAAAGTGAACGCCAAGTCTCCAACTCCATATTCGTAAATGTAGGTAGTCAGTGGTCACGACCTGGGTTTCGAATTTCGAGCCCATTGGCGACCAGCCGACGACATTGGACGTAAGCCTTTTATAGGGAAGTTGCCCTAAGTAGATTCATCCGTGGTGTAATCTGATTCACTGTCAAGAGAGCTCGAATCTGACTGTACGCTGTTGGTCGAGTCATCGACGGGTGCGTCCCGCCTCGTGCTTGCGGCGGGAACATCTCCAAAGGCCCCCTTAACTATAGCATCCTTTTCCATATTCGCAGGCTCGGTAAATGCTAGATCTCCAGTGCTTCCAAGTACCTCCCTAGCTGTCTCTTCTAGTAGAATGCCCAAAGCAATAAGGGCTGTTTCGTCCATGCATTTCCAGGTCGGCTCGTTCCCAAGCTGTGCGTTATGCGAGTACAAACTTGAGACATAAGCATGTATTGCACTCAAAATATCACCGCCAGGAAGCTGTTGTTGCACGGCTGTCGCAACATGGGCATGATAATAGTCGGTCTCCTCGTACCGAACTGGGGCTTTTGCTTGCTTGAAAAGAACTTCATCCGGACGGAGCGGCTGTGTAGAGACCTTCGAGTCTGACGATTTTCCAATGAAGCCATTCTGTGCAATTCGACCTTGTTATTTATTAGCACATGATAATAAGGCTGATTGCGCCAAACAATTTACCAGCTACGGCATCGTACACATTCGCCCTTCTTCGTGACGGAGATCTGAGATCGCGTGTAGAATGACCCCCACGATCACGGGATAGGCTGTTGACACACTTCTTGTGTCTCTCCATTGTGATGAAATACAATATTGCGAAGTTTCTGTCCACGGTTGACAAGACCTTTTGGTCGTCGTGAACCGGCAGTCACATGCAGGCGCTATGTAGCTTGCCTAGCCTACTAGTTGGCGCTCTAACTACGATGATTCGGTATGTAAGCTAATGTTACGTAAGCATTGTGAGCTGGGTGGCCACCCTCTGCAACCTCATCTCTACCTCGTTTGAAAGACCATGATCATAATCAAAGCATGTAGCTGCATATGTACACTCAACATTTGCTGGACCGTGCTTACGGCTTCTACCCACACTATGCTCTCCAACGCGCCGTCGCCTCGCGCCTCATTCATGCACTTCATCCATACGCACTGAACTTCAGCCAACACCTGCCTCCCCCAGGCGACCCTCGTAAACGCATTGCGGCGCATCCTCCTGGAGTCAATGCGCTCACAATTGATAAGTTTGAGGGCCGCTATCTACTTTCGGGTGGTGCAGACTCTTCGATTGCCATGTGGGACCTTGAATCACAGGCCACAATGGGGGAGACGGGCGACACCATGTTGCCGTTGGAGGTAGTACATAAAACCAGTGAAGAGCACAAGCTGGGCATCACGCAGATAGGCTTCTATCCATTCGATTCACTTGCATTCATGACGTCCTCGTACGATCATACCGTCAAGCTCTATTCAAGTGAGACGCTGAAGCCTTCTGCCGTCTTCGATCTCGACGCTGTTGTCTATAACTTTGCACTATCACCTATTGCATCCCACCTACTCGTTGCTTGCGCAACGCAGCACCCAAATGTGCGCCTGATAGATCTCCGCTCAGGCGCAAGCACACACAGTCTTGCTGGTCATTCGGGTGCCATCCTCTCGACTGCGTGGAATCCAGTCCGTGAGCATATCCTCGTGAGCGGTGCTACTGATGGCAGCGTCCGCTTTTGGGATATTCGACGCAGCATTGGAGAACTTGGCACGCTCGATCTAGAGGACTCCGTTGGTTCCCTTGCAAAGTCTTCGACCATCTCTGTTTCTCACATGAGACGTCCGCAAGCCCATAGGGGCCCCGTAAATGGCATCGTATGGACAGAAGACGGTCGCCATCTCATTACATGCGGCCACGATGCTAGAATCCGCGTCTGGAATACGGAGACAGGAGGAAACACACTCGCGAATTTTGGGCCCATGGTCAAGAACTCTGGCCTCGCGCCACGCATTCCTGTTCTACCATCCACGCAAAACCTGCAGCCCAATGCCGATGTCATGTTCTACCCGAATGAATCCGAGATCCTAGCTTATGAACTCTTTGAAGGCAAGCTGCGTCGTCGCCTTCGACGTCCACATCAGTTCTCTAGTCTCCTCTCGGAAACTCCTGAGGCACAAGGCCATCGCAATATCCAGGATAGGATAAACTCGCTCGCTTGGCGAGCCCATCAGATTGAACTTTACTCTGCGCATGCAGACGGAAGTATATCGGCATGGAAACCTCGGACGGAAGAGGATGCAGAAGCGGACGCAGATGAGGAGCAGGAACATGAGGAGGACAAGGAGAGGAAGAAGCGAAAGAGAGGCGTATTGGACGACATCTACCAAGGTCTGATGAAAAAACAAATTACCTTTGGCGGACTTGGACCATAGTGATTTCATGTGCACTAATTGGCAGGAAAATGGCCGCCATAGCATCGCCATGATTACAAGGCGTAAAGAATACATTGCACCCAGGTCTCGTGTTAGGACACATTCATCTATTCATTCATATGGCATGACTGCACGATCGTCTCGCGGCTATCTGTCTATTTGGTGTAGCAAGAGCTTCCTAACACTAGCATGGCCCCTTTCGACATAGGGGCTCTCCACTGTTGCCGCAATGGCCCATCAACATCACCCTGCCCCGAAGAACGGTAGCCTTGCAGGCACAAAATCTTGGTCATTAGCAGATGCAGGCATGTTGCTCTGATCCGGTTCATTGATAGAGGACGGCCGGACGGGAGTGGGCACCATGCTCGAATAGTCTGACTCGTCCACGTAAAAGGAACTGCTCTCAGGCATCGTTTGAGCATCAACAATACTGGGAACCCGATCGACGTCGGCAGGCGTAGCCATGTTACCAGTGGGGGATGGCAGTAATGGATAGACTGTTGAATCTACAGTGGTCATCTGGAATTGCGGATGTGGCGATGATGTTTCTGCTGTTCTAGGCTTGCTGGAAGGCGTTTGTTCACGTGGAGTTTGTTCAGGCGTCAGTCCCCGTCCATGTGCGGGTTGCTGAGCGCTCTGGTGTTTGCCCCGGATGTCTGCGTCCTCGCCCAACTGCACGTCTTCTTGCTGCTGTTCGATTGTTGGCAGTGTATGCGCCTGCTCAATGGCTTGCGGTGTCGACACTTGCGAAACTGAGGGCCGCTTGCTGGTGCTGGAGCTGGCCTCATTCCACTGCCCTGTAGTGCGCCGCTCGAGTGCAATAGTGAACTCGTCGTCCAGGGGCACGGCGTCTTCGAGCTCGTCTTCGCTGGGGAAGATGTCACCGCGCGAGCTGAGGGAGTCAGTCGTATGGCCGGATGTGCGTGTGTCGCTCCGCTGTCTACGATGGCGCTTGGCCTCGTCGGCCCCCTCATCTTCGTCTTCGTCGTCGATGGCCTCCAACAGCGGCTGGTCCTCACCACGCGCACTGCGCATGGCACCAGGATGGTCTGTCAGGTCTGCGGCCGAGGGCTTGTAGCGCAGCCCCTTGGCACGAATGCGCCAGGGCAGGCGGCCAAGGAAGCCAAAGTAGGAGGAGCTTGGGATGATGGTGGGATCCTGGCCAGCCTCGCGCTGAAGGGCAGTGCTCTTGCGACGCGGAGTGCTGTACCGTGGGTCGCGACTGCGGGCGCAATAGCCCATGGCCGGCTGGCGTGTGGGCTGGGTGGTGGTGGTGGTGGTGGCGCCGTAGTTGGGGTAATTGGGGTAACTGCCATAGCTGCCTGCGCTGGCGAGGAAACGGTCGAGGCTGTCGCTGCCCCAGCCCAGCAGTCCGTCGCTCTCCTCATCGTCCCAATCGTCGTAGAAGTCGAAGCTGGACTCGGCACGGCCACGCGAGCGGCCGCGATGCCGGCGCCGGCGGTCGTTGTGTCGGGGCAAACAGGGCGCGGTGCACGTCTGCACACAGTGCGTCATGGAAGCCAGGCAGGGGTTTACATAGCGCTGCGTGAAGCCGTAGAGATTCTCTTGCGCAGACTCGTTTGCGTGCTCAAGATTCTCGCTGAGGTGCTGCAACGTCCGGTTCCAGCGCGGGTCCGACCGACGATACATGACGGTGGTCAACGGGCCGTGCTCGTATCGTGTTGTGTTGTGTTGTGTTGTGTTGTGTCGTCGTCTCCTGTCGTGCCGTTGTCGCATGGGCTCTCTATTGCGGTGCGGGGCGCATGGCGCGAAGTCAAGCTCGAAATCGAGGGCTGCGATAAAGACACTGGCGTGGAGATAGATTGGCCCTGGTCCTTGGTAGGTACAATCGTGGGGAAACGTGTTGGGGTGTGCCCTGGTCATACCGGTCCCGTACTTTAGTTAAAGGACATTGCTCCAGAGTTCCCCCACGAACCCCCCCCCCCCCGCAATATCGCTTTACACTACTATTACGTGCCTCGATCCTATCCACATCGATGCGCTACGTGCGTTTCCTCAAGACGCCTCGGATCGTCTTGGCTGACAAGACGACTTCGAGGCCTCATGATGTCTTGTGTCTGGTCACCATCACCTCCGATTTAGGCGACTCTTTCCTTGCCGCCCATGCACAGCTGTCGGCTGAACTACTGGCTTGTGATTCCTCCGACAACGAGAAACTCATCGTCTGGTCTTCAGTGCAATGGACTCCTGGCATGCGAAGTCTACCCATCAGATTACCCCTGCCCAAGTCTGGTGTATCAACATCACTTCGTCTCAAAGTCAGCACAACCCCCAAAAGCACTTGCGATGAGTTTCAGAGCCTTGTAAGCCATCATTCCAACAGCATCGTTTCTGCATGGAGTGCTCCCTTTACTGTATCGGTAGAAGCCCCCAGGCTGGCCGAGAGACGCTTTCAGTTGGCATCCACTAGTCTCAATGTCTGGGAAGAGACAGGCAACAGCATTGCGCGTCATTTGTGGTAACATGCTTTGAAGCCCCTCACACTCCACCTGTTTACTTCTTGTCTGAACATGACAGGGATGCGGGGATACTGCTCTCATGTCATATGGATCAGCTGCTCAGCGTAGAGAGCGAACTAGGTCAGGTTCTGTTCCCCAACAGAACCCGGTCTGGCCTTCGAGTCTTGGAACTTGGAACGGGATGTGGCATCGCCGGGATATCACTTGCTCAGTGTCTCGAAGACACTGTCATCATCGTCACCGATCTGACCGAAGCTCGCGAGATTGTCACAAGGAACCTGAGCCATGTCAAGACAGCAGCTCGGTCCTCAATCGAGTTCCAAGAGCTTGATTGGGACGAAGCGCTACCTGCGAGTCTAAATCCCACTGCCATGAATTTTGACCTAGTCTTCGCGGCTGACTGCACATATAATGCCGATAGCAGGTATGCCTTGAACCTGAGCTGTTATGCTTCCCACCAGCGCCATCTAATACGAGATAGTCCGGCATTTGTTAACACCATATCACGAATCGTACATGAATCTCCTTCTACCGTAGTTCTAGTTGCCATGAAGATGCGGCACCCAAGCGAAGTAGTCTTCTTTGAGCTGATGGCCGAAGCTGGCTTCAACAGAGTGTCAACTATCTCATATCCTCTCCCGGGAGATACAGAGGCCACAGAAGAGACCGTTGACCTACATGTGTACAAATATGTAGCACCAAAATGAGCAACGGCTAGGCTAAGGGGACATTGGAAATATGCAGTCAAACGCGCCGTGTAGGTAAATCCACATACTGGGGAAAGAGTTTTGCTCCAGCAATACTAAGAACACAACCAGATCAGAGCTGAATAGCTATATCTGAAAGATGTAGCACCATAGCATAATGTCTGTTGTGAGTTCCAATTCATGGAAGTTCGCTCATTCATGGTCTACGGTGCACGTTGTGCACATAGACCATTAAGTCCATTTATTCTAAGATTGCCAACGAGACATGTTATCGTCCTGTCGTTAAAATATCCATGATGATTCAGCACCAACTATTCTTTACATCCACTCCTTCGCATTTACATGTCTTAGATCAGCTCTAAGTCTGTCTTCTAGCTAAGGTCTTGTTAGTTATCCAATTGAGAACACGTATACAATCGGTTTGTAGGCGCTGCCTACACGTATCATTTTACTTAAGACAATCAGTATCCACAAATCATATGCACCTTTTTCGTTGCTCGGCGTTGTGGAGGTAGGTAGACCTGCGTCCTGAAGATGAGGATTGCATATTCAAATGTGGTCTTGCTCTTGGAATAGAGGTAATTCAGGCTTGAGCTGTAATGGTGTCTAGGCAGTCATGTAACCATTCATTTGTTCTGACTCTCTGCTAAAAAGTTTCAGTCAGTACAATGGTCTCCACTGGAAAACGATAGAATGATTGGAAGATCATGCAGTAGCATAAAATGTCACATGAAGTCTGAGAGATTACATAATCAGGGGGGCCAAAAAGGAAGATGACAGTCTGACAGACTACATGACAATAAGCCAGCAAGTGTAGGGTCCTGTAGGTTCAAGAGGGAAAGAATCTCAACTGCGGTCCAATAGTCAGAGGATTCGCAGCGGAGCTGAAATAAGCCACCTCGGCGTACCTACTGATTCAGTGATTAATTGTTGACTGCGTTTACTAGGCCAAAGAATGCATTGTAGAATCCCACCAGGAGAGCCAGATGGCGGCTGTGCTAAAGCCAGCGGGTAGGCTACTGAGCTACAGCGATGCTTCGGGCCGGCGGATCGATGATGGCTTACTAAGTGCTGGTACGCACGGCAACCTAGACCGATGGTTACGTGTTTGAGATTAAAAAAAGCAGCAAGCGGTGACGGACTCTCATGCTTGGTGGTACTGACTAGTTACTATCGGCAGCTTTGCATTCCCAGTCTTCTTAATCTGACTGTTGCACCGTCTCGCACCTGTAGTCCTTTGGTGTTCCCATCACGATCTCCTAAATCCAAGTGACAATGACAGACAGGCCAGCGCCACTCTACAAAAGGTTGGCCGCTCGACTACAAGGTGGCCGCCGTGTACCTAAGAAACGCAAATTTCCAGCCATTTCACAGACGTCGCAAGAGCGCCTTTGTGAGTCGCTAAAGGACGAACCTTTTGACCCGGTACAATGCGACGCCTTGCAAGACCCGGTCCCGCAGGAAAAAGAGAAGACGGTGCTCTATCTGGCCTATGGCTCGAACCTGTGCAAAGAGACATTTCGAGGCGCGCGCGGCATCCGTCCTCTGTCGAAAATCAACGTGCTGGTCCCATCGCTACGATTGACGTTTGACCTTCCTGGCATCCCCTATATAGAGCCTTGCTTTGCCAATACGGCGCAGCGGACCCCCGAAGCACTGAGCGACGATGACGATGACAACACCAAGAACGACGACGACGACGACCAAAAAGGACCTGGTGATAATAGTCCAAACGACAAGGCAGGCAGCAGCGACTACCACAAGAACCGCTGGCACAAAGGCCTGGTGGGCGTCGTCTACGAAGTGACACGCCGCGATTATGCGCATATCATTTCCACCGAAGGCGGAGGCTCGTCCTACAAGGATATTCTGGTCGACTGCTACGTGCTCCCTACATCAGACACAGTACCCACTGTGCCTGACTCTCAATCCTTCAAAGCACACACGCTCTTCGCACCACTGCTCGACGATGACAACAAGCGGTCGACCGACCGCGCCACTCGCCCCGATCCCGACTATGCGCAACCATCGGCCCGCTACCTTAAGCTCATCACTGATGGTGCTGCCGAGTGCCATTTGCCCCAGGAATACCAGGACTATCTGCTCAACTTACGTCCATATACAATCACGACCAAAAGACAGGCGGTGGGCAAGACTCTCTTCCAGGCCATATGGCTACCCTTTGTCATGTTGATCTTCACACTCGCAAAAGCTGTGCAGGACAAGAAGGGGAGAGCGCCGTGGTGGTATGCCAAGCTGACTGCCTGGATCTTCCTCGCCATGTGGATGAGCTACGACTACGCCTTCAAACCTATTTTTGGAGACGGAGAGCGCACAGTCGGTGACGAGGCACTGTGGACAAAGCCAAAGTGTTACGAAGATGAACGGGCAAAGCAGGACTATGCTGAAAATGAGAGCTTGCTTGAACAAAGCGTCGAATCCATGAATTTGCATGCGAAGGCGAGCATAGATTGTTCGAACGGGTTGAAGAATCGTATATAGAAACCAGAATTGTAGCTTGATCGACTCCATCTAGAAAACTCTGCCCACACGCATGATCATGGCTCGCAGAAAAATGGTATGGTCGAGATATGTACAAAATAGTCGTCTTTCGGCATATTTATACTTTCCATATGGCATTTCTTATAGATTTTTTTTATAATCCCTACATCATCGTACTCCATCGTGAAATCTTGAATATTGTTCGTAGTAGTGTCACCAGAATTTCAATACTACCTACATGTTGAATTGAGAGATTTCCTGTAATACAGCAATGTGTAATAGTTATCAGAATGACCGTGCGCTTTGCAGAGTTGGCAATAGTACAGTGGGCAAAATTTAAGAATTCAAGTATGTAAAGGGCACACATCATCATGGAGAAGGATGAAAAAAGAAACAAAGTTGCTTATATGCAATTACGACTTATGAACTTGCAGGTATATGGTGTCATGACGTTACTTGTTGTAGCATTCCTATGAAGTGTAGCAGTCTGTATTCAGTCAGCACCAATCATGGCCAGCTCACAACATTGGCATACACATGGCTTCCGGCAGCAGACTCGCGTAGAGGCCGGGCCAGTATGGCCCAACTTGGTGCTGTGGCGGGTGGGTATCATAAATTCGGCGTCTCGCTCACTGCGCCTTGAGAGTTCAATCCGAGTCCGAATCACTAACATCCATCTCCATCTCTGCATCTTCCTCCTCTCCTTCTTCCTCTTCGTCCCGTGTCCTCTTCTGCCCCTTTGTGGCGTCCGAGGCATTGATGGGCACAGCCTTGGCAGGAGCAGCGCCAAATCCAGCAGATTGTCCCGCACTGTCTTCCGGCTCCTCTCCAGTCTTCTCAGGTTCGGGCAATTTGTAGGTTCCATCGAGCTTCGATATTGCGTCCGACTTGGTCTTTGCATAGGCGATTTGCTGTCGAATCGGTCAGAGTGGTTCTATTAGGGTGATGGGGACGAAGGACAGGCGCACCATTTCTTTGCCAAAGAATGTGAAGCCTTGCAGCGCACGCATGGCCTGCGTAGACGAATCAACATCACGGAAGACGACATGCGCCTGGCCCCGCATCTTCATTGTCTTGAGGGCCACTATGTCGATGACTACGCCATAGGTCGCAAAGAGCATGTAGAGATTGCGTTTCAGGTCTTCCTTGCCCAGTTTGTCAGGCAGATTACGGACATAGAGACTGTAGAGCATTAACCCATGTGCAAGACACAGATGGAACAGCTCTTCGTACATGAGCAAGGAGACATTGGGACGTACGTTCGGTTGGGCACGGCGGGCTTGGACACGGTGGTGGTGGTGCCTGGGGGGCTGCGTGTCGCGGACGCCATGATGTGGGTGAAGGACAGGATCAATGGGTGGGTGGTGAGGCTTGTCCGCAGAATATCGTGAGGCAGCACGGACCTGGTGACGCTGGTGACCCCAGCCCAGATGGCCCTAGTCAAAGACATGTCACGTGCCCCGCGGCAGGTACGCGACACAGCAGACGCCGCCACCACTTTCCCCCCCACCACCACTCCTTCACATGATGGCTTCATCGCCAGTCGTGCTGAGTCCGCGCCCAAATCCACCAGGCTCGCGCAATGGGCCGCCGACGCTCAAGGCACGTGGCCTGGCGCTCCTGGGCGGCAACAGCAGCAACCATGGCGCCTCGAGCAAGGCCATGTCAACGCGCTCGCCGGGCACAACCACCAGTAGCCATGGCGGGCAGGATCTGGCCGAGCAGATGAACGACGAGGTGCGCAGGCAGTTTGTCAGCGGGGCCAAACTGGGAGAAGGTACCTATGCCATTGTCACGGCAGCGCATTACCGCCACGACCCCTCGGCCCTGGTGGCCATCAAGATGATCAAGCTCAACGCCGAGTTCACCGACGGCATCGCTCTCGACGCCATCCGTGAGATCAAGTTTCTCTCAGAGCTGTCTCACCCCAACATTGTCCGCCTGCACGCCGTCTTCTCGAGCAAGGAACAGAACCTCTCTCTCGTCCTCGAATACCTGCCGCGCGGCGATTTGGAACAGCTATGGAAGAATCACGAAATCACCTATGGACCCGCCGACATCAAGGCCTGGGCCAATATGCTATGTCAGGGCATCTGGTTTTGCCACGAGAACCATGTTCTACACCGCGACATCAAGGGGAGCAACGCTCTCATCGCTGCCGACGGGACCGTCAAGCTTGCCGATTTCGGTCTTGCTCGAAGCTTTGGAGATCCCGGCGAGAAGATGACGGCGGTGACAATCACGCGCATGTACCGTCCCCCAGAATTATTCTATGGCTGCCGCCACTATGGCGGCACCGTGGACATGTGGAGTATCGGCGTAGTCATTGCTGAACTGGCCATTCGAAGCTGGTTCCTAGGATCCGACACGGATATCCGCCAACTCGCCGTCATCACCGAGACATTCGGCACTCCCACAGAGGAAACCTGGCCAGGCGTTTCCTCCCTTCCCCTCTACGTACCGCCCGGCAACAACGCCAAGCCCGCCCCCAAACTGGCCTGGTGGAAAATGAAATTCCCCTTGCTCGGCGACGAGGGCATCGACCTCCTGCGCGGCTTGCTCACCATGGATCCTCAAAAGCGACTCACGGCCAGAAAGGCGCTCGAACACAGATACTGGACGAGCATGCCTCGGCCCACCAAAAAGGAAAACTTGCCAAGAGAAGGGGGTGGAGAGAAACGCATGGCTGAGGATCTCAAGAGGAAAGGAGGCGAGACGCCCGCAAATGGCAGGGCGGACAAGGTTGCACGCAAGTTGGATTTTGGATCCCTGCAATGAGAAGGGTGGAAATCACGCTGCCTCTTGGTCGCAGCGGGCAAGAATAAAAAAGCATGGTACGGCGTTTGGCGTTACAGGTTCCATGAGCAGAGTTTTGCCTGGAATCTCGAGGTCGGTTCGGACCATACGACGTTTCTCGCTGGATTGGCGAGCGGGGGCGACGGGCGTTCCCCCCTTCCTGAAGATATACATGATCATCTGAGTGCAAGTTACTGTCCACAAATCAAAATTTCACATATAGCAAGCACATCTCATCTCGTTTCACAATGAGCATGCTCACATGATGCCGTGACGAGAAATCCAAGTCTTGGTTGACGATGGCACTAAACAGTCGCCTGGCAGGTTTTCCGCTTGATAGGCAAGCAGGTACAAAGAGTCCACAGTATTCATGTGCAATCCACACATTAGCCTTTGAATATTGGCTCAAGTTCTGTTGGTTTCGGTCCGCAGCTCAACAAGTTCCACTGCTGTACGCGCAGTCTCCACGATAGACATGAATTTGATATACTGAACTTTACCAAATTGGCCAGCCCATTTCTACATGAACGAGATCCGCAGCGACGGACAAGAGAGCCGGCGAGTGCCATGATCTGCTTAGAGAAAGAAGATTTACATAAAGCATCGCGTGTTCAAACACCCTCACTTGACAAGCTTGCAGACAAGATCTCCAGAGTCGACAGAGTCGCCCTCGCGAACTGACAAATGGCTGACCTTTCCGGAATGAGGGGCCGAAATGACCATTTCCTGGGATAGTGTTAGCTAGCAATTCTGTACATAGACATGCAAATGCACCTACCATTTTCATAGCGCTAAGAATGGCAACGGGGTCACCCTTCTTGACCTCGCTTCCATCATGGACGCGAACCTCAACCAAAACACCCGACATGGGCGAACCAACCTGGCTGCTGTCGGTAGGATCGGCCTTGGGTCGTGACACGTTTTCGATGGCTGCGTGCTGATCCTCAACTGTAACTGTACGAGTCTCACCGTTCATCTCATAGAAGACCTCACGCAGACCAGTCTGCTCGGAAAGCGGGCCGATTGCGAGCAACTTGAGAATGAGCACCTTGCCCTTCTCCAGCTCTACATGGAACTCCTCGCCAATCTCAGGACGAGACAAGAAGTAACGTGTCGGTAGCACGGAAAGATCACCATACTTGCTCGTCCATTTCTTGTAGTCGTCGAAGACCTTGGGGTACATGATGTGAGACGCAACATCACACTCGGTAGCGTCACCCCATTTGGCCTTCAGATCCGCCTTGACCTTGGCGATGTCGACGGGCTCGAGGTAGAGACCAGGACGCTTGTCCATCTTCCTTCGGCCACGAAGAGCTTGAGTTCGGAGGGGTTCGGGGAAGCCACCGTGTGGCTGACCCATCAAACCTTCGAAAAATTCCAGGACCGAGGAGGGGAAGTCGAGCTGCTCAGCCTTGCTCAACACGTCATCGTAGGAAAGCTTGTTGGATACCATGAATTGTGCCAAATCTCCAACAACCTTCGAGGTAGGCGTGACCTTGACAATGTCGCCGAGTAAATCGTTTGCTTGCTCATACGCTTTCTTTGTCTGAGCCCACTGTTCGCCAAGTCCTTGCTGCGAAGCTTGGAAAATGAGATTGGTGAGCTGACCACCAGGGATCTCGTGCTCATACACCTCAGGATCGGGACCAGTAAGGCCAGCCTCGAATGGCGAATAGAGCAGGCGAAGCTGAGCCCAGTACGAGTCGAGGCTGCGAATCATGCGTACATCAAGACCAGCGTCGAAGTCGGTACCTTCAAGCGAGGCCAAGATAGCACCTACGCTAGGTTGCGATGTCATTCCAGACATGCTGTCAATAGCAGCATCAACGGCATCGGCACCAGCCTCCGCACAAGCAACCATGGACGCCACGCCAGTTCCGGCGGAGTCGTGGGTGTGAACATGGATGGGCAGATCAGGGTACTTTTCCCGAATAGTGCCAATCAACAGTCGGGCAGCACGAGGCTTAAGAACACCAGCCATGTCCTTGAATGAAAGTATGTGGATCTTCATCTTGACAAGCTTGTCAACGAGCTCGACGTAGTACTGCAAGTTGTACTTGGCATTGGGTCTCTGTGAGGAGGTTCATTAGCAAATGGTCGAGATAAAAGTCCAGAAAACAAGCATGTGAACGTTGGATACAAAGAAAGGGACATGAGCAAAATCCAAAAGGTTCCAATTGGAAGGAAGCGGTGAGTGATGGCGTAAACGCCAGTGGTGGCTCGATAGGAAGCCTGGGGTAGCCCCGAGCATTTGTTCAAGTCATGTTGAGGGAAGAGCAAAACGAGCAGTGTCCATACCAACATGTCACCCGAGTAACAGACCGTGCCCTCCACAACACCTCCAGCCTTAAGAACAGCCTTGATACCGACTTCCAGCTGCTCTACATCGTTCAAGGCGTCAAAGACTCGGAAGATGTCAACGCCATTCTTCTTGGCCTGCTCACAGAAGTGGAAGATGGCATTGTCGGGAAGGGAGGAGTACGCAACGCCATTGGCTCCACGAAGCAGCATCTGGAAAGGAATGTTGGGCACAAGCTTCCTCATCTTGCGCAGACGGTCCCATGGATCTTCATAGAGGAAGCGCATAGCAACATCAAAGGTAGCGCCACCCCAGCACTCGAGAGCCCAGGCATTGGAGAATGCATGACTTGTCTCTTTGGCGATGTTTAGCAAGTCAACTGTGCGTACACGTGTCGCAAGCAGAGACTGGTGGGCATCACGCCAAGTAGTGTCCATGATCAAACATCCCTTGTTTGCACGAACTGCCTTGGCAAAGCCTTCAGGACCCTCCTTGAGAAGAATGTTGCGCCATCCTTTTGTGCAGGGTACCGAGGTGTCGACCTTGTTACCATTGACATCGTGGATGGCTGGGATGGGAATGATACCCTTGAACTTGGGCTCGCCAACTTGGCCCTTGATCTGACTGCCGTTGACAGCAAGGTCACCAAGATAGGCAAGTAGTTTCTGGGCACGGTTCTGGGAGCCAATGAGATCGAAAAGAGCCGGGGTATCATCAATGAAGGTAGTCCAGCACTGGCCGTCGACAAAAGTAGGATGTGTAAGAAGCTTGATCAAGAAGGGAATGTTGGTCTTGACGCCACGAATACGGAACTCGACAAGAGCACGCAGCATTTTTCGGCGAACAATTTCGTATGTTGAGCCTCGGCATGAGCATTTGACCTAGAAATTGTAAGTGTCTAATACGGATACAGTTCTAACGAGGGTTGGGCATACCAGCATGGAGTCGTAGTGTGCTAAAGTATGTCAGCGTATTGCTACTCAAAACGTAACGAGGCTCTGATATTCTGCTTGGCATCTTCTCCGCCACTGTGTGATAGGAGCACGGAATATTGATGGCAGAAAAAGTACTCACGTGTGATGACTGCGCCTGCAAATGAGCTACCACCATCGAGCCTGACTTGAAGGAATCGTCAGCACAATTTTAGATCAAGGTGTTAAACAGGAGCCAATTACCTCCGTTGCCACCAGCAGAGCGGTAGACTTCAATCTTGCCAGTGTCAGGAGCAAAGTTTTGGGCAGGATCTTCCGTCGTAATGCGGCACTGGAAGGCAAAACCACGAGTAGAGATGTGGTCTTGGCTAAGGCCAAGTTGTTCAAGGGACGCGCCTGCGGCGATCTGGATCTGAGCGGCGACAATGTCGATACCAGTCACCTCCTCGGTGATGGTGTGCTCGACTTGGATACGAGGGTTGATCTCAATAAAGTAGTACCTATACAACCCATCTTAGTCACAGTCTGGGGCACATGTACGAAAAAGAAAAAGAGCCATACGAACCTGTTCTGTTGATCGACCAAAAATTCCGCCGTGCCTGCATTGCGGTACTTGACCGACTGTGCAAGACGGACGGCATCGGCTAGGATAGCATCACGAGTCTCGACGGGGAGGTCCTTGGCTGGCGCGATTTCGACGACCTTTTGGTGACGGCGCTGGACACTGCAGTCACGCTCGTACAAGTGGACTACATTGCCAAGATTGTCTCCGAGGAGCTGGACTTCAATGTGCTTGGGCTTGTCCAAGAAGCGCTCGACAAAGACCGTTCCGTTGCCAAAGGCCGACTTTGCTTCCGATGTTGCGCGCTCGAACGCGTCCTTGAGGGAGGCCTGCTCACGGACTACACGCATTCCACGGCCACCACCACCGAAAGCGGCCTTGATGATGATGGGGAAACCAAACTCGTCGGTAAACGCCTTGACATCTTCAAACTTCTCCACGGGGCCTGGAGTTCCAGGCACCACGGGAACATTGCACTTGATGGCCAGTTTGCGCGCAGAAACCTTGTCGCCGAGCGCATCAATGGTATCTGGGGAGGGGCCGACGAACTAGCGTAGACGGTCAGCTTCTGTAGTCCTGTTCACCCACCGCGCCCCATGGCCTGACATTGTTGGGGCTGCGGTAAACCCCTGTTTAGTGAGCGATCGAGCTGCCCCGCCCTAGCTCACAGCTTCTCTTTGCACGCTCGCGCAGCCCCTCCACGCTGGCGTTCGCTCGGATTCGAGGGTGTGTTGAAGCAAAAAGGGTGCGACTCACAATGAGGCCTGCCTTCTCTACATTCCGTGCAAATTCGGCATTCTCTGAGAGGAAGCCATAACCTGGATGGATCATGTTGACATTGTGCTCGACGGCAATCTTGATGATCTCGTCGCCCGCAAGATAGGCTCCCACGGGGGTGTACTGCCCGCGGGTGCCAATCTCGTAGGCTTCGTCAGCCTTTTGGCGGTGCATGCTCAGGCGATCCTCATGGCTGTATACGGCAACGGTGTGGAGCGACAGCTCGTGGGCTGTGCGGAAAATGCGGATGGGAATCTCTCCACGGTTGGCCACTATGTGCAGGAGCGGTCAGCACCTTGAATGGGCTTCCTATATGCCCATGGGCAAAAGCAAGGCAAAAAGCAACCTACCCAACAGTTTCTTCAGCTGCATGATGGAGCTGCTAGCTCGCAGCTGGTGGTGGACCGAGTTACGGTGGGGGTGGTGCTCGCCATGCTCCTCATCAAACTCGTTGTCGTCAATGGCCGACGAGGCATTCTGGTCAGATGCAAGCGTCGACATGCTGGCGGGCCGCTGGCTGACCGCTGGCTGAATGTGTACAGGAAGAGGGAATTGCAGGATGGGGAGATAAGAGGCGGGCAGGGAGAAGGAGAAGGAGATGAAGGGGCAGGGAGAAGGAGAAGGAGATGAAGAAGGAAGAGGGGGAAAAGAAAGTTAGGTAGATATGTGATGAGCAGAGAGCTGTGAGTAATGGACGGCGGACGGAAGCTACGTGAATGCACCGACGATCGGCTCTCTCTCCTGCTCTCTCGCTCTCTCGATACAGTCTGTCGTTTCTTAGTCGACAGGCCCAGATGTTGGCAGACTCTAGTCGAGACTTTAGCTGACTGGTTGTTGTGAAAGAGCAGCGATAGGCTTAATCCCAAAACAGCTCTCTAACGTACCGGGGGGCCCAACTAGCAGCTTCCAAGGCGAAGCATGGCAAGATCGGGCAAGGGCCCGTCGGCGGAAAAGCAAGCACGGGCTGGCAAAATATTGTATGCGATTCCAGGCCGAAATGGACGAACGCTGCGACACCACCGGGGGCGGGGGGGGGGGGGTATTCCTTCTGTAATTTAAAAAAAAACTAAATAATCAATTTAAA